TTGATTTGGAAGGGGGATTAATCAAGTTCAAACTTATCTTCTCTCAGTACGTTTTTTTACGTAACTTACAACTTTAGGCCGCCCGAAGTTCGTATAAGACCGCGGAACATTAACTGGCAAAATTGGAAATATACAGCTTACGTCATTTCTATCTGTTACAATCAAAACATTCAGTGATAGGCAACGAAATGGGCGGGTACAATTCAACGCGGACGTTTGGAAAACATGGGATTGAAATTGCAGATCGAAATTCATTTTCAATCCACCTGAGCTGTTTCAAAGCAAAAAGTGAATGTATGATCCAAAAATCAACTATATTTCAACTCCCAAAACATATTAATTGTTTGAAGTTCACATTAATATTAGTTTTAGCTTATAATTTTAAGAATGCGAAAGATCATACAAGACAAAGATTATTTTTCAGGAGATATTTGATTCTAGAAGGGGGGGGGGTAAAAATTGTCGAGTCAGGTCATGCCTTAACATGACAATATATTTTAATTCTAGGATTATAAGAGTGCATGAGTTTTATACTTATTCTCACTGAAAACTGTTGGACAACAGTTACTTTATTTAAAAATCGTTCAACCCCCCCCCCCCCCCCACCACCAAGACAATGTTATACATATATTAATCAAATAGAAATGAAATATTTGTCCCTTAAATATTTATACATTTAAAACACTGGACAAAAAAAAATCAAACTGTACCAAAGTTGAAATTATTTGTCTTCTGGGTCAATCAGTAATAATAGCCTTCTAACGTAGCTAAGGTGGATTGAAAATGAATTTCGATCTGCAATTTCAATCCCATGTTTTCCAAACGTCCGCGTCGAATTGTACCCGCCCATTTCATTGTCTATCACTGAATGTTTTGATTGTAACAGATAGAAATGACGTAAGCTGTATATTTCCAATTTTGCCAGTTAATGTTCCGCGGTCTTACCGTGCACGAAGGTCTCGGAGAAATTGGCACTCGGAAAAGTCAACATATTTTAAAGTGTTCGTTTACTTTTAGCAAAACTGAACATTACATATATAGAAATAGACAACATGTGAACCCTCTGAGAGTCTATTCTTTAATTTAAAGTGACAAGTTTACTTAAAACTATTATGAAACAATAAGCCTACATGATTACAAATATTGACCGTATTTTAATGAGTAAATACTCATTTCTTCGAAGATTTCGTTTGTTTAATTTTTCCCTTCCTCCCTCGTAGGTTTTGAAGTTTATAGGAAACATCAAACGTACAATTACTTCCAGTCAGCCTTAATCACATTAACAAAAAGTATGTGTAGGGCAGGTTGGGGGGGGGGGGGGGGGTCAATGACAATTATTGAGTTAAAAGCTTATACAGTGTCTGAATAAAGTGATGGCAAAATTTTGATATCTAAATGATCCATGGTGAGAGAACTAAAATCTAAAAAAAAAATTTGAAGATTATGATTAGAGGCAACCATAACAGGATAACTTTGCTTCACACCTGGAATGGAACAATGATGTAAAAATTTTATACTAAGGCTGCTTCAATTAAAGAAAAAAAATTATATGTTTTGAATTCATTTGCAAGAATTTTCTTTAATGTTTCAGCTATTTATATTTGGATTTCTTGGTATGCATATCATGCCACCGCAAAGCAGGCGGATTTAAGGGAGGGGGGGGTGTCCAAAATATACATAAGTTTTAATAAATCAATTTTTGGTGTTGTTGTGGGCCCCTGCCCCGATCCCAAACTGCCCTCCTTTCTACCCAAACTGCCCTCCTTTCTACAAGATTCCTGGATTCTTCAGTGCATACATGTACATGTATGCATGAGCTGAATGTCAAACATATGTCTTTACAGATACATGTACATATATACACACACCAGTAGCCTTTTTCCTTCCGCTTTTTTCAAAACCATATTTCTTTTTATGAATGTGCTTAAAAAAAATAGATGAATTTTCTTTATATATGACTTTTATATCAAGAAAATTGCTTTTTGTGTGATTTATTTAGAATTTAGTATATTTGCTTGACACTAATTTTCCGTTCCGTTTTCCATTCCGCGTTTTAGCAAGACCACCCCCCTTCCCGATCTATCACTAGCTTCAAAATATGAATTTGTGTAAACATGTAATCTATAACTTTGGATGATGCTGCATGGAATATTTGCCAAAAAAAAAAAAATTACATGTAATAAAATAAACATTTGTATTTGTATGTGCTATTTCGAACTAATAATGTGCATACTATCTATATAGTATTCGGCAACTTTTTTACTTGTATTGTTTTGTTGAACTCCTATCAACTACTGCAGAGTTATTATTATCATGAATACTATAATATTTATTTTTCACAATAAAAGACTTTAAAACATATTTAATGTTGGACCATGCTTTTAATGTTACATTAAAAGGTTATCGTATTCGATGCATATACATTTTATCGTATTTTTTATGGTTGTCATATTATTGTTCGGAGGTCACACTATGACTATAGTAAGACTACACACACATGTATACATTGAGGGAGACTCGTGGAAAATATAAATATACTGAGGTATTTCCGATTTTTAAAATTAATCTTTTAATAAATTAAAAAAAAATTATTGTGCTATTTCTGTGGAATGAATTGAGGTCTAGGATATTTTAGTACTGTTGTTCAATACTACATGTACAACCAACGGACACTATAATCTAAATACACTTGTGCAGATGCTGTACAAACAGCATAAGTACAAGCGGCATCTTTAGGTTCCATTTATTCTTTGTTTTCAAAATATTTTAATCATATTCATAGGTATTAATAGTTTACAATATCCAGTGGTGGTATTTGAAATAAGAAAAGCTCATTCTGTATCAATTATGCGTCATAATATCGATATCAGGAAAATTGTGTCGGTAAAATATCTTTTTTCCGAATGTTAACTTTTCCAAAATTCATATTGATCACAGGTGACAACCAACACTATTTTAATAGTGTAACTGCGATATGTAATGATGAACTTATATTCGGAGCATAAAAGTGGTTGTTGCATGTGAAAGGGTCTAATTTCAGCAAAGATTACTCATTTTTCAATATAATTTAACGATTTTACATGAACATTCCATGTTTAGCGCGCATTAGTGACGTCATAGTTAAAAATTACGTCATTTTTGTGCCTGTGGAATTTAGTTCGCATCTTCCTTACTTCAAAGCATAACATCAAAAAACGATACAAAGAAGATTAAAATATCGTATTATTGGCGGCGAATTACTGCTAATACCGTACTTTGTTCTTACGTCAATTCCACACAGAAAAAAATAACATACACATAAAGTAATAACACACATAATCGCATCACTATATCCCATCATACGTTGCGAGGGGGTAATACTGTTGTATATTTCTAAAATATAAGTCTAATTCCTTTTGTTTCATGAAAATTTTTTCAAAGTGCGTTAAATGTTTACATGGGGTAAAATTATGATGTACAGTCTTAACGCACTTTGAAAAATTTTTTCAAAGTGCGTTGATTTGGTCCCAAATTCAACGCACTTTGAAAAAATTTTTCAAAGTGCGTTAACCTGGTCCCAAAAATTAACGCACTTTGAAAAAATTTTTCAAAGTGCGTAATTTTTCAAAGTGCGTTGTAACAGAGGTATAAGATAGCGATATAAAAAAAATATAGAAGGTAAAGAGGTAAAATTTACCCTGTCTATCAAATAGTATAATAAAGAAAGGAAGTGGCTACAATTTTTAAGAAATTTTAATGTCCGATGAGGAATTATATTCCCAAAAAGTAAGACAAGAGTTTCCAAGGCAATTGAACACTTCATTATTTCAGTTTGTTCATTAACATGTTCATAAACGTAAAAACTATAAGAAATGTGAAAACTTGACTATGTGATTCATATTTCAATATGACTGTACCTCGATCTATATTGAGAAATTCAATGTATTATAAGCTCATGAAAAGATGTACACATTTGACTTTTATTTATCCCCCCCCCCCCCAAAAAGAAAATCCTGTTCAAATGACTTCTCGCTCTCAATTTTAACACAAATGCATAAAATAAAGGTAAAATAGCATATCTTGTATCGATTAAAATGCAACCAAATAATTTATGGTGTCTTTGAATAAAAATTTCCATGATAAACTGACATAAAAAAAATACTCACCTTCAATTAGCTATTTTCAACCTGTTTTCTCGAGGGTATTTATTTAATCTTATTTTATTTTCTTCTTTATACTAAAGTTGGTATTCTATCATGGCAGAGATATACCATTATGACTCGCTTATACTGTACTCTCTAACTGTTAGGATTAATTTATATTTCACGTGAAAGGGACGCCATGCATTTTTCAGTAAAAATACATAACACGGCGTAAGTCGTTTAATTTCTTTAAAGTTTCACATTTTGTGAATAGTGCACAAATTAGAAAATTAAGTATATGGAATACTTTAATGGGAAGTATAGACAAACGAAGTGTAGTTATTTGTTTTTAGAAATTATATTGAAAAATAATAACGACATTGTGTCCTCTTTGTTACCCCAGCAGTGTTTGTCGTGTGATTTTAAACTTATTTGACAACCGTATGAATTAGGTTTAATAAAAATAAACCCACAAGATACTGATGTACAAGTAACAGTTACTGGCATAATGCGCCGTTGCTTTATTCTTTAGTTTTTATAGAAAGTTGCACGGAAAACCCGATTTCGCGGATTCAACGATACCCTAATATCGAGTATTATACGCGATTTCAGGGATTAATACCCGATTTCGAGTATTCTCTCCGACCTGTTTAAGGCTGGATTTTGATTGGTCGAAGATTAAACAATTCGTGAAGTGTTATTTCCTGTTCTGAAAAAAGAGCATCGGTTTGTCCAGACTATATACGTACTTATAGAACTTATTCAACTTTGCCATTCACTGATAAAATCTTAAAATAGAAAAAAACTATTCTGAAATTAGCCATTGTCGTACTTATGTCTCAATATCATATAAGAAAACCAAGTTTTTCGATAACAAAATTCACATTCATATTAAAGACGGATCTTAGTTCACATTGTGTAAAAAAAATCAAAGGTAAAGAAAAAAATAGGGGAAGAAATTGAAAATAGTCTAAAATCATGATAAAAATAAAATTTAAAAGCAACAGTATTTAAGAAATAATGTATATGTTGGATAATTCTAGAAATAACCACAACTCTTGTTATAATAACCAACTTTTCATTTAATTGTTATAACCCAAATTTAACCAGTAACTAATAAATTAGGAAAGGTGTTTTATTATACTATATGTATGTCATGTGCCAATGCAAACTGAATGAATTATTTTAGATGATGTTCGTGACTGTCTTGAATGTGAGTCTTGTATTGACATTTTTGCAGATAACGACTTCTTCATGTAACAAGTAGGTGTATGTTTCTTTAAATCAATTTATAGACAATTTTGTACATGTTTAGAAGTGGGATCAGGTGAATAGTAAGAGTAAACATCCCCTGTCGACCGGTCACACCCAACCTTATAAGCCCAAACATATTGATCAAATAGTATACAATTATTTAATGCCTGAGCAGTCAGTAGACCAGAATATTTTTCCCGAGGTGTAGGGAACAGCTCAGTGTGTTCTAATGCCCGAGGCCAGCGGCCGAGGGCAATAGAACACACTGAGCTGTTCCTTGCACCGAGGGAAAAATTTTTGGTCTATTGACTGCTTAGGCATTAAATAATTGTTTTATTACCTAATTTTAATTTCCGTATTAAGTATTCACAGTTGTATATTCAGTACAGAAGGTTCCCGTACCATATTGTAAATTTATACCTAGATATGGTGCATCTGTAATATTAATTAAAGATTGATTGTATAGAATATTGTTTACATTCCTCTCGAAAATTTTTCACTCATATGGAGACGCCACCACTTTCCGGTGGAGAGTGACCTTTTTCGCGCCAGCACTGCAGCAGTGCACTTACTGCGACACGGGAATTCGGTGGATAGGTCTCACCCGATGAACCGGTCTCCACGTCCCACAGTGTATTAATTAGAAAAGTAATTCTCATTAAATAAAATATCCGACCATTGAGATCACAATTTTTAAAACCAATGTCGAAAGATCGAATAAGATGATTGTTTACCATGTCTGTGCACAATCGCAGCTTCTCGGGCCTTTCCGACTAGCGGAAAAACAACCTCGGATGTATATGGTAGACGCCATGACAACCCTCCTTTTTCATGATCTTTGAAATATATGCATGGAGACCTTTTATCTGTGGAATATGGAGTTTAACTTTATTCAATGTTATCATATTACCTAAAATATACTATTGAAGGGACTTCTAACTCCATCTATTATACATTTGACTAAACAGGAAATGTATAAATTTTTAACATCCGGCGATGTTAATACATTAGTCTCGTTTACCCCAGACTCTCGCTCTCGAGACTTGGGCCGAGTGAGAGTCTGGTCTGATTCCTATTTAATTTTTGTAATTTCAAATCGAGGCTTACCGAGAAATCGGTATGGATTTTCATTGGCTGACACATTCTCTTCGAATCTAAGATCTGTTTTCTTTAAAAAGTCAGAGGCTGCGCCTGTACTTCTACCTGGTTTTAAAATAAAATACCTCTGTCTGCTTAATACAAGGAACAAAAAACGCACATATCTTTGTTTAAAAAGTAAATTCTCATATGTATTTTCATTTGGAATCGCCATCTTGTTAGCCGGTTAAGCGACCTCTACTGGTTACGAAAACAAGTAGAGCTTTTCAAAAAAGCTTACCGTCTTTAGCAACAATTTTAAACAGTAAACAGATCTATACTTAACAGGCCGTATAATTCTTTTGAAATTCTTGATTTTGTATTTCTAAATTAGCTTTTTACGGGCATTAGCCCTACCACGGTTGTCGCTCGGTCATCTCCGTAAACTTTGACTGGCCGAGAGCTTTCGTCAAACCGCGGCTGATTCCCATTCACTCTTCAAACCAGAAAGGGGAAAAGAATGATAACAAATTGTAAAACCTGCAAGCAATAACTATCAAATTTTATTTATAATGAAATTAAAAAGACCTTTTTATTTATTGCTATAAAAAATATCATGTTATTAATAAAAAATTACTGCTGATTTTGTTGTTCGTTTTGTCATTTTTTATTGGAAATCTTGCAAAATTGTTAAGTCGTACGAAAAATAGATCAACAGAAAGTTATCTCCCTTGCCCTGAACAGCATTTCAACCAATGAAATAATTGAAAATTTTCTCATCATGCAATTTCTACCAATCACAAAAGAGAGGAAGTGCATAGTCCGAAGACTGTAAAAAACTTCAACTATACAATACCGTCTTCCAAGGAAGACGGTAATTAAATAGGAATCAGACCAGACTCTCGCTCGGGCAAAGTCTCGAGAGCGAGAGTCTGGGGAAAACGAGACTATTAATACATTCGAGGTTGTTTTTCCGACCTCTGACGGAAAGACCCGATCCGATCTCTGACGGAAAGACCCGAGATGATGCGATTGGTCTGTGCAGTGTTACAAACAACTAAATTTGAAACCCGGATCGGTTTTTTTCCGAAATACGTTGCATGTCAATAGAACGTGCAGTCTATTGACCGGGAATTGGATCTCAGTCTATTGACCGGTCAATAGATCGACAGTCGATAGATCTGTTTGAAAAGATAAGAAAAACTGAAAACACATACAGAATAGATGAAAATATTAAATTTATAATAAAACAACAAAATTCATTGGATTAGGTAATAATCAAATTTAGTGTTAAAACAAATGTCTAACAAATGATATATGTCAGACGAAATATTCTTTTTCAGTTCTTATATGATACTGGCACCAAAAATCGTGCGAGCTGGTTTGTCTGAGAACATTACTGTAACAGTTCTAAAGAGAAATGTCACTGCGACCATTACAGCATCTCTACTGGACTTAAAAGGGAGCATTCTGTCAACAAATACCGGATTCTTCCAAAGTCGTTAGTCTTCAGTTGTCTTCAAACACTCACCACCTGAAAACAAAATGAAACAAAAATGTGTAGAAATTATTTTTAAAAAAAGAAATAAAATATTTCAATAACACCAAGAAAAAAAATCAGTAGCATATATTAACCCAAAAGACAACAGTCGTTTTAAAATAACCCAATATTATTTTACATACATAATTCTAAAGACTTGTTTTCAGATGTTCCCAAGGCACTGACTCTAAGGGTAAATTTCTTTTTATTAAAGTTCAGTAGTAAGCAGAACAGATTGTGTAACTGTACGCATTTCTTATCATTTTTAAAGTATTTATTTCTTCCTATTTGGCTATGTACATTTGATGTTATGATATAATCAGTAGTAAAACTGCATCATTACTAATAAATTTTTAACGATGAAGATTCCAGAAAATGTAAATTCTTCGAGCAGTGCAACGCATAGAATACGCTGTAAAGGGACTTCCGGTCTGTTGTTTGATACTGAGGCTGAAGTTTTTGTGGAAGGACGAAACATGACATTATACATTCAGACAGACAGAGGCACATACAAGGGCGGTCAAAAAGGTACCTTTTCTTTGTAGTACTCATAGATAATAGTGTGTCAAGTCATAATTTATAAAATATTGTTTGTAAATATATCTGTAAAACCAATTTTAAAAGTAATTGTTTCATTGCAGAATTTGTTGCTACTTTAATGTAAAGCGACTATTTTTTTGTGTAAAGAAAATGATTTATAAAATAAAATCAGTACCTGGTAGTCGACAAAATCTTTTCTTCCTACAGTCAGAGTTCGGGCCTTTGGACTTCACATAAATTCTTCCATCTTCATGGGAAACATTACTTTGGAAATAATGGTAATCTTGCAAGAGAATTTTCTATGAACTAAAAAAATTTTATGTGAAAATTTAAAGAATAATTGTTATTTTTATTGGGCCTATTAGAATGTGAATGAAGCAAAAATGTCCATGTACATATTCAAAATCATCATTTCTCATAGACATCTAGCAAGCCTAATTGTAAAAATCGTAGATACAGGGTCCTGGTACAAAAAGGAGTTAAATAAGTTGTCATCTGATGACGTAAAAGCTTATGGGCCTTTGTAAAATTGAAATTTAAAATTATATAGTAAAAATACAAACACCAAGTGAATGTTCTTGCATAAATGATTCCATTCCTTACTTGTTTCCAAAATCATCATAAAGAGACCTTTGTGTTAATAAAATATACCTCTGATCATTATCATCTTTTAAAAACAAAGAAACAGACATTTACATTTATACACAGTGAAGCCTCATTTATCCGGACGCTTTGGTTCCTAGTAAATTTTTCCGGATATGTGAAGCGTCCGGATATCTGTAATACCAAGTAAAAAGACAAAATAACAACAAATTTTCTGTTCCCATGAAAAGTCGTCCGGATACTGAAGCATCCGGATATCTGGCGTCCGGATATCTGAAGGTCCACTGTACAGTACTAGTATTTATTCATGTGTTAAAACATCTTTTTTCAAAAACTTTACATCTCAAAGTTTACCCACAGAGAACAGAAATAATTCGAAATTTCTTATCAGTTCTTACAAACACAATAAAATTGTACAAGCCGTAGAGCATGTCATGAATTTCCCTTTTCTATAAATCAGGATCCAAAGTCCAATATTATTAAGCAATGGCCGCAGCTTCAAGAACCTGACTTCGGAGTCGTATCGGCTACATTAGAGCTGGACACACAACCAGTGCTCGGTAACTGGACTGTCAGAGCCACGGCTCAGGGCATCAGTAGAAACGTGTCCTTCCAGGTTAAGGAATATGGTAAAAGACATACACATGTATTGCACCCTTCCTATATTTTTAAATAATTAGATTTTTCATTACCATTGTAATATAAATTCATTTAATTTTTTCAATTATCACCTTTCTAAATCTATCATTGATACTTTAGTATTTGTAATCATGTTACACTTTATCGCAAAATTCAACCATAACAAAATGACGTTTTTTTTCTCTTTTATTCAATTTCACTTCGACTTTCAAAATATAGCTTCAAATATAATGTGCCTAATAACATATTAAATCAAACGGAATTTACACATACCACTACAGAGATTTAATTAATATTATTGTACATATATTTGCTTTTGAAAAGTGCCTCCAAAATTCGACTTGGAAGTAAACCTATCGAACACAGTCCCTGTGAGTAACACAGACATCACAGGGTCAGTAATGGCTAAATACACATTTGGGAAACCAGCCTCTGGTCAACTGGTCATCACAGCCAGTATTTCTGGACTGAGGCTGTCCCCAGCAGACGACAGTAGCAAGGGTTTACAAATTTATTCAGATCACTTCCACGTACGTATTATCATAACCTATAAAGTCTCTTTCGCTCTTTCTTTCTTTCTCTTTGTGTAACATCATGCATTTCATTATAAAAAAAACAGATTGTGAGTAGAGCAAACCAGGACACAGAGGTGTGATCAGGTACAACGGAGGAGCAAACATCCCCTGTTGATCAGGTCACACCCGTCGTATACACTATTTTCAAAGTTTTAGGGTTTTCATTTTTTGAAAGAAGATTAAAACCAAAATTGAAATATGGTATGCGTCTAATTTCAGATTTCAAAACTGAGAAAATTTGTCATTCCGTTTGGTCATCTAAGAGATCACTTACTCAGCCCTCTTCTACAAGGAAAAACTGACAACTTATTGAATAAAAGACTGAAGATTGACATCCTGTTTACAGAAGAATTAACAAAAGTGAATGTAACAAAAACAGCATATGTTACACTTACCAAACGTCATTCATTAAATCTGGTTTTGTTGAACTCTAATTCCTCTAAATACATCCCGGGAATGCATTATCAACTAAAGGTACTATATGCTTAGTTAATATAATGTTTAAGGTTTTTACATGCCACATCAGACACATTCTTTTTGGTGTATACGGTGTGGTTACAAACTGCTTGGCTTAAAATAAGCTAAATTTCGTATATACGTTTGTACATGCACATTACAAGTTATGAAAATGTTTTAAGAAACTTAAAGTCTTCTTTTCCAAAAAGGAATTTATAATCTATAGTTGAAAAGCATATGTCTGTGATCAGAAAGCGAGCTACTGGGTTACGAGTATATGGCCCCAGATAACTCTTCGCTGACGATAAAGTCAAATGTTTAACGATTCAGTCAGTTGGTTTTAAATCTGCTTTTTTCCATTGTGATACATACTGATATAGTATATACAATTTTTGTACCTCACTTTTCTCACAGTTTTGTGCGTTTAAAAAGCATTCAATATCTAGATCATTTAAAAATCTATTCTTAACACTTTGTTTTTTTTTCTACGTATGAACAGGTAAAACTTACTGATAACAACGGTGGATTGCCTTCGTCATCGGAATTTCTCAACATCACTCTAGAATCCTGCTCACACAGTGGACAGAGACACAGAGAACAACAACAGTTAGTTCCGGTTCCTGTCAACGGTCACGTGATCAGAGTGTTCGATATGCCAGACAACGCCCACATCTCAAACGTCACATTCCAGGTTGACATTTTCATACTAATTCTGAAAAGTGTTTTACTTTTCCTTGTGTGAGAAATGCTTGCCGCATCATTTTGTTATAGGAAACAAGTAGAGAGTATTATTGATCAAAACTTGAATGGATGAATGATGAATAATAGCTTTTTAATTATTGTATTTCATAATAAACTGAAAAGTTTATGGACTTTTTAAGGTTAGTTGTCGGGACGCCAGGAACTGGCTAATTTTGTACCCATATGACAACAAACAGATCCACGTGAAGCTCAATATAGTATCTACAAGTCACAATGTAAGTTATCCAGATTGTCTACAAGTCACAATGTAAGTTATCCAGATTGTTTACAAGTCACAATGTAAGTTATCCAGATTGTCTACAAGTCACAATATAAGTTACCCAGATTGTTTACAAGTCACAATATAAGCTATCCAGATTGCATACAAGTCACAATATAACCTATCCAAATCTTCTACAAGTCACAATGTAAATTATCCAGATTGTTTACAAGTCACAATGTAAGTTACCCAGATTGTTTACAAGTCACAGTGTAAGTTATCCAGATTGTATACAAGTCACAATATAAGCTATACAGATTGTTTACAAGTCACAATAAAAGGTATCCAGATTGTTTACAAGTCACAATATAAGGTATCCAGATTGTTTACAAGTCACAATATAAGGTATCCAGATTGTATACAAGTCACAATATAACCTCTCCAGATTGTTTACAAGTCACAATATAAGCTATCCAGATTGTTTACAAGTCACAATGTAAGCAATCCAGATTTATTTTATAACTTAGGCCAAGTAAGCATAACACGCACAATCCAAACTGGGACTTTAAAGCATATTTCAGATATATATATTGAACGAATAAAAAAAGAATGTGTCCATAATTTTGGCGCGTTTGAAATATGATTTGCATTGGCTACCAGTTTATGCTTTGTATAGAAGTAAAAAAAAAATTGTTTGTTTAGTACAATGTAAGATAATATACTACATGTAGCATTATGAATACAAATTATGGGAAGTACATGTATGTTGAAATGTAAATTTTTTATCTGATATACATTTTATAACTTGCTCATTTTTAAATTTACCTCAAATATTTGAAATTTTAAAAAATTATTCAACAAACATTCTTGCAATTGCAGGTAGGTGAAAAGTTAAATGTAGAAATGCAGTTCAACAAACCAACACCAGAAGTATTTTATCAGGTGAGCTTTCTTTTCATTTTCTGCTTCCTCTAAAATATTTCATATGATTATGATTATTTATTATTATATTTTATATAATTTTAAAAAAAAATATTTTTAGTTCGTAGCCAGAGGAAGACAGGTTTTATCCGGAAAACATAACATAAACAATAAAAGACTCTCTACGATGGAAGTGTTGCTCCTGCCAGAAATGGCCCCGGAGACCTCCTTACTTGTTTATAATGCAGATCCAATCACAGATGATATATTTGCTGATGAAGTTAAATTTAATGTGCATGGATTTCTATCAAATTTTGTGAGTTTATGGCATGAATGAGAATTATTTTTATTCTATTTGGAACATTTTTCTCGTTTATAAATATGCGTATACATGATATTTCTTTATAGTAGTCCATGTTGCATTTTAATCAATATGTACATGTTCACGTAAAAATAGTTTTCAAGAAAGTACAAATGTACCCTGCGTAAATCTCAGGTACTCAACGAAATTTTAAATTGTAAATGTCATACGACATAGATTTTTTTTTGTAAAGCTTATATCAGAACAACATATAAACTACTAACTACTTATGTCATAAAAATAATACCTTCAATATTTCCGACTGAGCATTGTTATGACACGTTTAGTGATATACTCGGATCATAAAACAATTTAACTGTAAAATTAAAAAAAAAAGAGTATTACATCATTATTCAAATTATACTTTCTACATTATACATGTGTACATTTAAAAAAAAATAATATCACTTTTTTTAATTTATGATAATAGGTATCATTAAACTATAGCACCAACCAAGCGGAACCGAACGATCACATACAACTGACTGTTCAAACACTCCCTCAGTCCAAGGTTTTCTTATTAGCAGTGGACTCTTCCTCGATATTACTGGGCAAAAACAATGACGTCACTGAACAATCAGTATGTTAGCTCAGTTATAATGGCAAAAACAATATAGACGTAAACTGTTACAAAAAGTGGACTAACATCTACTTGGAATCGTATTAAATTTCAAAAGTATCGTTATTCCGTTTGAGATTTGAAATTTTTCAATTTTACTATACTAAATTTTAAATTCCTTTTATAAAAAAAATAGTGGGGAATTTATTGTAAACCATAAGCAATGTCTTTGTAGTTGAAGGAAGTATTCAGTGAGTTCACCCCAGAATCCCAGTGGAAGTTGTTCTTTTATACAAAAGACTGTAATCATCCAAGGATAGATCACGACCACACGTATTCAGCTTACAGATTCGAGGTAAACTATTTCATCTGTTACAGTAAAACATTATACATGTATATACCCCTTACTTTTGGTCTTTGAAAATTGATTTTCTAAATTTTTATGCAAAACAACGGGGTTCATTGAATAGCTGATATGAAATTTGATATTGCATATTTTCATTACATTTGAATGATGTAGATTCTGACAAATTCGTATCATCAGTATTTTATTGTGTAATGCTTAAGAGTAGTGTTTGGAGTATATTTAGTGCATTACAAAATTTATACATATATTTATCATAAATAATGTTATTATATTTTAATATTTTATATTTAACTTTTTCAATACCGAAATGATTTTTGCTTGTTCTTAACCAAAGTTTTAAGGTGAGCGATGTGACTCATGACCCTTTTGTTAGGCATCCATATGCTCTTAATGCATAATGATGTTTACTAAATAAACGTTCATGGGGATGTTGATTCGTCGATAAGGGTGACCCACGAAACCCATGAACAGTGGTCCCCCACGAACAATGATGATTCCACTGTAATCTTGAAAAACTTGTGATTTGTCAACACATCATATTCTTTTTATTGCTAGGAAGCGTGACAATTTTGCTACCATTTTCCGTTAATAAACAAAGATACTAGTATTCTTTTCTTTTTTTTCTTAGGAAGCGGGGACAAATTTGCTCACAGATGTCGTTAACTACAACCGTTTTTCATATGAATATCTGACAGGTAAACCCATAAATGAATTATTAATAAATGAACGAAAAAGATGGATATTACAAACTGAGGACAACTAAAAACAATTCAAATCTCGTAAAACATAGACCACTGGAAATTTCAGAGGTGGGATCAAGTGCGTCGGAGGAGAAAACATCCCCCATGAACCGGCCATTCTCACCGAACGTATTTGATCCGACAGACTGAAAATTCCGTAGTCCATTTCAGTAAAAGACCAAAACAAGTCATATTTGCTGATAAGGTCAACATATTATAGACCATCATTTAGTAAATGTATTAAATGTAACCATTAAATACTAGTTCATAAACATTATTCTAGATGCAATTACTTTGTACAGTGTATATGAAATCCGCACGGGCCAGTCTGACCTAACGCTAATTGAATTACCTAAACCTTAATTCTCTCCATGCCAGGAGGCGCACAAGGCTTGAACATCTCTTTTCCACTGGGGCCGGTCTGAAGCTTCATGGTGTACTATGTTCCAGCCTGCATTATTTTGCTCCTCCTCGACCATTTGTCTTAGGGCGACCTCGCTTCCTTTTCTCCTCAGGCGTGCACCCGAGGGTCACAACACAGTCATCCAAGGAATCCTTTCTAAGCACATGGCCGATCCAGTTAAATTCCCCTCCTCCCCCTTACCTCGTCACTTTCGTTTTTTGCTTCTGCCATCTCCAAAACCGTCTTGTTTTGGATATGCTGCTGCCATCTGACCTTCAGAATCCTTCTGAGGCACTTGGTCTGAAAAATGTCAATCTTTTTTCCTCTGTCTTGGAAAGCTTACAAGTCTCACATTTGTACATGACAATACAGAGAGGACCAGGTTCTTAAAGAGTGAAACTTTTATCTTGATACTGAGGTCTGTAATGTTCCAGATGTTGGCTATCCTCCTGAAGGATGCACTGGCCAGTACTTCCTGATGTCAGCAGTACCTTCTCCATCTATGGTGACTCACATTGATCCCGAGGTAAATGAAGCTGTCCATCTCGTCGGCTTCGCTTTTCCGATGGTCATATTGATTTTGCTCTTGCTATTTATCTTCATCACTTTGCACTTCTTGGCATTCGGCTTCTATAGATCAGGACTATGGTCTCGTTGGCATCAAGCACAGAACATTGAAAATTATCATACAGGGCTTTGATCGTAGATCAGAGATCAGAGAGAGTCAAGACAAGTTTTAAGTAAAATTACAGGGATAAAGACAAAGCAGTCAAGATAAATACGAGATAGGACGAGTAGATATGGAAGACAGATAAAGCTGAGCGAGCACAGGCAGAAAGCAGTCGAGAAGGGAAGGCAGAAAGAACTGTACAGCATATTTAAGCAGCTGACAAGAAAGCGTAATAAAAATACATCAGCGGTGAAGAGCAAAGATGGAGAGCTGCTGAAAAAAAGAAAGAATCGAAGCTTGTTAGATTTAGGGAACATACTGAATGTGTACTTTAAAAAAAGGACTTTATATTTTAGCGGCTTTCGCGCAGCAAGAGATGCACTAATTCACGAATACCGCCAAAAATCATTTATAAGTTAACTAAAATATATAGCGTGTTGTAGTGTAGGGCTAATTCATAAATACGCCAATAACTCAATGCCCAGTGATTCCGCTAAAATTTGAATACCAATTTAATTTCACGTACAGTAATTTTGAGGAAGTACTAAACAGGGACACTCCTGAGTCACTACCACAAGATGAACATGAGGAGGGAAAAGAGCTAGACATCTCAGTTGAGCCACCCGGAGTAAGGACTGCACTGAAGACTCTTCGGAATGGGAAAGATCCAATAACAGCTGAAATGTTAAAGGCAGACCTTGATAAGAACAGCCAGGAATTGAAGCACAAATTATAAACCAGATATGGAATAAGTATTAAGTGCTAAAGAATGGACCAGAGGACTGATCTGTAAAATTCCCAAGAGAGTCAACATACAGGACTGCAGCAACTGGAGGGGAGTCACATTGCTGCCCCTAGCCAATAAAGCACTCAGCAGGGCAATCATCAACAGAATACAGGCTAGAGTTGACTACACCCTTAGGAAATAACAGACAGGTTTCTAGAGAGGGAGATGGACTGTCAACCAGATTTCCATCCTCAGTAACATCCTGAAACAAGTTCACGAGTGAAATGCTACACTGTACATCCATTTCGTGGACTTTCTGAACTGTTGTACCCAGAAACTGATTACGATGGTCAAAGCCCTGTATGACAATTTTCAATGTTCTGTGTTTGATACTAACGAGATCATAGATCCTGTTCCTGTGATAAATAGTGTCAAACAGAGATGCTGCATTTCAGGCTTCTTGTTCCTCCTAGTGATAGACTGAGTGATGCAATGGACTGTCAGAGAAAAGAGAATGGGGATTAGATGGGTCTTCACCACTATGCATAAACTATTCTTTGCAGTGAACATTGCCCTACTGTCATCAACAATGAACCCCCTTCAGTCTAGGACAAGTTTAGACAACAAATCTAGAAGACAAATCCTTGAGTTGAAGCTGAATGCCAAGAAGTGCAAAGTGATGAAGATAAATAGCAAGAGCGAAATCAACATGACCATCGGAAACAGCGAAGCAGATGAGATGGACAGCTTCGTTTACCTCGGCATCAATGTCACCAACGACGGAGAAGGAACTGCTGACATCAGGAAGAGGACAGCACTGGCCAGTGCATCCTTCAGGAGGTTAGCCAACATCAGGCACATTACAGACCTCAGTAGCAAGATACAATCTCCCTCTTTAAGAGCCTGGTCCTCTCTGTATATTGTCATACAAATATAAGACAGAGGAAAAAAGGTTGACATCTTTCAGACCAAGTGCCTTAGAAGGTCAGATGGCGGCAGCATATCCAAAACAAGACAGTTTTGGAGATGGCAGTAGCAAATAAATTAGTGACAAGGTAAGGAGGAGGAGGGGAACTGGAATTGGATCGGACATGTGCTTAGAAAGGATGCCACGGATGACTGTGTTGTGACCCTTGGGTGGACACCTGAGGGGAGAGGGAACTGAGGTCGCCTTAAGACGGATAGTGGAGGAGGAGTAAAATAATGCAGGCTGAAACACGAAACACCGTGAAGCCTCAAACCGGCCCAAGTGGAAAAGAGATGTTCAAGCCTTGTGTGCCTCCTGGCACGGAGAGAATAAGGTTAAGGTGAGAAAAATAGCGTTATGTCAGAATGTGAGTATATTCGGTCCACAGGGGACGTTTTCTCCTCCGACGCACCTGATCCCACCTCTGAAATTTCCAGTGGTCCATGTTTTATGCCCCGTTCAGAGATTTGAATTGTTTGCAGTAGAACACAGTTTGTAATATCCACCTTTTTCGTTCATTCATTAATGAGATGGAATATAACACATTCAGTTCTAAACAACAAGCATCAGCAGTGTCCGACAAATCTGTTTCATATTTTGATGATTTGATAAATAAAGACATTGAAGACAAACCTTCAACTAAAACTGATTACCTTGATGATTTCAACCGAGATTGACCAGTAGGCAGAAGATGTTTATCCTTCTTTGACATCCCATCCCACCTCTGATTTTACAGAGGACATTATATGATTTTATCTCGTTATTCTTAGAGTATTGATTCAACGGATTGTTTTGCTTAATTACTGTTCATTATCTCCTCTATTTAATTAATGTTTTTTAGTTTGCAGATATCTTAAAGAATTAAAATAATTCATTACTTCTGTTATACAGACTATGAACTTTATCAGGAATGGCGGAAGTGGGCATCGCAAACAAATCATAGTTGTCAATCAGGTGCGTATATTCAACACTAATTAAAAGGATTGCCATAACATTTTCCTAAACTACGAAAAATAGGAAGGGTAGTTTGGCGACTGTGATTTTAATGTAAATGAAGAGAAATAAATGTAAAATAATTTGGGATTGAATGCTAAGTCTAATCAAAATTGTTTCCATTAGCAAATATAGTGTACCCAGAAATTAAACTTTTGAATTAATGATATAATATTACTGTAATATTGGCAATTTGGCATCACCCCCACTTTTTATGATATGACAATGACAAACCCGTCCACCCAAATAAATTACAATCTAAATACTTTCGATGTAGTGAAACTGAGTGGACCCGCTCCTCGGGAAATTAAAATGTTCTGCTTCTTTTTCAATGAAATTCTTGTTTGTTTTACAGTTCCTGGATCGCAGACCTGTGTTGATGGAATAAGTAAATTTGAGGCTTATGGACGAGCTGGTTGTGATGAAATGGTGTACCTTGAATGGTTGTTAAAGAACTGTGCTTACTTTTGCAATATGTGTCAGTCACATGTATGATTTATTATCAAACACATACCACAGAAATATCATTGGAAAGATTGAGGATAACATATGCAAGACCATTAATAAGGGAATAAAAATAATCACCCTTAATATGATTTAACTTACACCTAAATTAGTCTAAATATTGTACAATCATTTCTGTCATTGGGTATATGTTCTTCTTTGAAGGCTCGTGCAAAGATCACATGTATTATGGTGAGTATCTACTATCATAATCAAGAATTTAATGTCTTATATTTATCGACACATCATTTCTAACAAGGCTTTCTTTTGTGGACCCCAGCTTATTGACCAAAAATGCAAGATTATTTGTAGTGAGTGAATGAAAGATATGAAATATTCCGGCTTGAGTTTAATGTGGAAGTGTAAGATACATGGCACCCTTCTAGTTTGTGCTAGTGGGTTAAGCCTTTAGCTCAGTTAGTAGACCACTTGACTGGCAAGCCAGAAGCCCCGGGTTCAATCCCCAGCAGAGACACAGAATTGTCTCTGTTACATTAGTAATGATTATTATCTGTGACACTTCAACAAGAGGCCCATGGGCCACATCGCTAACATGAGCACTAAGGGTAGGAAAAAGGAAGAAAATGGCTTTTTATTGTAAAGTTTAAATCCAAAAGTAGTCCCAGGCTATTTTTTAAAAAATGATTTTTAAAGAATTTTCCTATATATATCTTTTAAAACTTTGGTCGGCCATTTTGGCCCCGCCCTACCCCACGGGGTCATGATTTGAACAAATTTAAATCTACACTACTTGAGCATGCTTCCATATAAATATGATGAATAATGGCTTTGTCATTCTTGAGAAGAAGATTTTTAATAAATTTTCCTATATATTTCTATGTAAAACTTTGGTCGGCCATTTTGGCCCCGCCCTACCCCTGGGGTTCATGATTTGAACAAACTTGAATTAACACTACCTGAGCATGCTACCATATAAATATGATAAAATATGGCTTTGTCATTCTTGAGAAGAAGATGTTTCAAGAATTTTCCTATATATTTCTATGTAAAACTTTGGTCGGTCATTTTGGCGCCGCTCTACCCCCGGGGTCATTATTTGAACAAACTACACTACCTGAACATGTTTCCATATAAATATGATGAATTATGGCTTTGTCATTTTTAGCTCTACTGGTCAGAGACCAGAAGAGCTTATGCGATAGTAATGCGTCCGGCGTCCGTCCGTCTGTCTGTCTGTAAACAATTTTTCAAAATGCTACTCCTCCTACAGTTTTGGTCTGATTTCAATATAACTTGGCACACAAGTAGACTACACTAAGATACATAATTCTCTATATCGGTTTTTGATTTTGATGAACGGTTTTGCCGTGGTTACTAAAAATAGAAATTTTTGTGAAATTCTTTCAAAACGCTACTCCTCCTACTGTTTTGGTCTGATTTCTATATAACTTGGCACACAAGTAGACTACACTAAGATACATAATTCTGTATATCGGTTTTTGATTTCGATGAACGGTGTTGCAGTGGTTACTAAAAATAGAAATTTCTGTGAAATTCTTTCAAAACGCTACTCCTCCTACAGTTTTGGTCTGAATTCAATATAACTTGGCACACAAGTAGACTACACTAAGATACATAATTCTATGTATCGGTTTTTGATTTCGATGAACGGTGTTGCAGTGGTTACTAAAAATAGAAATTTCTGTGAAATTCTTTCAAAACGCTACTCCTCCTACAGTTTTGGTCTGATTTCAATATATCTTGGCACACAAGTAGACTCATACACTAAGAACTTAAAGAGACTTATCAAGGATCATTATTCTATTTATTGCTGTTGTAAAGATCCAATTCCCAACTGCTTATGTACTTTTCTCTCCCATTGCTATAAGTACAAACCAGTAGAGCTTCAGTCTCGACAGAGACTTCTGGTTGAGAAGAAGATTCTAAAGAATTTTCCAATATATTTCTATGTAAAAGTTTGGTCGGCCATTTTGGCCCCGCCCTACCCCGGGGGGGTCATGATTTGAATCTACACTACCTGAACATGCTTCCATATAAATATGATGAATTATGGCTTTGTCATTCTTGGGAAGAAGATTTTTAAAGAGTTTTCCTATATATAAAACTTTGGTCGGCCATTTTGGCCCCGCCCTACCCCCGGGGGTCATGATTTGAACAAACTTGAATCTACACTACCTGAGGATGCTTCCATATAAATATGATGAATTATGGCTTTGTCATTCTTGAGAAGAAGATTTTTGAAGAATTTTCCTATATATTTCTATGTAAAACTTTGGTCGGCCATTTTGGCCCCGCCCTACCCCCGGGGGTCATGATTTGAAGAAACTTGAATCTACACTACCTGAGCATGCTCCCGTATAAATATGATGAATTATGGCTCTGTCATTCTTGAGAAGAAATTTTTAAAGAATTTTCCTATATATTTCTATGTAAAACTTTGGTCGGCCATTTTGGCCCCGCCCTACCCCCAGGGGTCATGATTTGAACAAACTTGAATCTACACTACCTGAGGATGTTTCCCCATAAGTTTCATCTTTCCTGGCACAGTGGTTCTTGAGAAGAAGATTTTTAAAATATGCCACCAAATTGTCATTAATTACCAATTATCTCCCCTTGAATGAGAGCGTGGCTCTTCATTTGAACAAACTTGAATCCCCTTCACCCAAGGATACTTTGTGGCAAGTTTGGTTGAAATTGGCCCAGCAGTTCTTGAGAAGAAGTCGAAAATGTGAAAAGTTTACAGACAGACAGACAGACAGACAGACAGACGGACAGACGGATGCCGGACAAATTGTGATCAGAAAAGCTCACTTGAGCCTTCGGCTGAGGTGAGCTAAAAATTGACTATAGAAGACATTAGTAGTTTTAAATAAATATAATATACACGTATCCTGGCTGAGGTTGTCTCATACATATGAAAATATGATTTTCGGAATCGAGAAGATACTGTTGCTTATATCAGGGTTTTCCTTCTTTGCATAGCAAACTGCTGCTTGAACAAGGTACAACATTGTGGATCCTATGGACAGGAGGTGTGTCAGAAGACTGTGTCCAGAGGATGGGCGAAGGAAAATTGCCCTATGTTCTGTAACGTCTGTGAGTGCCACAAAAATTATTCATCCTACTATCACCCTGGATGCCCATTTTATTACCTTTTATACATAATTAATTAATTTTTTTAAACACCTGCTTAATCACTCGTCGGTTCACCATATTTAAAAACTTAAACTAGATGCTGTCATGAGACAGTAATACCCGCACTAAGGTGTTTGTCTCTAAATACACACTCCTTTATATTGCGCTTTCCAAGGAAAACGTCAAAATAATTCTGTAATTATCACAGTATGTGTAGTCGTCAAATTGAGCATAAAATTTTCAGGTGACCATGTGATCTATGAGTCTCTTATATAAATATTTCGTATACTTAATTCTGACATCATCAGTCTGAAATACAGAATTTAATTAATGATGTAAATTAGATTCTGATAAATATTTTGCCCATAATTGGAACTTTTTAAATCTAATTTCTCAACAACAAAATATATTATTTTAGTACAAAGCATTTTTGATGAATTTATCAAAATGTGCAATTTATTTTAGGTCACCTGAGTAAACTCAGGTGACCTATTGCTATCTGTTTTTGTCCGTCGTTGTCCGTCTTCTGTCGTGCGTCGTTTGTCTTGCGTTAACATTTGAACATTTTCAGCTTCTTCTCTGAAACCACTGAACCAATTTCAACCAAATTTGGCATATAGCATCTCTGGGTGAAGGGTAGCAAAAATTGTGAATTTAATGGTCCCTGTCCCCCCCTGGCGCCTGGTGAGTGGGGCAAAAACCACTAAAATTAGTGCAATCTTTAAAAATCTTCTTTACTCCCGGACATCAAGCAGTCAAACTGTTGGTATGATTGTAATCAGCATTGAGTCCTCTACCAAAACTGTGAAATTCATGGCCCTGGGGTCAGGGGTTCTAGTGCTAGGGCGGGGCTCTATTGATTATATAGGGAAAATGCATTAATTCTTTGAAAATCTTCTTTTCTGCTCCTGGGTATTAAATAAACTTATTAAGTTCATAGTTATGATGAGCAAGAGTGCCTCTTCCAAAATTGTGAATTTTATGGCCCCAGGGTCAGGGGTTATGGTGTTAGGGCGGGGCTCTATTGATTATATAGTGAAAATGCATTATTTCTTTGAAAATCTTCTTCTCTGTTCCTGAGTATTAAATAAACTAACTAAGTACATAGTTATGATGAGCAAGAGCGTCTCTACATAAATTGTAAAATTCATGGCCCCAGGGTCAGGGGTTTTGGTGTTAAGGCGGGGCTCTATTGATTATATAGTGAAAATGCATTAAATCTTTGAAAATCTTCTTCTCTACTCTTAGGTATTAAATAAACTAAGTACATAGTTATGATGAGCAAGAGTGCCTTTACCAAAATTGTGAAATTCATGGCCCCAGGGTCAGGGGTTATGGTGTTGGGTGGGGCTCTATTGATTATATAGTGAAAATGCATTTATTCTTTGAAAAGCTTCTTCTCTGCTTCTGAGTATTAAATAAACTAATGAAGGACAAAGTTATGATGAGCAAGAATGTTTCTACCAAAATTGTGAATTTTATGTCCCCATGGTCAGGGGTTCTTGTGTTAGGGTGTGGCTCTATAATGACTATATAGTTAAAATACATTACATCTATTAAAATCTTTTTCTCTACTCTTAGGTAATAAGCAGATGAACTATTTATATAGTTATGATGGGCTCTTCTTCCAGAATGGTGAATTTCAAGGCCTCTGGGTCAGGGATACCAAAATGGAAGGGGGGGGGCTCTACTTATATGCTGAAAATGAATTGTTTGAAATCTGCTCCTTGGTATTAATCAAGCAATTTTGATAAGCAAGTGTGTCCTTTCAAAAATTGTACAATGTGTAGACCTAGGGTCAGGAGTTCATGTGTGGTAGAAGCACTCCTGATTTTTGCTTAATATTACTGATTAGTTGACATACATTTTTGTTCCCCTACCTTGCTTATGGGTATTAAGTAAACAAACTAAACAATCGCTAAGTGTATAGTTATGATTAGCAATGGTGCCTCTTTCAAAATTGTGAATGCCATAGCATCTAGCTTAAAACATAAACCAAATTCAATCATTTCAAAGTTGTTGCATGATGCTCATGTGACCTATAAGGCCCATGGGCCTCTTGTTTTAGTATTTGGTCAGGCGCAAAAAAAAATTGAAAATACAACCCAATTAATTTGTCAATGGCCATCCCCCTCCCCACCACCACACGCACATGTTTTTTTAAAGACCTAGATGACAAAGTAATGTTAAAACATCGTTTATTATCAATGATAGTTTAAAATGTTTTTTTGTACAAGACATGTTTACGTGTGAACTCCTTTTTGAAAATTTCTACATCACATTGGGTTTGCGTCACCCATTATCATATTTTTAGATATCACCACTCGGCACACCTCGGCCGATTCGCACTTCATCTAATAAAGGCGACGGAATCAGCAAAGGGTTGCCGAATGAGATAGAACATGCTGTTGGTGCAGTGTGGTGTGACATATATCAGCTAAAATCATTTTGTGTTTTAATTGGATTATATGGATTATATTTCATTAAAGTGACAGAACCTTTGACAGTCTGTAAGTACAAGTTTTAGTATAGATTGCGTTAAAATAAACCGAAATGCAAATGGTTAGGTTGAAGTTAAAAAAGGGTCAAAGATCATCGCAAGCCATAGTAGACGAATTTCATATTGTGAAGTTATCTCCCGTTGTCGACGTGACATTCAGTACACAGGTGAAGATCCAGAATTTTTTTCTGGAGGGGGGGGGTCACAACTCAGTCAAAAAATTCCAGCCCAGAAGTTCACGAGAAGCCAATAAAAAACAAATAAACAAAATAAAAACATTTTGACCTTGACCCTAGATCGAGTTTGATCCACTTAAAAAAAACTTTAACCTTGGCAATAACTTTTGAACAGGAAGTACTAGGGTATCTCTCTTATTTCACATGTATATTCCTTGAGAGAAGACTTTCCTTTTGATACCAATAAGGACATTTTGACACTTTGACCTTGGAGTTTGACTTACCTTTGAGAAACTTCAACCTTTGCTAAAAGCTGCCATACGGGGCATCAGTGTTTCACAAACACATCTTGTCTTTGGTTATTTTTAAGGGGTGGTGTCTCCATATGAGTGAAAAATTCCCGAGAAAGATGTTTTCACAACAAACGAATTACTAAAAAAACAACAAAAAAGTGTACATGTACATGTTTTTTTTTCAACGGATATACTTCTGATCATACCTCTTCTTCTCCTTTGAATCAGAAACGATAATATAAATATTTTGAAAATATTGGGAGATCAAGAGGTCAGAATTGGTGGTACCCAAATAAAAGGTCTTGTAACAAGGAATTAACCTATGAAATGTGGAAGCCATATAAAATATATGTATATGGTCAAATGGAAAAAAATCGAGTATTTTGGAATTTCAGGGACAGGGGGTGGCAAGAGAGAGTAGATCACCCAATTGGAATTTCCTTTGTTATTTAAATAGGAATATATGCTGAAGCAAATAAAAATGACTTTGGACATCCTCCCCCTTAGAAAACATGGACCCCACTATCATTGTTTTAATTTTGTTTATTTGTTTTGGTTTTTTTTTGTAATTGTTTTCTTTGCTTGTCAGGAAATTCAGGGCTGGAATTTAATTTTTGACTGAGGTGTGAAAAGCCTCCCGAAAAAAAAAAATGTTGATCTGCATCTATGTGACGTCGACAACGGGAGATAATTTCACAATGTGAAATTCGTCTACTCTGGCATGCGATGATCTTTTACCCTTTTGAACTTTAACCGAATCATTTGCATTCCGGTTTATTTTACCTCAATCTATACTTAAACTTGTACTTGCCGACTGTCATAGGTCCTGTCAACTTCATGAAATATAATCCAATTAAATACAAAATGAATCATTTCAGCTGATGTATACACACCACACTGCACCATCAGCATGTGCCTTTCCCATTCGGCAAACCTTGGCTAATTCCGTCGCCTTATCAGATGAAGTAGGAATCGGCCGAGGTGTGCCGAGTGGTGCTTCATCTAAAATATTAAAATGGGTGACAAATTTTAAATTATCACAACAAACTATGTTTTAAAATAACTTTGCCATCTAGGCATATTTTAAAAAAACGCGCGCATGTGTGTGTGTGTGTGGTGGTGGTGGTGGTGGGGGGGGGGGGGGGGGGGGTATGGGCATTTATTGGATTGGGTTTTCAAGATTGTTTTCTTTTTTTTGCCTGACCAAATACTGAAAAAAGTTTGCATATTTAGATAAATTCATAAAAAACGCATTGTAATAAAATAATATTATTATTTGTTGTCGAGAAATTTAATTTAAAAACTTCCAATCATGGGCAAAAAAAATTTCGAAATCTAATACATCATTATTAAATTCTGGGTTTTTTTTTTCAGACTGGCATATAAAATACAAATAAGAGGCTCATAGGTCACATTGTCACCTGAGAATGCCTTATGTAAATTATAGAATTATTTTTACTTTTTCCTTGGAAAGCCATATATGAAGTAGTGTGTATTTAGAGGCAAACACCTTAGTGCGGGTATTACTGTCTCATGACAGCATCTAGTTAGAGTTGAAAAGGTTAATAGTGCATATTAAAATTGACTAAGCTCTGTGGTTGAATTTGTTATTCCAGTTTTAGCTTTCATTTGCTACTCAAAGCACCTTGATTAACTATTTTCAATCATATATTGTTATCTGATATGCGCAGTTTCTTCAACATGGATACATGTCATACATTTTCAGCTTCTCAAAAAAAAAATTGCATAAAAAACAGCTTTTCAGAAACTGTCACCCTTTCCAAATACTTGTGAATCAAAGGTTTTTGGCTCCATGAGCTTTTCTGGTTTCATGGTCACATTTTGTCTATCGTCCATCTGTTTTTCTGCAAATTTATCATCTCTAGAACCACTGGGCCAATTTCAACCAATTTACATAGAAATATGCAGGGGACTTTTTCCATCATAAATCTTCTTCTCAAGAATAGCAAAATTATTTATCATCCCCCATTTTCGCGAAAGGTATCGGATATTAAATCTCATTTGTATGTCAGTCTGTCACAATAACTTTACCTTGGTTGTCATGGTCATACATTTTGAATGAGAAGAGACAGGACTTACATATCAAACATGTGTATTATTATTTACCTGTGACAACACCATTCTAAATACCCTACGATTTTTTTTATCCTTGAACTTGACCTTGAAGTTTGAATTACTATAAAAAAGAGATCATTTTGAAAGAGAAATGATAGGGCATTCATATTATACATGGATGTATATCACCTGTGATAAGACCTTTCCAATTGTTTTTTGACTTTTGACTCTGTGACCTTGACCTTGCAGTTTAAATAGCTTTTCAAAAATGTTGTATTTCCTTATAATTTTTGATTGAGAAGCGATATGACTTTCACATTTGACGTGTACAGTATCCTCTGACATTGATGTTTTACGTGATTTTCAAAAAAATTAACTCTTGCAAAAGATTATTAGGCCACTGTGTAAAATGTAGGAGGAGTTCAGGGAAAAAGGAGCTTTCTACATTTAAAAACCCATCATTTTTCAACCCCCTTTTGACCCCTCGGGGCAAAATCAAATTTTGAAACCTTACTGCACATCTTCATGATACCACCAACCATCTCCAAAAAGATGATTAGGCTACTGTGTAAATGTCGGAGGAGTTCAATGAAGAAGGGGCTTTTTGCATAAAAACATCATTTTTCGACCCCTATTAGACCCACCAGGGCAAAATGAAAATTCTGAAACCCTACTGAACATTTACATGACACCACTAGCCATCTCCCAAAAGATGATTAGGATACTGTGTAAAATGTAGGAGGAGTTCGGGGGATTTTTTGCATAAAAAACGTCCTTTTTCGACCCCCATTTGACCCTTTTGTCTGTCGTCCATCTGTTTGTCTGCTTTTCACATTTTTAACTTCTTCTTTGACATACACATTACCTGTAGCAAGATGTTTTCCAACATGCAATGATTTTTTACCCCTTGACCTTGATGTTTTACCTAAAATTCAAAAGATTTAACCCTCCCAAAAGATGATTAGGCCACTGTGTAAAATGTAGGGGGAGATCAGGGAAGACAGGGGGCTTTTTGCATAAAAAAAAAACGTCATTTTCGACCCCCATTTGACCCCCGAGGCAAAATCGAAATTCCGAAACTTAACTGCACATCTACATGAACAACCATCCATCTCCAAAAAGATGATTAGGCTACTTTGTAAAATATATAGGAGGAGTTCAGTGAAGAAGCGGCTTTTTGCATTAAAAAACTCATTTTTCGACCCCATTTGACCCCTCCCGGGGCCAAATGACAATTTCGAAACCTTACTGCACATCTACATGACACCATTAGCCATCTCCCAAAAGATGATTAGGATACTGTGTAAAATGTAGGAGGAGCTCAGGGAAGATGGGGATTTTTGCCTAAAAACGCCCTTTTTCGATCCCCATTTGACCTCCCGGGGAAAAATCAAAATTCTGAAACCTTACTGTACATCTCACCACCAACCATCTCCCAAAAGATTATTTATCTACTGTGTAAAATGTAGAGGGAGTTCAGGGAAGATGGGGATTTTTGCCTAAAAGCGTCCTTTTTCGATCCCCATTTGACCCCCCAGGCCAAACTGTATATTCTGAAACCTTACTGCACATCTACATGACACCACCAACCATCTCCCAAAAGATGATTAACCTACTGTGTAAAATGTAGAAGGAGTTCAGGGAAGATGGGGCTTTTTGCCTAAAAAAACGTCCTTTTAACCCCCCCCCCTTTTGACCCCCAGGGACAAATTCAAAATTCCGAAACCTTACTGTACATCTACATGACACCACCAACCATCTCCCAAAAGATGATTAGGCTGCTATGTAAAATGTAGGAGGAGTTCAGGGAAGAAAGTGTGACAGACGGACGGACGGACATGAGAACAGTATAACAATATACCCGAATTTTCTTTAGAAAGTGCGGATATAAACATGTTTGGCCCGTTGATTTCTTTAGCGTTTGATTTTTTTTTAAATTAATAATTATTTGCTTATTACTGAATATATAGTTTAAGTTAAAAAAGGCAATTTGTCCATATGTATTCAAACAATTTTTTAGGTCCAGGAGTAATGACTGGTACAGGAGGGACATTTACCGATAATTGCCCCACATGTACCGGTACAGGAGCTACATCTACCAGTACAGGAGGGGCATTTACCGGTACAGGAGGGGTAATGACTGGTACAGGAGGGGACACTCATAACACAGGAATCCAGCCGCTGCACAGTGATTACATTTTCGTGATAAAGCACTTTCCCTACATTCAGTTTTGGGAATCCTATCAAGTTTCGTATTAAGGCTATACCATACAAAGCTGGCATAAAATTGATAAAGATTAACATGTCAAATTTCTTATGAGATTCATATGCAGGTGTACCGAAAATTTGAAGTATGGATACAGTTGATTTGAAGTATTTATCCATTAAGATCCTCAAATGAAAATTTCCTTATAATAAATATAAAGAAACTTTTTCTGTTTCTTTAAAGAATTTTATAATCAAAGAGATAAAGTTTTCAAAAAATGTGAAATTAAATTGTATGGATTAAGAATTAATTAACATACCATACCTTTGATTTAAAGTATCAATCACCTGATGATGATTGATATACGATTATAATATACCCTTAATATGGAAATTTTTACGTCGATTTATTTTTTCAAATCTGTGTCAAAAAGGTGCTGATTTATTTTTACGATTCAAAATTTTACGAATTGTCTTAGCACTCAAATTAAAAAGATTAAAATTTTCATAACAGTCTATAAGTTAAGCATAAACATATGTAGTACTAAGCATTAAGCAATGCCAAAGTTCAATTATCAGAAGAAAATATTAAAAAAGATAAAAGATATTAGCATTGTACTAAATCTTACATGTAATAAAATGTTTAAAATGATTTCCACATTAACTAACCTTTAAAATATTTTTCATCGAGTAGAAGAAGAGGAAAAAACGCCTTTTATTTCTAAGAAAAATATTTTTGCAAATGAAATGCACGCGCAAATTTGCTGAAAATTTATCTACAGTAAATTTTTTTTAGATTTACATATAATTAAAATATGTATCCTAGGTGCAGCTCATACAGTTTGGGAGAGCAGTTATGTTCGTGCCAAATTTCCCGAAACCTGGCTGTGGGCATCTGAAAATATCGGGTATAACATTTTTAGGTCACCTGAGTAAACTCAGGTGACCTATTGCTACTGTGGAATCATCATTGTTCGTGGGGGACCAATGTTCGTGGATTTCATGGGTCACCCTTATCCACGAATTTACATCCCCACGAACATTTATTTTGTAAACATAATTATTTATTGAATCTTCTTTATATATGAGTTACCCACGAAATTACGTCCCCACGAACCAACAAAATTTTTCCTACCCACGAACATTGACCCCCACGAATAAAAATGATTCCACAGTATCCGTTTTCGTCCGTCGTCGTGCGTCGTCCGTCGTGTGTTAACATTTGAACATTTTCAGCTTCTTCTCAGCAACCACTGAACCAATTTCAACCAAATTTGGCACAAAGCATCTATGGGTGAAGGGGAACAAAAATTGTGAATTTCATGATCCCTGTCCCCCCTGGGGCCTGAGGGGTGGGACCAAATCCACTAAAATTAATGCAATCTTTAAAAATCTTCTTCTTTACTCCTGGACATCAAGCAGTCAAACTGTTTGCATGATTGTAATCAGCATTGAGTCCTCTACCAAACTGTGAAATTCATGGCCCTGGGGTCAGGGGTTCTAGTGCTAGGGCGGGGCTAAATAAGTATATAGTGAAAATGCATTATTTCTTTGAAAATCTTCTTCTCTGCTCCTGGGTATTAAATAAACCAACTAAGTACATAGTTATGATGAGCAAGAGTGTCTCTACCAAAATTGTGAATTTTATGGCCCCAGGGTCAGGGGTTCTGGTTCTAGGGTGGGGCTCTATTGATTATATATAGTGAAAATACATGATTTGTTTGAAAATCTTCTTCTCTGCCCCTTTGTATTAAATATACTAACTAAGTGCATAGTTATGATGAGCAAGAGGGCTTTTACCCAAATTGTGAATTTTATAGCCCCAGGGTCAAGGGTTCTGGTGTTGGGGGGGGGGGGGGGGGCTCTATTGATTATATAGTGAAAATACATGAATTCTTTGAAAATCTTCCTCTCTGCTCCTAGGTATCAAATAAACTAACTAAGTGCATAGTTATGATGAACAAGAGTGTCTCTACCAAAATTGTGAATTTTATGGCCCCAGGGTCAAGGGTTCTGGTGTTGGGGGGGGGGGGGTGGGGGCTCTATTGATTATATAGTGAAAATGCATGGATTCTTCGAAAATCTTCTTCTCTGCTCCTAGGTATTAAATAAACTAACTAAATGTATAGTTATGATGAGCAAGAGTGCCTCAACCAAAATTGTGAATTTTATGACCCCAGGGTCAAGGGTTCTTGGGTTTGGGGTGGGGGCTCTATTGATTATATAGTGAAAATACATGAATTCTTTGAAAATCTTCTTCTCTGTTCCTAGGTTTTAAATAAACTAACTAAGTACATAGTTATGATGAGCAAGAATGCCTTTTTTAAAATTATGAATTTTATGGCCCCAGGGTCAGGGGCTCTGGTGTTAGGGCGGGGCTCTATTGATTTAATATATAGTGAAAATACATTAAATCTTTGAAAATTTTCTTCTCTGGCTCTGGTTATGAAGCAGATGAACTACCTAAATAGTTATGATGAGCAAGGGCCCTAATCTTGCAGAATTGTGAATTCAAGGCCCCAGGGTCAGGGGCGGGGGTGGGGGTGGGGGGTGGGGAGCTCTACTTATATACTGAAAATTAATTAATTATTTGAAATCTGCTCCTTTATATTTATAAAACATTTATTTATTTTTTGATATGCAATTTTAAGGGTGCCTTTTTAAAATTTGTGCAATGTGTGGACCTAGGGTCAGGGGTTTATGTCACAGTGTTAGGGGCACTACTGATTATTGCTGAATATTACTGATTAGTTGGAATGCAATATTGTTCCCCTATCCTGTGTATGGGTATTCAGTAACCAAGCTAAGCAACTGCTAAGTGTATTGTTATGATGATCAATGGTGCTTCTTTCAAAATTGTGAATGCCATATAGCATCTGGCTTAAATCAAATTCAATAACTGGAAAGTTGTTGCATAATGCTCAGGTGACCTATAAGGCCCGTTGGCCTCTTGTTTACCTGTAATGTTTTATTTCCATCCATTAAAATTAACACGAGACTTTAATTTCGAAACTTTAATAAATTGTACCTATTAAAATATATTTAAAATTTATAATTCTTAATCCAGAGCCTCTGGCTATGCTACAATTCCAATCACGGTTCCAGATTCAATAACATCTTGGGTAGCTTCAGCCTTTTCTGTGAATAGGAATTCCGGATTAGGTATTACAGACGCAATTTCGAAGGTGAACAGATTTTCCAACATTTCACATTTAACTTTTTATTTTATTTTTAACTTGACAATTTCATTGCAAGAAGGCTTTGATTTCACAAGTGTTTTTCAAATTGTGTATGCATTACATGTGAGGATAAAAATGGTTTCTCTTAAAGGTTAATTTATTATATTTTTCGGAACATTCTAGGTTTTTAATGCAGATAAAATTAATTTAATACAATTCCTCCTATTCCAAAGTTACAAAACATTATTAAAATAATTAATATCAGCAACGCTCAACAAAATGCAAAACATTATTTAAATGGTTTTCATGAAAAGAACAGAGTGACCAATCTTTATAATTCTATAAGCAACACAAACTGTAAAAAGGGCAAAGAAGAAAGCCATGAAAACACCAGAAAAGGGATCTGGTGTCTAAAGTACGGTAATAAGAGAATCATGTCGACCGATCACATCCGCCTTGATATCTTTGTTGATCTGACTAAAACCGTTCAAAACTTAATTAGAGCAACACAGATAAATCTAAACATTAAAGAATGCTACCCAACGATACATTTATTTTGCATAGGTAGTTATAAAATGTACAAAAAATAAGGATAAGTTCCGATTAAAAGTCCTTGAATGTCAACCTATTTTTCAGTGTATTGTCTAGGATCTAAACACTTCTCAGAGCTTGATATGATAAATGAATCAAATAAGCTTTGAGACATACATGTATTTAGGTGCATTTTAACATTACTACATAATAAATAAGTCAGGACAAAGGAAAAACTATGATCTAAAGGAGAAACGAATTGACGGAAAGTACTAGGATGTACAAATTTACTTTTTCCAGTTGACGGTTTTTCGTCCATTCTTCCTTTCTTTAATTATGCCAAACCATATTATCAGAGGAGAAGAAGTTGTCTTACAGGTCATCGTGTTTAACTACTTGAATGAAAATTTAACAGTAAGTGGCGTTTTTATTATTTCAATAATTTCAAATTTTACAAAAAATCTCGACGTTAAAATCTATTTTGTCTAAGGCATTATGGGAAGGTTTTACAAAGAATAATATGGGTTTTTTTCCCTCAGGTGTTAGTAACTCTTGAACAAAACAGAGATTTCCTCACTATCGTCGTTGATGACCTAGGCTATGAACACCTCGAAATCATTACCAAATCATTAAGTTTTCAGGTATTCTCTTTATATTAAGTGATGTAAACAAAAGCTAATAATTTGGCACTATTGCATTCATGCATCACAAAAATATAAAATATCGTTTCAAATATCTAAGTAAAACCGTGCATATCCATGGATTTTTCTGAATTTAAAACTGAAGGTTTGCTCTGAGTGCTCAGAGACGGTGTATTTCCCGATTATTCCCATCACGATTGGTGATGTTAATGTAGAGGTGAAAGCCCAGTCAGTAATAGCAGCAGATGCCGTGAGAAGACAAATCAGAGTGGAGGTATGGAACAAACATTGACACGCACACAAATTCTAACAACAATGATAATATTTAAAGACTGTTCAAAGTAGTTGTCAACAGGAACACAAAACACATAACCAACAGAAGACAGACACATGTTTTCAGAAAACATGAGAAAGTCGTAACATAACTATAGAATACACATGTACATGTATGAAAAATAGCAATATTAATAATTTCTTTCAATATCTTCAGTCATTTCAGATGAAATTGGAAGTATTTTTTCTATACTTTATGGTGTATTCCTAAGTTAAGTTTACTTAAAGGTTCTTATCTTTGAATTGCCAGCCTGAGGGTGTTTTGAAGGAACGCACTGAATCGCACATTGTCAGCCTTAACAATGGAGCAACTTTTTATCACAATACTACAATTGAGTTTCCTTCTTCCGTAGTTAAAGGCTCAGAACAAGTGCAAATTCTAGTAACAGGTAGGATATACATTATTAGGGTTCTTTTTAATGTGGCAGTCCAAAAGAAAAGCAAAATATTCAATATTCAATAAGAAATACCGGTGGTATGTATGTACTATGCACTAGAGAAACACATTTCCTTTTTTCCACTATGTGACATAAATTTTGATAAATCGACGACATATTAACAATAGTTGGTTCTGTGTTGCTTCTATTCAAACGTTGACTCGATATATCCCAGTAAAACTTGAAATAAAAGATACCACAAAGTCTGTCACATCTGTTTCATATTTGGATATTTTGCTAGAAAAAATGTTGATGAGAACATAACTAAAACTGTATAAAACATGATGACTTTACCTTATCTATCACCAACTTCTCTTATTTACCTAGCAATATTTCATTATTAATGCATATGGAGTTTATGTCTCCCAAATATGCAAGAGCATGTTATACGTACGGACAATTTCTCAAACGAAACAAGGTCTGACAAACAAGTTGATGAAGCAAGGATATCAACAGTTTTGTTTGAAGTCTTTATTTTGCAAGTTCTATGATCGATACAATGACCTCTTCAGCAAAAAAAATCTATTATTAAAGACGGAAGTTTTTCATACTAATGGCAATTGTATGGCCATTATTTTACACTCTAAAATCTCTGCGGATTATTCAGTTGACACGTTAACAGGGAGCACACGCCGGCGAATTTGAATGATCGACTAGGGAATGCTTACTCATCTGAAGCACCTGGTCTCTCCTATTTTTGGTCCGTGTTTGCTCTGCTCCCAATTTGTAATTTGTATGGTTAGAACAGTGGATTTTATTTACCTTTTTTTTAATCCTCATATTTCATTGTGTTTGTACTTAGACTTTGTTTCTGTATGGATGTATAGTTACAGTTTGTTCCTATAATAAAGTAAGCATACTTCTTTATTATAGGAACAAACTGTATCTATACATATTATGTTCTGAAAAGAGTTAAGACGAAACGTATGATTCGGTTGCACACTTCCATGTTTAAATGATCATAAAAAAAATATGGATGTACCGACTAGAATCATTTCAACATGATGCCATTAAAGTTAGTTAATTCAGAAATTAAATCATGAAATACTAGTATTCTCGATATCAAAACACTGGCTTTGTATTTTTTAATTTTTCTTCCCTTATTCTAAGGAAGAAATCCGGACTTATTTCCTTATTTCAGGCGATTATATGGTTCCTTCAATAAAGGGTCTGGAGAAATTAATAACATTGCCGACAGGATGTGGTGAACAAACGTTGATAGGATTTGCACCCGATGTCTTCATTTACGAATACCTTAAAAAGTCGGGTCAACTTACCGCCAAGTGGAAAAGGATATTGATAGATTACATTGAGAAAGGTAATTAAAATTTGAAATCTGACGTACTTTTGACAAATATACTGGTAACTTATACGTTTAGGTTCATATTTTTGAGCTCACCTCAGCCGAAGTCATCGATCAAAATGTCCGTTGTCTGTGTCGTAAATATTTCTTCTTTTCAAGAACTACTGGATCGATTTCAACCAAACTTGGGTGCAGAGTATTCATGGGTACAGGGGATTCAAGTTTGTTTAAAATGAAGACCACTCCTTCTTTCAAGGGGAAATAATAAATTAATGAAAAAATTAATGGCATCATTTAAATCGATCAATTAATTAAACCATTTTAGCATGCATAAAAAGCATGTTCGTATAAAATCGCCATAAGTCATCGGAATGTATATGTATAGTGTCATATTGTAGTTATTCGAACGAGTATTGACTGTTAATTTACCGCATTTAAAATATATATTTTTTATAATGTAAATATCACTAAAAATATGAGTGTGAATTAATGATTACAATATTGTCATTAGGATACCAGAGGGAATTGTCTTTCCAGAGATATGATGGATCGTACAATTTCTGGTATAGTGGTTCATCGAGTATTTGGTATGTATAAATGTTTGGGAAAACATCAAAATTAACAAAAGATGGGGGAAATTCTTAAATTTTACTCTTTAGTAATTCTATCTCTAAAATAGTGACAAATCAAAATTCGAATAATAAAAATGCATGCACTGTCAGTTTCGTTTCCCGTTTTTGTGCGCAAAATAAGCTAATTGCCAATATATACTGTGAAATCACAAATTTTCCTTCGGTTTTATTTTCGTTGTTTTCGTTGTATGACGGAACCCACGAATTCATGTCCACCACGAAATCGAAAATGTTACCTACATAAGTACTCCTAATTCTTGATCCACGAAATCAAACCCCCTCGAACCAAGAGATTCTCCTCAAACCACGAAAATTTGACCCCACGAAAATATGTGATTTTACGGTACCTAAAATATTTTTGTGTTTTGAGTATTTGACTGATTGTGTTTAAAAAAGAACATGCAAGAAGGATATGGAGATAACAAACAGTATTCATTATCAAAGTCCATAAAACAATACAAAATTTGAGCAGAGCAAATACTGACCTCCGAAACATCAGAGGCGGGACCAGGTGCCATGGAGGAGTCAGCATCCCCTGCTGACCGGTCACACCCGCCGTGTGCTCCTTGTCATGATCGGGAAATAACGGGAAAATCCCTCGTCAATTCAGTGTTTAAATAATGGACTAACAATAAGTATGAAAAACGTCAGTCAGCATTTGTCTCAATGATAAATTGTATTTGCTGACAAGGTCATTCTAGCGATCATAAAATTTACGGAATGATGACTTTAAACGAGACTGTTTATATTCTTGTTTCATCAACTTGCTTGTTAATAATTTACCTCGTTTTAGAAATTGTTCATATGTAGAGCATGCTCTCTTGCATCGATTCAACTGAGAGACTCTGTAAGCAGGTGATGAAGGTATATTGCTGCATAAGTAAGGGAAGTTGACGATAGAAAAGTTAAAGTCATCACGTTTATCATAAAGCTTGGTTGTTAGATTACCATTAACGTCTTTTTCAAGTAAAATATCCAAGTATGAAACAGATATGTCAGACTCTGTGGTATCTTTTTTCTCAAGCTCATTAGGATATATCGTGTCGACGTAGGAATGGAATTGACCATTGTTAATTGATAATACGTCGTCGATATACCTAAATGTCGAGTTGAAGGCCAAAGCAAGTTTTCTTGTCCTGAACCAAACTTGCATGGTAGGTCAGTAGGTCAGTAATTCAACATTATGTCCTACTTCTGATGTGTATACATGTACGTGGAAATGTTTCATATACAATAATGATGAGCCATTCATACATCCCAATAGGCTGACGGCGTATGTTCTCAAATGCTTTGCTCAAGCAGCTAAACACATAGACATTAACACAGAAACACTTCAAAAAACTCAAAAATGGTTGATTGGACAACAGAGATCTGACGGCTACTTCTATGAACACGGAGAAACCTATGATAAGCAGGTATCCTGTTTCATTTAATTTCTATGTTTCGACCACAGAATATTAAGAGGCATTGAAAGTTAGATTTGTGTGACATTGTCAATTTTTTCTTGTGTCTAGGAACAATACTGAAGTTTTAAAAGCCATGTGATTTTCTTTTGTGATTTTATGAGTTGAGATTTTTAAAAATGTCTTGAGTTTCAAGAATCACCCGTACAGTGTTCAAAATGAACCGATGCGTCGTCTATCTATAGCATCATTTAAGATATAAAGAAAGCTAAATGCGGTATTTATATAATAAAAACAATACAAATCAGGAGCAGAGCAAACACAAACCTCTAAAACATCGGAGGTAGGATTAGGTGCCATGGAGGTGTGAACATCGCCTGCTAATCGGTCACATCCACCATGTGCTCTTTGTCATGGTCGGGAAATAACGGAAAAATGTGTAAATAATGTAAGGTAAAGTGACCGAGGTCATGAACATGCAATAAATATGCTCTTAAAATTCAAAAAACAAATGTTGAATCGAATCTTCGAAATGGAGGCTAAAGGTAAAGCTCAAGGGGACTGTTATGCTGCTTTTTTTTTAAAATGAAAACAATTTTCTAGGAAACATAGACTTACCTCTCGACGTAAAAAAAAATATTCACGTACTTTGGAAAATGTTTATTTAAGTAATACATCGTAAAATCTCCAATCCTTACCTCACAATGCCCAAAATATTTAGCGTGACAAACAACGGGTGGACAGACAGACAAACAGACTGTGAACACAAAAGTAAGAAACAAGATCTATCATCCCTGTAAGTTTGGTGCTTTAATCCCTTACCGTTTCTGAGATCTCACTCGGATTAATTTTCAGAATAAACTGAATTTTCACAAAAATAAAAAGAAAATAAAATATGTAAAGAAACTGAATGTTTATTTCTTTAGAAAGGATATCTTAGCGAAAAGGCGAATCCTGCCTTTGCTTTGGTTGCTCTTGCTGAAAGCAGTCGTATCATTTCTGTAAGTATTGCATTTTCCAAATTTAAAAAAAAATAATAATAAATTTAATGGTTAACTGTAAAGAACATATGTTTAGAAGATTTTTCTCACTCAGAACAACGAGTCACTTACTGCCATGCAAAAGGCCAGGCATTATCTTGAACGGAACATTCAGTTGATGGTTGATCCATACGAAGTCGCCCTGTCAGCTTATGCCCTGCTTCTCTCTGGAAGTCCCATGGCGGAGTCTGCTATTAGAAAACTAGAAGGTGCAAGTAAACATAGAACGAATCTGACTTGAATTGCCATCGTCCGTCGGCGTGCATTGTCCCTACTTCGTCCTGTTAACATTTGGCCATTTTCAACTTCTCATCTCAAATCACTTCAATTTCAACAAGTTTGGCATATGTTTGTTGCATGTATGGGTAAAAAGAAACAAAAAGATGGATTGCAGGGCCCAACATGGGGTCATTGCGGTTGTCAATCAAATTCAGGAGTCTTAAAAATAAATTGCTTCTGCACATCATTCAGTCAAACTGCTGTCATGTCTGTAATGAGTATTAAGCCCTCATACAGGAATTTGTGAATTTCAAGGAATTTTTTTTATTAGGTTGGGGCTCTATTGATTATATGGTGAAAATGCATGTCTCTTGAATCTTAAAATGAAAGCATTGATGTTTCGTTTAGTCTGGATGGTCAAAATGAAAAGTGGGTGTGCATTAGTACTGGAAAACACATGCAATTAAATAAATCTACTTAAGGATATATGTTACTGAGCACTACCCTAGTTTTTTATCCCTGATAACTTACTTATTTATGTTGTTTTTTTAGCAACCTAACTTTAACTTTTAGATTAATTGGCTTTTTAAAAATATTCTTTAATTGATTCTTTACTATATACCCAGGTGACCGGTGAGGCCCTGTTGTATGAAATTCTGAATTTTTATTTTTAAATCTGAGAATGTCATTGAAGGCTGTGAAGGTGAGGCTGATGTCGTCTTTCTGGTCGACTCCAGCGCAAGACTTGGGAAGGAGGGTTTTCAACTTACATTGCAGTACATCGCAAATATGATCAACAGATTCACTGGGAAAACCAGAGTGTCTCTTATAACGTTTGGTTTAAATACACACGAAGTCTTTTCACTAAATTCTTACAGAGATATTATTGCCATCAAGGCAGCAATACTCATGGCTCCATATAGACCTAGTATGACCATAGACTCTTACAAGGCATTAAGGTATATGCAACAAAACAGTTTTCGAGAGGCAAATGGAGGCCGGAGGAACGCTAGCAAAATTGTGATCTTAATGACGGCAAACCATTTAACCAACCCGTCTCAAACTGCCACAGTGTCTTCCGAACTTCGAAGTGCTGGAGTAATTCTTTTTGCCGTTGGAATTGAAAATGCTTGGTTTTTTTTGGATGAATTGGTTAAATTCACTGGAGATTTCAAATCAGTAGAATATACCGGTGGTTTGTCCAATCCCTTCGAGTATACAGAACCAGTAAATTTTGGTGTCTACAACTGTAAAGGTAATTTATATTCATCTTTGATATGAACAAGCTTTGGAAATGAATTTTTATCGGTCTTTTAATTTGTGGGGTTTTTTTTGAGTGAATACTAATTTACAACAAAATGTGTGATAAAATAACCATAGAGTTATACATGTAGATCATTACAAGTCGAACGTCTTATATGAAAAATATCATATAATGGTACTTGAATTATAAGAAAGTTTGGGTCATTTTAAAAAAAAATTGAAAGTACCTAATGTACCTTAAAAGGTGTGAAATTAAGGAGACAATTTTTTTTTAATCGGAAAAAACCCTAATATATGTACACTAACAACTACGAAATGATGCTGTGTTCAAAAGGCTGTATTAATCATGTTTGTGGTACAACTCTTGACTAAATGGACTTCAAACGTTTCTCAGAAAGATACGAATGTGGTATCGTAATAGTAGTATTGTGGCACAGTGGATCCTTGCTCCGTGTTGTTTGTTAACTGAAGAATGTACAATTTCACAAATATTTTGTGTACAGCTTTCAAACAAAAAGCAATAAACCGTGGACTCTTATGAAAAAAATGTGCTTTAGTTTGAAGAATTGATCATTTTTGCCTTCCTTGGCTATTTTATAGACAAATAGTTTCAATCTTTTTGAGATTGTTGCGATTTGTGGAGATTAATTATGAAATATTGGTTAAAGACAAGTGCTTACATATGATTTGTGATTTAAGTACATGTATCTTACATTATCTGTTCATCTTTTTAAGTTTACGGGATTGAACAGCCTTGGACAGCTAGAGGAAAGGATTCGAGTTTTCTTACGGCTAGTACCTATGATATCGAAACAGCTTCGTATGCATTGCTTTATTACAGCAATAAGAAGCAGTATCCTAAAGCAAAGAATGTCATGAAATGGATCTTAGAACAAAGAAATGCTTTAGGAGGTTTCATGTCCACACAGGTAATTATGATATTTTATTATTGTCTAATTAAACGTGTGTTAATTCATACAAAAGTTGTTCATCTTCATGAACTGCTCTTTTGAATTAATGATGAATTTGTTTATGTTTAGGATACTGTAATTGCTTTACAAGCCCTGAGTGAGATGAGTGTTTGGGGTGATTTCAAGTCGATGGATATATATGCTTACACTCCCAATGAAGATCACTATTTTCTCATTCGTGACGATAACAAAATGGTTCTTCAAAAATATCAGGTAAAATTAAAAATTATTCTCAATCTTATCATCATGATTATGGGGACCTAATTTTTTTTAATAGACCATTTACCCATTGCAACAAAATTATATGCATATTTATTCACTGTTTTGTATTTTTCACTTTATCAATATTTATTTCCAAAATTAAAGAGCTCTTGTTGCAAATCAATTTACATACATTTGATCCAAAATAATAAAGATTTTCTTGTACCACCTTTGTCATGGTGTTGACAATTCTAAGCATATGACCCATACGTGTATAATTTTTCATGGAGTGTTTTGCTCTTAATGCGAAGACGATGATATTAAGGGCTCATGTTTCCAATGTTATCACATTAGCAATGTTAAACACATTCTCTTTTTCAATAGATAACAATCCATTATATTTTTTTCTTTAGCCCTCTACAATTCCTCCATTTATAAATATTTCTGCCCATGGAGAGGGCGCTGCCTTAGTACAGGTAGGTTTACTGACCGTCATCACTTTTTGACATATCTCTTATAGAAAGTAAGTTATAGTTTACTACAGTATCAAAGTTTTTAGCTCACCTGAGTCGAAGGCTCAAGTGAGCTCTTTTGATCACACTTTGTCCATCATCCATCCGTCTTTCACATTTTCAACTTCTTCTCAAGAACCATTGGGCCAATTTTAATCAAACTTAATACAAAGCAGTTTTTGGTGAAGGGGAGTTTAATTTTTAAAAATGAAGGGCCAAGTCTACTTACAAGGGGATACAATCATGAAAGACAAAAATAAGGTGGGGTCATTAAAAAATCTTCTTCTCAAAAACCACTGGGGTAGAAAAGCTGAAACTTCCCTTACTTATGCAGCAATATACATTCACCCGCATGCGGCAATTAAATATCTTAGTTGATTCGATACGCAAGAGCATGCTCTACATATGAACAATATCTAAAACGAGGTAAATTATTGACAAACAAATTGATGAAAGAATATCAGCAGTCTCGTTTGAAGTCATCATTTCGTTAGTTTTATGGTCGTTACAATGACCTTGTCAGCAAATAGAATTTACCATTGAGTCAAATGCTGACTGACATTTTTCATACTTATTTTTAGTCCATTATTTATACAATGAATTGACGACGGTTTTTTTCTGTTATTTCCCAATCTTGACAAGGAGCACGCGGCTGGTTTGACCGGTCGTCATGGAATGCTCACTCCTCCATGGCACCTGATCCCACCTTCGATGAATTGGAGGTCCGTGTTTGCTCTGTTCCTATTTGGAATTGTTTTATGGACTTTTGATTTGAATATTGTTCGTTATCTCCACATGTTTCATTAAGGTGTTTGGCTTCTGACATTAAAAATAATTGAAAATGATTTTTTTCTTTTTTAATTGTAAGAATAAACATAATAAATTATTTTAAGCCAGAAAAATGCATATGAATATGATTTAATTTTCAAGCTATAGGTGTTCCTGACAAAGGGAGGTAATTCTCTCATTTTAGTAAAGAAAAAGACCAAATTTGTGTCCAACATATTTAATATTTATTTTAAACTATGAAATGTTTTCAAATCATTCCAACCTTTTGCTATCTTTTAAAAGTAGTCATAGGGAATATAAATATTGATAAAATAATAATGATAATTGATACAAGATAAAATTTAATTCTTATCAAAAAGCACACACCCTCATACAAAAAATGCCCTTTCACAGGGCTTATAAAATGAGCTTGGAAAATAATTTAGAAATAATTAACAAGTATTTTTTTTTCTATATATTTGTTACTTAGATGAAGTGCTTTCAAATGGTGTAAAAAATTGTATATCAATATGAGTTACTTTTAAAGATATTTTAACTTGAATTTCCTCTGACCCATTTTTCTCAAATTTTGACCAGAGGAAATTCGGATTGATTCTGTTTGCCTCTTCCATGATTTTGGGGGATTTTCTATTTGCCTAAATGAATAAGTGTATTGAAACTCAATCTTTTTCTTTAAAAGAAAAGGGACATTTCATTTTTTTGGGGACTATTTAAGACTTAGGGGAAAGAGGGGAGGGTGGGGGGGGGTGGTTAATATCTATTTTCATGCCCACTCACATTACCTGAGGATAATTCTTTAATAGTTTGACTAATCATGGCTTTGCCTGTTCTGAGTTGAGAGAATTTTACAGACATTTCAAATATTTTTCTATGCATACTTTGCTCCACTTGTGGCCCATCCTTCCCCCAGGAATTATTGAATATAGGGTATGTAATGAAGCTAAATTTCACGTAAATGTCATCTTTTCTTCAGTGCTTCTTCAGAAGATTTTTGAATAATGCCACCAAAATTCTTAATTACCCCCCACTTCAAGAGGGCGAGACTTTTCCTATGAACAAAGTTAAATCCCCTTAATTGAAATTGGGCCAGTTGGTCTTTCAAAGAAATAAAATATATCAAACTTTACACAACCCAGACAAAAGACCGATTGCCAGACAATCTTTGATCAGAAAAGCTCACTAGGGCTTCCGTGTCAGGTGAGCTAAAAACCACCACATAGTAATCATTTCACTATAAACGTTTCACAGCAAAATTCCAGTTATTGAAAATGAAGGGAATAAAAAAAAGACTAAATGAATGTTTTGAACTACTAGTTGTACCAATAACAGCTAGTTTAATTTGCGTCATGCAATGTAAATCTCTCTTGATTTCATTGTATCAAACAAAATGTTCTTTATTCAAGATGAAAAATGATCAACTACTTAACTTTATTCAGATCCATGTTCCTTGTGATAGAGATCTATCAAATTGTTACCTTTACAAGTAACATACAACATTTTTATATACTGTAAACATTAGATTTTTTGTGCCTTTGACAGAAAACTGCTGTTGCTATATCAAGAACATCGCTAACTTTATGACCTGCGTATTTATAAGTACACAATAAAAATTTTGCTAGAAATCAAACCTAGCCCAATTGTTGAAAAATAGATTACTGCCAAATATAGGTCATACACAATATTAAACATTTACAGAATGTCCTTTCATATTCATTTGTGCATGTTTCAATTTAATATGCACATAGTCTTCTTTAATAAATATCAATGAACACCTTTTAATTTTTCATGTATGCTCAAAATATGGGTAATGAAAATAAATTGTTGTCAATTTCTAAATAAGGATTTATTTTGAATGGAAAGAAAATGTTTTGTTCAACTACAAACTACCTATAACAATAAACATTGAAAAAAACAATAGTACATGGCATAATTATACCCCTGCTCTGAAGCACAGGGTTTATACTGTTTTTCTTTCTACACTTGTGTGTCTTACTGTCAGTAACAAATTTTTGTCCAATTTTTCTCAGCAATCACTCATCATGCTCAATTGCTCATCACAGATGCTTTAAGTTTTAGCACACTCTTTCTTTAGCCATGCCGTATGTTGGAATTGGTTTTAGACGAATCTGATGTCAACTTCCTGATTATCTGTGCATCTGTCTGTACCACAAAAAGTAAATTTTTGTCACAGTTTTCTCCAAAACTACTCATCACATTTGGAATTGGTTTTAGACGAATCTGATGTCAAATTCCTGATTATCTGTGCATCTGTCTGTACCACAAATAGTAAATTTTTGTCACAGTTTTCTCCTTAACTACTCATCCCAGTTGGAATTGGTTTTAGACGAATCTGATGTCAACTTCCTGTTTATCTGTGCATCTGTCTGTACCACAAATAATAAATTTTTGTCACAGTTTTCTCCACAACTACTCATCACAGTTGGAATTTGTTTTAGACGAATCTGATGTCAACTTCCTGTTTATCTGTGCATCTGTCTGTACCACAAATAACAAATTTTTGTCACAGTTTTCTCCACAACTACTCATCACAGTTGGAATTGGTTTTAGACGAATCTGATGTCAACTTCCTGTTTATCTGTGCATCTGTCTGTACCACAAATAATAAATTTTTGTCACAGTTTTCTCCACAACTACTCATCACAGATGCTTGAAATTTTTTAGACATGAAATATGGTTGGATTCATTTTTGTACGAATCCATTGTCAATTAACTTTGTTTATTCCTGTCTGTCCATATTCACATCAGAGTGAGGGTATTACTAGTGAGCACTGGCTCACAGAAATCAAACAAACAAACAAACAAACAACCAAACAAACAATAACATAGTTACATACAAAGAACATCATACAACTGCGTTACTGCTCAGATCTGAGAAAATCTGCAACAGAATCAATGATTTTTCTAGATTTTGTCACACGCACACTGTTATCTGTTATCTCTGTCAGCACATCCTGTACTCCCTCCCTACCATTTCTGCGATAAGCCAGTTGTAAGTGTGATAAGGAGAGTCCACTGCTGGCAATCTTATTTCCCATTCCATTCGAAATCACCTTTTGGTCCAATAAGGGCTTTAGTGTGCTCATTAGACTTTTTGTTGTGTTCTTGTGATGGAATATGGCAAAGGCAGAGTTTGAAGTGAAAGATGCAGCAAGTTTGACTTCAGGGGAAGGTCCTGTATGGTCCAACAATCTCTTCAAGGCTAAGACATCCTGTAATGAGTCATGCGCACTGTATTTGTCTTGTAGAATTTCTTCGAAGAGGTGTAACTGTGAGTATGATGAAAGGTTTGGATGTGAAATTTTGAAAAGAGGTAAGGTATCAATGAAACCAATGACTGCAGATGAGAATGCCTCCAAAATGTTTAATTTACTCAAAATGTTGAACAGCACAGGAAGGTCAAACACTTTGGAGTTGTGTCCAACTAGAACAGCATCTGACTCCGATTTCTTCATGAAGTCGATAAACTGGATCAGTGCATCCTTAATGCTGACTGTCTCAACTTCCTCATCATTGTGGTACATTTTATTGTTGACTACTTTTATTCCAGTAATTTCTGTAGCTTTTGAGGACATTGGTTTTTCTGGAATGATGTATTTGTTGAAAACCTCATCATTTCTAACTGCAGACAACTGCACAATATGAGAATCCCTTGCTAAAAATAAAAAACAAATAATTTAATTTTGATTGTAACGCATCATTTGATTGGATAAAAAATTAATCTAAATTGTATAATCTGGTTTGCTTACGTCACAATGACTTACATCAAATTGTATCAATCCGCTTGACGTTACGTTTAAAATATGAACTATTTGAAGGCGTTATAAAGAGAAAATTTGTCTTGTTTTATATTCTTGATGATTGAAAATTAAATCATAAGGAGTGAATTAAATGGCAACCCAAATTATACTGCTACAACCTGGGTTGGAGCAGTTTACGCTTTTTTATAAACCGCTTTGAGGTTTAGAAAGCGTAAACTGCCCCAACCCAGGTAATACAGTATAATTTGGGTTGCTATTTAATCCATTCCTTAAGTAAATTCAAGTTTTTAAAATTAAAAGCATTAGAAAAAATACATACAAAAATTGATATATTGTAAATGTATTATATTTAGCATGTATGATATTTGGCAGAAATTGACTTTTGAATAAGTAAGCGTAGATTTGATTTAGCGCATTTCTTCATTTTCTTCTTTATGTGTACCGGTATATGTGCAAGACATTTAGCGTTGTACTTGATTTAGCGGTTGCTGCGTTTCACCAAATCCGCTATTAGAATACACAGCCAAATGTAATCCGTTTACAGTATGCATGATTTAAAAAATTTTGAAACATTATAATAATAGTAACCCTCTTCCCCAAGACTTAACTCCTTCAAAGATGCTTGAATTCTTTCAGAATATGCAATTTCTTTTTAATCAGTGTCCTCAGAAGGAAGGGTAAAGTTTTGAAAGATATAAAACATGCTCAACTACTTGTACCAATACCGGAATTATGCAAGTCTCCATTTCTATTCGTTTTCTATGATAACTCTAGTATTATTCCTTCAAAATGCATACAAAAGAAATACCGGAAGAGGGCCATAACCATCAGCATTGACTTAACATTTAAATCTAGGTTCTTACCGAGTCCAGTAGTTTCCAAATCAAAATAGATCTCTTCAGCATTTAACAGCTGACTTGAAGGGAGATGATCATACTTTGGAATTGTTTTTGGAGCTGGAATTTCAACGATGTCAGAGGCCTGCTGGAGATCACATCCTGTTAAATAACTGATGCCTTCCCTTGTTTCTTTTGTAGAAATACTTTGAATTCTGTAAAGAAGATGTATACTGTAAAACAAATGATTCTAAACTGAGGTCTTACAAAAGGCCTAGCAAAATAAACAATCACCTAATGTACAGCTAATAAATTAGGAGTTGTAAATAAATGAAAATCCTGAGCACACCGGCAAGGAAAGAGCACAAAGTAGACCAGAATAGAAAAGTTATGGTACATGTAATTTACTGAAGGGGGGGGGGGGGGGGGGGGGGGGGGGGGGGGGGGGGGGCTTAAATTTTATCACTACTTAAGAATGCCTCCATATCAATACAGCATATAACTTTTTTAACATTTTGTTCATATATATTACTTAGTAATAATTTGAATTTGATTCCCCACCGTTTCCCTCCCTACCACAAAGGATCAGGATTTAAACAAATTTAAATCTTCAATACATGAGGATGTTTACATTTCCATATGACTAAACATAGCTTCTCTTTTTTTTTCGGAGGGGGGGGGATTTTTTCCCTTTATTTTCCTATGTAAAACTTTGATCCACCATGTATGATTTGAAAAAAAAAAAAATTAATTCTATTTTACCTGAGGATGCTTCCATATTAATATCACCAATCATAGCTTTGCTATTCTTGAGAATTTTTTAAAAAATATATTGTACTGTAAAATGCAATTGTGGCCCCACCCTATCCCTGGGGGTCATGATTTAAACAATCTAGAATCTACACTACCTGAGGATGATTTCATATCAATATCACTTATCATGGCTTTGCAGTCCTTGAGAAGATTTTTAAAGATTTCAAATTCTCTATATATTCCTGTGTAAAACTTTGATTGGCTATGTGGTCCCACCCTATCCCCCAGGGTCAAGATTTGAACAAACTTGAATCTACACTACCTGAAGATGATTCCATATGAGTTTCATCTTACCTGGCCCAGTGGATACTAACTTTGTAGCAAGTTTGGTTGAAATTGGCCTAGTTGTTCTTGAGAAGAAGATGAAAATGTGAAAAGTTAATGACAACAGATACATTTTTATCAGTAAAGCTCACTTGAGCTTTCCGCTAAGGTGAGCTAAAAAACTGGGTATGTAGGTAGGTAAAATTTTTATTTTAAGATTGCAGCAAAGCAATATGCCCTCCCTTCTTTGAAAAAAATATTTATCAAACCATGCTATTTATAACAAGCATACCGTAAATCTTTGGTGATTCAGAAAACAAATCTTAGTAACATGCAAGATTTTAATTCCCACTTAAATTCATACTTATCATCATTCACTTGTTCTTGGTTTATTTTCATTTTTGAGGTTGACAAAAGGTTTTTTACACCTGACAAATGACAATCAAAGTATACTAGTACGTACTTCCTGGCTTTCAATTCTCTCCTTCTCCTTTTAAATTTCTGTGTCACTGAAATGGCCTTCTGTCGCTTTCTTTGTAAATCCCTCAGAATGCACTGTCGTCGAGTATAGTAGCCAGGAGAGAGGCCCAATTTCTTGTTAACCTTTAATAAGGATAAAAGAATCTATTATGTACAACTACAATGTACATACATATACAATACAATCTGCTTTTGATTAAAATTTGCAGAATTTTCAAATGTAAGAGATAACTTGAGTGGTTCAACTCAGATATGACACAATAAGCATGAAAAAATAAAAATTTACAAACCTTTACAAGATATCTGTGTCCAACATTTTTCTGGGCTACACATGCAGCAACTCTATATCTGAGGCTTGAAGAAGAGCTGTAATGATGGGTCTTTGGGGCTTTTGCAGACACCATTCTGTGAAAACTCTCATTCGACTGTGTGCTTCCTAAGCATGAAAGACGATCAGAATGACTTGCATATGATCTGAAGACTTCTTTCAGATCATCCTGAAGGAACCTATCTTTCAGGGGTTTTCCATGTGGAAGTGACTTGTACCTCAGGTTAGGGTTGTTAATGAAGTTGCACCACCTTGAGGAGCAGTGTTGATGATCTCCAAATATGTGTAATGGAATTGATGAAAGGTCTTCTTTGATTTGAGAAGCATTTCCTTTTCCCTGTGCTATGGAGTAACTGAAGCATTTCTGAATGTACTTTATCACAGACAAAGTTAGAGATGAATGTTTTTTCTTCAAGGTAAACAAAGAGTTTGTAAACAGTTTCTTTAGATGATTTTTATCAGACAACTTCTTAATATCAGCATTGACATTAGCTTTCAGTCTTGCAATAGTGGTAGAGTCCTCATCTCCAATGATTCCATCAATGGTTATTCCTTTACTTTTCTGTAGATCTTGGACCATCTCAATAACCATATCTGCCTCCATGGCCTTTGAACTACCCTCCCAATTCTTTGAGCACTCATGGGCTGCTGGATTCTTGTTGGTTGATTCAGCTACACTGCATACTCTGCAATTCTTAGACCTCAGAGAGTATGACAATACTTTGTCGGAGAGAGGACCAACCATGGAACAATGACCTGAAAAATTACAAATTAGAAAAACTGTATAACTTATAGATGTATTCGTTGTTTTTATTAAAGCATTTTTCATGCATTTCTTAACTTAATAAAATTTATGTCTTAATACTTTGGCAAGGAAAATCAAACTCGATCACTGATGTTACATGTATGCATTTGGTAATAACCTTTAACCCCTTTAGTCAGCAATGAACCTGTGCGTCCAGTGCACTATAGCATAATTAGGTCAAATATTTATTTTTCATGAGGGGTGCTGTATAATTAATGCAAATCGTTCAACTTTAAAAAAGTAAACAGTTGCTATAAAACGTGTTTGCAGGATGCAATAGGGACCAAATTCCTACTTCTTTGAAGTTAGTGTTCTAAGTATTGACAATGCTTTGGTAAATAATGTTTCTAATAAGTGTCGTTAAAAATTGGTTGCGTGCCATAGAGCGATTAGCGAATACGCTAACTGTGTAAAATCACCCAATATTTTAATATTTTGATTTGACTCATTATGACTCTTAATGATTTTTCTCCTATATATATTCCCGTGTAAACATTATATCCTTTTTTGGCTCCATTATCCCACCTTGGGTCCATATTTCAAACAAAACTGAATATGCTTTACCTGCATGAGCAACATAACTATTCATGGCTGTTCTTTAGAAGAATATTTTACAATTTATATGGACAGTTGAACTTTGAGATATGTGTCTTTCTAAATTTATTGCATCTGTTTGCATACATATTTAATGGAATCAAGTCCTAAGCAAACTTAATGCATAGTTTATGTTGGGCACAAGCGGAAAGTAATCACTCTAATCATCAATATTTTTTTTTATTTTCCTAAAATTTGTCTACTGTAGAAGCATAAATTTTCGTGGGCATAAAATTTTGTTGTTTTGACATCAAAAATAATCTCGTCGTTGTTTTAAAACTAACCCTAGGTCTAAAAAAAATATGTTTGTTTCCTGTAACCCGACCGACCCATTCAAATTACCCCCTGGGTGAATTTTTTTTCTGACAAATGGCAAAACTTCGTTTGATCAATCAGCTGATTCCATTTATTAAAAAAAGAAAATTAGCTTGTAGCTTAACTTGAGACATAAAATATGTCAACCTAGTTTACATTTAAGTTTGATTAGTTATAAAGAGTAATCATTATTATAACAACAATTTCCCCCTACAACTTTCTGAAGATCGTTTTCTGCCGCTAGGCAGCCATTTTGGATGCCATGTTGGGTGTCCACTGTAAATATGACACCTGGTATATTGAGTCCAGGGATGTTTGACAATTCATAAGAAAAAAAAAAATCCCGACCTACCGACCCTTAATTTTTTTGGAATGTTACAGGAAACAAACATATTTTTTTTAAAGCCCTATTCAATATATAGTCATATAAAATATCGTGTGGGATTTAATTTTGTTGAATTTTGTTAACGGAATAAACAAAATTTAATCCCCCCGAATATTTGTGCTTTTACAGTATTTTTACCTGATAAACTATCATATGTCTTTCCGCTACCCCGTTTTTGCCATCCAGCATCTACAGCAACAACTAGTCCATTTTCGTTCATCTCTCTGAAAAATAGTTAAATAACAGACATCAGTTATTAACTGTGAACCTATCTCCTTTAGAACACCCCCTAATGTGCATAACATTCTGCATATTTATCAACACAAATTATACTGTACATGACTAAACCTTATATTTATCAGTATATCAGATTCTATTAACTTGATCACTATCAATTATTATTAGGTATTCCCTATGATTTTCATTTGGGGATCAAAACTAAAACACGAGGCTCTTGGGGCTTGGGCCACAGGAAGTCACTCTAGGAAGTCACTGTCTCTGTCCAATCTAATTAAAATTATTTGTTAGATCCACTTGCATACTCGCTACACAAACATCTAACAACATCTCATTGAGGGTCACGTCAGAGGTCAAATTCTAATCAACCAATCAAATTGTCTCTTGCAAAATCATTGTTTATTTGTTGACGTAATTGAAGAAAATAAGTCTAGGGTTGTTCCGAATTTGAACTCTGAGTGACCCTCTATAGGATGTTGTTAGATGCTAGTGTAGCAATAATGTGAGCAGATCTAACATCTAATTTTGATTAGACCGTGTCTCTGTCACTCTTCAATTTTTTTTCTTCAATCAAATTTTCCTTTTTTAATTCATTCTAGGAATGAATTTAATAGCTACCCAAGTTATACTGTATATCCTGGGTTGTGCCAGTTTTGGCTTTCTATACAGCGAGGCTTTCATTTCAAAGCAGGTTACACTATTATAACTTGGATAACTATGAAGTTAATTCCTTATAATTTAATTCTCCATCAATAAGTAAAGAAAATAAGACAATTTTTCCTTCAAAAATGCATGCAATTAGTACATACATGTATCTTATATGTTAAATTAAATGGGTTGTTATGTTTGTGACATACATGTTAGTAATTATGACTTAACCAACACAGGTTATACCATATGACCACTACACATGTATGCTGGACACCCATTGATCTGATCAGAAAAGCTCTATTGCGCCTTTGGCTCATTTGAGCTAAATAGTGAGATTTAAACTGAATTTATATTGTTTACACACTCATTCATCATTTCCAGTTCCTTCTGCAAAGCATCAGACATAGACTCTGCAGCAATATCTTCAACAGCTCTGCCTATCTCTTTCTGTCTTTTGTCCAGCATGGCATGGCTTACAGGTGGTATATTCAGCTCAGAAAGGAGACTGTTGACTTGCGTTGCACCAATACCAACATGTACAATTGCTGTAAATACAAATTCATAAATGTAAAAAAGAAATCAATCTAATCACTTTAAACAAGAAGCTTGTGAAATTAAACACTCACCTTAGTCTCATTTATTTTCTCTCTTTATTACCAGAAATTAAAAATAGAACCCATACTTTTAACAAACTAAACCCCTAGGGGTAATGGCAACAAAACTTGAATTGATCTACATTAAGATGATTCAATATCAATATGATTAATACAGTAATAAGGCTTTGCTGTTCTACAGAGAATTTTTTCCATCTGAATAGTCAAGTGGTTTAGAGAACAAATCAAAAAAAGTCCCATTCTAACTTGTTATACCCTTTCTATGATGTGAATATAGGTTCCTTTGTGAATATACAGGCAGACACATGGATAAATAGGAAGCAGACATTGGATTTCTATAAAAGTGAATTCCATCATATGGCATATTGCCAAAACAAGGTGTGACTGTGTGGTTAAACACAAGAGTAAAACAGTATACCAGTACCCACTTCCCTCTCCTTTAAAGCATATTTTGAAAAGTTGACAGACAGATAAATGGAAAAAGATCAGAAAGCTGAAATGAGCCTCTGGCTTCAATAAGTTAAAAATAGCTTGCCTTCTCATCAAGTTTTTATTCTGAATTAAACATTATCAGGGGCGGATCCAGGAATTGAAGTTAGACGGGCAGGGTTCGACATTAACGTTAGTCCGTTAGTCTCAGATTAATAAGTCTCAGACTAATACATTTTCATTTGGACTAATAAAAGTTGTGGCGTATTAGTCCGAATGGACTAATAAAGTTTTCTGGGGGAAAAAATTAACGAAGTTCTCGACAACTTTCACTGGAAAACCCGTATGTATTTTTAGCTTTCTTGCATCTTGGCGGAAAGTTATGTAATTCTGAGTCAATTCGGCACTTAATTTTAGGACTCATTGGAATGAAATTAAACATTTTAGGGATTATGATTTATTATGACTCATAAAGAAAGATGTCGGGCATTTGGATGTCGTAATCATTTATAGAGAATAATGAGATCGGGAACACGATCCTAGTTCCTGATCAGGCAATTTCAACAAATATTGGTATAAAACATTTCATGTAAACGCATGCTTTGTTTATTACAAAAAAGGTATAAAAAGTACCTTGAAATGTAAATTCTATTGTTTAATTATATTTTTGACGGACTCATAAAATTGCCTGTGGACTAATAAAATTAAAGATGCACTAGTCCGGCAGGGGGTCTGGGGGCCGCCTTGAGGCAAAGCCCTGGTGGGGGCCAAGGGGGCGAAGCCCCCCGAAGCTCTTGGATTCTAGAGGTTTTGTAGGGTAAAAATGAGGTCTACCGAGTAGACATCAGAAACATTTCCTCGACAAAACTATGTTTTATGCTAACTTTGACAATTTCAGGGGGGGTGCGCGCCGGGTGTGCCCCCCCTTAAATCCGCCACTGATTATATCAATTTATAGATACATATACCTATTTACTGGCTATGAGGACAAAAGCAAGTTTATTGTCCCCCAAGACAGCAACAATTTCTCAAGGTGTGTCCAAGTTGTTGTTGAGGGGGACAACAAACTTGCTTATATTGGAATAGACAGGTAAAACTCAATCAGGCTCTTGTGACTTGACAATAATAAATATACATGTAACTGATGTAGGGGATGTGTACGTTAAACTTCTTACCTGCTGATAGCTTTGTATTTACATCCCACACTCTTCCATGTTTTTTCCCCGTTTTTACATGGTTAATATGATTACACTTTGTATTGCTGCAACAGACCTGAAATGTTAATGCAAAATCAATGAATCCCTAATTACAGGTCACTGTTCTAAATTCATTCACCATTAAATAAAATCAAATGCTTGGGAAAAAAGAATTTAAATATGCATTACTTCAAATTACTTCAAAGAAAAAAATGTAACATCTTTCAAAACTAAAAATATGGATATATGGAATACTGCCTGTTTTATATGGAGAAAAATTCAAGGAAAAACCTTTCAAGGTTGTTTTTATACAAACTGTGCAAAAATTGGTGAGTTCATACCTTTAACAAAGAAGCTAAACCATATGTCAACACAGAAATAGTGTGTGAAAGTTGTAATGGTAAGCCACATTTACAACATCCCCGCAAGCCCTCAGCTAACACTCCAAGTTCTACTACTCTCCTCCCCTCCTTCCAATCCTCAGATGTAGTCACTTCTTCCCCATCAACCACCTCCTCTCTTTCCAGTATATTCAAATTTGGCAATTCTATGAATAATGAATAAAAATTATCACCATTACACATTCTTTATTATCTACTGTAACACATCCTGACTAGTTGACTGTTTAGATACACTTACTAAATTCCAAGAACCAGTTTTCAAAATAATTCATAGTGCCGATATACAACATATTTTTCCATATACCGATATTTCTCAAGATATTCTGAAATCAATCTAAAACATGATCTTCTTTCTTTTACTCGACATTTGCTTGGGCCCCTGGTCATTCACATGTAAACAGACGGTGTATGAGGTGCAGCGAAGAGTTGCATAGCATTTGCAAGATCTTTCAACATTTTAAAGTTGATTTCTTACTCCAGATTAAGGTTAAGTAGTCTGTATTAATAAGTTAAAATCTGCATCAACAACTACACCGCCATTTTGATTATGAATGTAAAAGAAGCTATATGGTTGAACAATTTTTTCCCGTAATGCATTATCATGATTATATACCTTTCTATTTTCAAAACAATTAGACCGCTAACATTTTGTTTGTGACTTAGTAAGATCATACGATCCAATTAAAGAAAAATCATGTAAATCTCAAATTCAAATGAGCAAATATTCATTGAGTTTAGAATAGACTTTGGAGAAAATTTGTCCTGTCGTTCCCGCTTAACAATTAGTGTTCGGCCCATTGGCAAGCTGATGTCAATTAAAAAAATTTAGGTCAATTTCGGAATTGATTTCATAATATCTTAAGAAGTATAAGGAATTACGGAATGAAATTTGAAGGAATGAAGATTGTTTATATATGGATAGATATGGATAAAAAGTAAATTTGTAAAGCATTCAATTTAAAAGAATTTTATTGGTGAAAGTAGGTACCCTATGAAAAGAGTTCCATACCTTTATTATTTTTTTAACACCTCAATTTTTTTTTCTAAGTGATCTAAAGGCCTGTGGGTCAAATGAGTATATCTTTCATCACGTGCAGTGTATTAAAATAAAATACAGTAATTATCTTTGATTAGTATTGTCATGTAAGGTAAGACATCAGCAAATGTAATTTTTTTTTTGTAACAGCTAGCCCTAGTATATATATATTTTACTGAAATCCACATATAACATCATGTATAGTTAAATTTATTATTATCAAATATGATTCAAATTTCCATGTTGCACTTTGATTACAATAGGCCATGTGGTTTTCAATAAAATACCCCCCCCCCCCCCCAAAAAAAAATTATATTTTTAAAACTTTGTTGTCAATCAGATGAAAACTTGTTTTTATCAAAATATATCTTTGAAAATTCAATTATATACTTGATAAAAACAAGTTTTCAATGTCTTAGTTATGTCATGTTGTTTTAATATTGAGAAAAATTCAATATCTTCTCTTTTGGTGCACATCTTTAACTATTATAATTTTTTTTTAAATAGCTACACGTAGTCATAGTTCAAAAAGTCTTTAGATTGGACCTGGTCACGGGCACTGGAAGTTAATGTAAATATGTGTATGTATATAAAAAAGAAGGGTCTTTTTTATATGCATACACATACTTTATATTTACATTAACTTCCAGTGCCCGTGGACCTGGTATATAAAATGAACATCAACAAATTCATGTACCTCCCTTTAATATTTCTAATATTTCTAATAGACCTATGTGTAATCATGGTAATTTAGATGCAGATATGAAAACGAGTCTTTTAGATTACGTATTTTACATGTACAAACCGTGATCGTGATCAACGCTGACAGGGGTTGCACTGGCGGAGTAATTGTGGTCTGTAAGGATAGCTCCCCTAATCCATCGAGTCAATTGCCCTGCAGATACTTTATCATATCTCTCCTTCTGCTTTTTCGAGACGAACCCATGGCGTCTGTACTTTGGTTTCACCATCTCAACCAAAGTTACCGCGCAGACCTTGACTTCTCGTCTGCTTTTTGTTTACATTATCGTAATCCGGTTCACATCCGCGAAATGTAAAATGCTTATTATATGTTTGTTTTCTGGCATAAAAAATCGTTATTATGTTACTTTCTATGGATGATGATTATAATTATTTGTAGAAACTATTAATTCTCTGCCGTATTGAATTCTTTATTATAACGACATTCAGACCAATTTCCGGCAGTTCGAGTTGCGCGGTGAATTCAATTTCGTCAGAAGCGAAACACCTTAAGTATAGTAATTTTTTGTAAAGGACAATACTGTAAATTTTGATTAGCTCTATTTGAATAAGTTACAGGTGCACTGAAGTTTAGAAAGTTTCAATGCATATTAAGTAAACATTAAACAGTTTGAGAGAAAGAATGCAAGAAAATTGTATCGGATAATCCTTTTCGTTACTTTTTGCTGTATTTTAAAAAGATAAATCACGGGTTGTAGTATATGTTCGACGGGCCTCTTTACTTCTAGTGGAGATATATACAGAAGTAAAGGAAGAACATCAGATCTAACAACATATATTCCAGACTTGATTAATCAAATGTGGATACCTTGTTAATACAAAGATTTTTTTCAGTACATTTGATATCACAATTGTTTTTTTTTTAATCAGAATGTTTGAATTTTCAATATCTTATGCCGAAATTACTAATGTACGCTTATTCCTGATTTGCGTTCCGTTTTTTATCCATGATTGTAAACTATATTAACGTTTTGGTAGTGTTTTGCTAATTCTTGGTGGAATTAAAACACTCCATGTCCGTTTTTGGAAATTTGATCCACATTTTAAAATAAAATTGAGAATTACATTTTTGAGAAAAATTTCTTGTGATTAAAAACTACATTCGTCATTTATGATCACGTTTTAAAAATTCATCACGGTGCTAGTGCATGTATTTCTAATTTTGAAAAAAAAGCAAAAAGGCCATACCCAATGGAAATTTTTGAATGGATTTTTATTTATTTACTTTGGAATTATTTTAAATGTAAATTTCATTGTATCAACTAGATTAAATAAATGAATATAATGATAAAGGTATTTTATGTGTATCATGCTGTTCCATAGTTAACAAGACATCAACTTGCAGACAGGCCTGTTGTTTTTGGAGGACCTTTACTACCTATCATTGAATATACCATTCAAACATGATGAAATATTCACAGGTTGTTGTAAAATTCAACGTCATGGAACAACAAGAAAGACCAGCATTTACACTGGATATTTTGAGTACCATGGAAAGCATGGACATAAATAAAATTCAAGTTTGTGCAAGGTAGAAATCAAAGATAACATATACTAGTAAACACAATATGTCTTTTCGTTTAATTACATCCTGTGTAGAAATTTCTCCTTAGATGTTCACTTTTATCTAATTACATCCTATGTAGAAATTTCTCCTTAGATATTCACTTTTATTTAATTACATCCTATGTAGAAATTTCTCCTTAGATGTTCATTTAATGGACAAAAGAAGAGTATATATGTTTTTATGTACTCTAAGTGTAAATGTGATTTTTTTTTTTTTTTAAAAAAAGGTATAATGGTACATCGGGGTTTGGAAGTGGTATGACAATTATAGAATTTGGAATACCCTCTGGATTTGACGTAGATTTCGACAACATTTTGGGTGATGAATTGAAAAAGAAAGAGGAAGTCGATAACAAACTGGCACTTTATTTTGATCAAGTAAGTCTGTTGTCATCTGAAGTAATCCTCTCTAAACGCTATCTAATGATTATGAACAATCGCAAAACAGCACACAATTAGTGGATTTTCCGACAAATATATTTTTTGAATGTTTGTTTTATTACAGATAAAAACAAAAACAGAAAGTTGTTTAAACTTAACACTTATCAGAAGCTCTATGGTGGGTAAGGTCAAACCTTCTCCTGTCCGTGTCTACGAATATTACAATCCAAGTATGTAATTCTAACTCAAACACGTATCAATGTTTCTTGAATTTAATTTTATGGATAGATTATTTAGTATACTTGAAGTGTGCTTTGTAGGACTATAATCATCTTACCTATCTTTTATACTGTAATGTGAAGTAATTAACAAACAGAGAAGAGATCATGACGTTATTTTTTGTAGGTAATCAAGTAACTAGTTTCTACACACCACTCTTGCTACAAAAGTCCAGCTACTGTGATGTATGTCCACAGTGCAAATGTGTGCGTACATAAATTTTGTGATAGAAGCTTTCTATTATTAAATATCACAACATGGAGAAATGAGTTTGGTTCACACTTATATTATCATATATAACAGTTAATTTTTTTTATTTTACAGGCAAAGCACAGAAAATGAGGTCCCTTCTAAAAATTGGAATCTATGACGTTGAAAGTTGATTATACATACCGGTATTTTTAAAATTAAATTTGATCTAAAAAGCATTACTCATTCCTTTTTCGATTTCTGAGGTCCATCTCCAAGATACTGATGTTACTTTAATACTTGCAGTAGAAGATACCTTAATAAGGTTAACATAGAAATAATTCTAATAGTATAAGATACCTGGTTGCTAACAGAATTTGCGGATTTGGGTTAATAGAGATAAATAAATAATTTTCCACTTTAAAAAATTGTTTTGATTTATTAACTTGCCAGTATTTGCCACTATGTTTCTTCTCTTTTTTGACAGAAATTGCACTTGATAGTTGATCCTCCTTGGCTTAAAACAAAAATAATTTTGAGGGTATAGACATTGGGTTATGGTCAATGAGGCACATAGTGTCTCCTACGGTGAACTGGAAGGCCGGATTTAGATTTTCGTTTGCTAAGCCGTGTCAAACCCAGGACATAAACATAGGTCGTGCCTGTTCCTTCACCAAAACGCCCGGTGTAACGACGAAAAGTGACCCCCGTAGAATATTGACCGGGGGTCATTTTTCTACGTAGAAATTTGACCCCCTGGTCAATATTCTACGTAGAAAAATTACCCACTTTTCTGTAGAAATAATGGCCTTGGGGTCGTTTTTCTCCGTGTGCATTGTAGAACAATGACCCCATAGAATAATGACCCCTTAAAAATTGTCATTTTTTGATGCAAAATAATCGTTTTGGTAGGAATATTCTTGTTAGGCGAATGTATACGGGTAATTTCAAGTTGCCTTATGCTTCGAAGTGTTATTTCTGAAAGCTTTTAAGCTAAGATAACGAAATCAAAGCTATACAATACCTTACATTCATAATACAAACTGTTTATCCCCATTAAAGGAAAACAGTATTTAAATGTTCTAATTAAAGGCTTTTAGAGGAAAGATACGCACATTCATCGAATCATTTTTTTTTTTTTTACATTTTATGCAGTAAGTTTCCACAGTTGTCATTTTAATCTTAAAAAAGGTTATTTTCTAGCTGGTTTCAAAAAATGTTTCCATAATTAATTATAAATCTCTTTGATTTTACCTTGGATAAATAACTTGCAAAAATCAAAATAAAGTTATATTTTTCAAAAATTTTACGTTTTTGATCCCTACTTTTAAAACTGGCACGAAAAAGGGCGCTAGTTTAGAAAATAAGATGTTATAAAAAATATTTTGTTTTTTATGAATGAAGTTTCAAACTTCTCAATAAAAAAAATGGGGATGATTTAATTGGTAAAAATAAGTGTGAAATTAAATTGCCTCTGACCTATGATACAAGGGAAACAAAAAGTAGCTAGCTCAAAACCTGTAAAATGTCTTTTGTCGTTTGCTAGTGTCAACAAAACATTAACATAATGGGGGTTGTAGCATAAAACACGATTAACTAAAAAAAGAAGTGCTCGTCTTTCCAAAATATGGCAGTATAGTATGGAAGTGTAGTATCGTTTTCCCCATTCTACATGTACTTACATCTGATGATTTTAGAAAAAAAACAAACGTTGGATTATGAAAAAGATGTTACTTTACATGTTATAGGCCTACTTATGCCCCCGTAAACGAAGTTTCGGGGGTAAATTGTTTTTACCTGTCCGTCTGTCTGTTTGTATATTTGTCCGCAAAAAATTGAACCTTGCCCATAGCTTTAGACTGGGTGGGACTTATAGCCAGTTGTGCACCCTACCCCACAGGAACCACTTACCCTGGGGCTACATATTTCCAAATTTTGGAAATTTATCATGAATTTTATTTCATCATAAATTGTTGATTAATACCAAATTTCAGAGCAATAATCTATTTTCAGACTATGTACACCCCCTCCAAATACCTCTGACCCAGGGGCCCGGAAATTAACGATTTTGGAAAAGGCAGCTTTCTTTGTCATAAATATTTACTTGGGTCATTGGCATAATACCAAGGAGGAAAGAAAAAGATTTTCAAAGAATTCATGCATTTTCATTATATAAACATTAGAGCCCCACCCTAACACAAGAACCTCTGACCCATGGGCCCTGAAATTCACAAATCTCAAAATGGCATCCTTCCTCCTCATAACTATGTACACAGTTAATTAGTTTAATACCCAGGCGCAGAAAAAGAAGATTTTCAAAGAAATAATTCATTTTCGTTATATAATCTTTATAGCCCCGCCCTAGCACTAGAACCCCTGACCCTGGGGCCATGAAATTCATAATTTTGGAAGAGGCAGCCTTAATCAAGAAAACTGTGCACTTAGTTTATTTAATGCTCATTAGCAACGAAGAAGAATTTCAAATAAATAATGCATTTTTACTATATAATCTATTAAGCCCCGCCCTAGCACTAGAACCCCTGACCCTGGGGCCTTGAATTTCACAATAGACTCAATGCTGATTACAATCATACCAACAGGTTGACTACTTAATGTCCAGGAGTAAAGTAGAAGATCTTTAAAGATTGCACTAATCTTAGTGGTTTTGGCCCTGACCCCCCCCCCCCCCCCCAGCGGAACAGGGACCATGTAATTCATATTTTTTGTTCCCCTTCACCCATATATGTTATATGACAAAATTGATTCAGCGGTTTCAGAGAAGAAGCTGAAAATGTTCAAATGTTAACGCACGACGGACGAAATTGAATAGCAATAGATCACCTGGGTTTACTCAGGTGACCTAAAAAGTATAGTACTTTATATAACGTAGTTAAAAAGTATGTATTTTAAAGCTTCAACTGGCGTCGGAATTTCATAAATATTATGAATTCTGTTGAAAATCACGCCAGACGATGGGCCAAATAAGAAAAAGACCTTAGCTTGGCACTTTGTTAGAATGGATTAAATGTATCAGGTCCATGTTAAAGTCGCGTATTAAAAGATTGAGGGGCAATGTGAAAACCATCTATCCTTTTGTGTTGAATAATCCAGAAGTGAAAAAAGAATTAGATATATTACATGATCAGTATGTACTGGTCCCTACCGACAAAGGAGGTAATAACAACATTGTCTTCGTTTGTAAGGCTCATCAGATAAATTGTATTACAGAAGAACTTGTATTTAATTCTACAAGCGGTAGTCCAACTTTATATACTCAAAGTTTCCTTTCTAAGGAAGACATTTTTTCAAAATCATATGTCAGTTTTGAATATTTTTAATATTCCACAGAGCCAAAATGAATTTGAACAGCCCAATATATTTATTGGATTCCGAAACTTTATAAGAATCCTTACAAAGAAAGATACATTGCAGGTTCCAGTAAATGTTCAAACAAGCCTCTTTCGTTACTCCTCGCTAAGATATTGACAATAGCGAAGGAAAAACTTCAAGAGTACTGTGCAACAATATATACAAGAAGTGGTGTGAATCAAATGTGGATACTCAATATTCCAAAGAACTTTTGACAATTTGAAATCAAAGATTTTACCAAAATCAACAGCTTAAAAACCTACTACTTTTCAACTTTATACACAACCATTCCCCACTATAAATTAAAGTCCAGACTTCACTGACAGCTGCTTTTTCAATAAAAATGGAACTCGTAAAATTACCTACCTGGTAATTGGTCATTAGCAAAATTATTTTGTTAAAACACTCTGATTGCACACGCAAATACTCGAAAGATGACATTTAAAAGATGCATGAGTTTCTGATTGACAATATCTTTGTGGTTTTTTGAGACCAGGTCTTCCAACAATCTACTGGAATTTCCATGGGTACCAATTGCTCTCCGTTATTAGTAGACCTATTTTTGTATTCCTTTGAAGCAGAATTTGTGCAAAATCTTATGTTTCGAAGGTCCGTATTTTGTATTGTTTTATGGACTTTGATATTGAATACTGTTCGTTACCTCCATATCCTTCTTCCATACAGATGTATATCTAAGTTTAAAGGTAAAAGCTTAGGGAATTGAAATCATATAGATAAATAATGTTGCTTTTTTGCTTCTATGCTATGTTTTTTTTTTTTTGTAAAAATTTCAAAACTTACAGTTATCAGAAACATATCATGCCATTTTCGGAACAAAACCTTTAAATGATAAAAAAAACTTTTAAATAGGATTAAAGCACATTAAAAATTTCCCCCAACTTGCATTTGAAAGTATGAAAAAATATCAGGAGATACATATATAATGTTTTATTGTATAAAAAAGGAGGGGGTCAGATTTCTATGGGGGTAATTTTTCAACGTGTGTGGAGTCGTAGAATCACTGGTCTGGAATGTTTTACTACAGTCGAAAAGTGACCCTATTTCTCGTAGAATATTGACCCGGGGTCATTTTTCTACGTAGAAAAATGACCCCCTGGTCAATATTCTACGGGGGTCATTTTTCGTCGTTACACCGGCATTAGACGGTCATTTGGGTGAGACTTAAAAACGAGAGGTCGCCCGCGTTGCTCAGTGGTTAGAGCCTTTGCTCTAGAGTTAAGAAGCAAGGAGTTCATATTTGCGTCACGGGTTCGAATCGCACATTAGAACGTGGAAACCGGTCCTTCTGACGAGACAATGTAAATTGGGGTCCCTTGTTGTACTAGGTGCTCACAAAAATGATCCTTCACTACTCAATAGCCGAAAGTGCCGAGTATATGACAAAATCTGCACCGGCAAGTGGTGGCGTCTCCATATGAGTGAAAAATATGGAGGGACGTTAACAACAAAGAAACAAAATAAAAACCAATGTTCCTTATAACGATAGAAGTCCGATACCCCCACTGCTCAATGGCCCATGAAGGCCGAGAAAAGATCTCATTTTGAGGTCTTTCACTAGTAAATAGTTACGTCTCTAGCTTCTTTTATTTTTAATATAGGACATAAAACATCACACATCACAGAATTTCCCACGATAGTAAGCCCTAACTTACACCTGTCAACGGTTAACCTGTGCTGTTCTAGAAGGAATAGCAAACACATCTCTGTGAGGTTGCCCCGGGAAGGTTTTCGCTATTCCTTATCGTTAACATGACTTATTAATTTATCATAGCAAGCCTACAGCACAATGATTGATGAATATGCATATGAAATACATAAACAAGATGGATTTAATCTTGAAATGCGGTGGAATACAATTTGTGTTTAAGAATCTATTGGCTACATTAGCTGAAAAATTGAAGTTTGATGTCTCTCAGTTGGTTCGATACTCAAGAGCATGTTTACGTTTGAACATTATTTTATTTTAAACAAGGTATGATATTGGCAAACAAGTTGATGAAACAAGAATATCATCAATCTCGCTTGAAGTCATCATTTCTTACACTCTATGGTCGATACAATGACCTTGTCAGCAAATGCAATCTTATCATTAAGTCAAATACCGATTGACAAATTTCATACCAATTGTCAGACCATTATTTACACACTGAATGTTCAATAGATTTTTCTGTTAATTCCAGAACAGACGAGACGTCGGGTGTGACCGGTCGGCAGGGGGTGCTGACCCCCCCCCCCCCCCCATCCCATCTCATGTTTAAGAGGTCCGTAATTGCTCTGCTCTGATTTTTATAGTTTGACTTTTGGGCTTGAAAACTGTTAATATCTTCATATACCCAAGTATTTAGAGACTTATTGATTTCTGTAAATCGTGGTGGGTAAAAAAGCCATTGATTGACAACAGCCGCAATCATGGCATACAATGACAATTCCTAGTTCTAATTTAGTTTGGAAAAAACCAAAATAAATTTAGCAGAAACACCAAAAATGTCATTTCTCTCAACAGTGGAATATGTATGACAACAGGAAAACTATGTCAAGCAATAAATTTTATTTTTATGTAGAAAATAAGAATATAATTGATATGGATACTCACTATTTAATATTTGTCGATGTATTACAAATGCATGGCGATTTAATCTGAAAGAGTTTCTGTAAAAATTACTGATAATTATGCTCTCTAACCAGATGAATGAAAATATATCGAAGGAATTGCGTACAACACAATACAAGAGTTTTTTCCCTAAACAATTATCAATGAAAAATCAAACTGAGGACTAAGTTAAAGATTGTATTTTAAAATGCATGCACATTCCTAATATTTTATTCTTATAAAGAGGACACTTTCCATCTTTGGATTAGCCTTTTTGAACAGAATCAATCATTCATTTCATTTCCTCTCTTCCTTGTGAGGGTTGTCTTTCATTTCAAAACTGTCTTTGATATTGCATACTTAAACTCAAGATACAATTTTTCATGCGCATACTAGCAGATTTTTATTTTGTTTTTAACTGAATATTTTTTTTGGGAAAGCACGATGGATTGTTATTCATAAAAAGTGCATGAAAACTTTGTGACAAGAATGATCAAATTATCAAACATGTTGACAATGGGTCTGTCCATATTAAAATACAAAGAAATAAATCAGAGTTCATTATACAACGAAGTTCTCTGTCGTGTGTAAGACAATCTAGAAGCCCGGGTTCGAGCAATGGTGGTGTTGACAACATCGTCTGTGAATCTTTTCTTCATTTCTTCAATGATTTCTGTTGTCTAAAATAACAAATTCAAGACATTAATTAGAATATCTCCTCTATGCCATTATCGGTAAATAAGTCACTTTTGCTAAAGCTTCTGAATTATTTAGCAAAGCAATATTAATTTATTAAACCAAAGCAAAGAAAAACTACAGTACATCAGTAAAAATGATTCATGAAACATAGACTTCGTCTGTTAAAACAATTCATATGCACACAACATGAACTGTATTATTTGCATCCTTTATAATCAATCAAGCGCCAATTGTAAATTAATAGCACACATTTGTCGACTCAGTTAATGGGCAGCTGTTGTTATTGTAGTTATGTTCCAAATAATCCTCTACACCTGCAACTCCTTATTACTGAAAGCAAGCAGTAGCCAGAACAGACTCTCACCATGACTCCTCCATCAAGCCTTTTAGCTCCTTGCTAGCCACATTTTCATGTACGTGTCATCTTCTTCACCTCCAGGAAGAAGAGAGTCTTCATCAGGGGGTTCAGGAGGTCTGGAATCGGGAAGCTTCTCCATTTCCTTAGCAAACGCGGGGTGAGGTTTATCCAGTCCCCCTACTTCTTCCACCAAACGGTCATATTTTGGAGGTGGAAGAGATGATGAATTTGTACCCTTATTTGTAGGTGTGGCTTTCTGGGGTGCGTTTGTATTGGATTCCTGACCACTTTTAACATTCCCTGCTGGTTTTGTGTTGACTGGTTTGTTTGGTCCCTTTCCGGGTAATTTGGATGTGTTATTTTTTGGAGGTTCAACAACAGCCTCAACTTTTTGTTTTGAAATGTCTGTTTCGTCCGATATCATCACATAGTCCTCTCCACCAACTGCTCCTACATTTTCTACTTCTGGTTTGGGATCAGTTTTCTTCTTCAGATTCTTTAGAGTTTTACTAAAAGGACTTGGAAGGTCTGGTTCCTCTGGCTGTTCTTCGTTAACCTCTTTAAATACTGGCATATTGGTGGCAAAGCTATTCTGGTACCCATGGGGTTCTTGGGAAATTGTGTCTCGTTTGAGATAAACTGCATTTTCAAGATCAGAATTTGCCGCTTCCCGCACTTTATCCAAATTTTTGGTTTTTGCTTTCAAACGTGTGGCTGCTAGCGTCACTATAGGTACAGCTTGCATCATTTCATCTCGCCTTCTATGAGAAACTTCCTCAGCGGTAAAATGAACCTTTGGAACACAATGATGTATGACGCATACAAGTTCTTGTAAAATACATTGATAAGTAACATATTTTCGAGATATATTTTAGAAATAATATTAGTTCACTTACCCACTCATAGAACGTTGCTGCTCCACAGCTTTGATTCACTATATCTCCCAGCTTCATGTCACCAAGAAGTTTCTGGGCTCCAAGAGCTATGTCTAACTTACAGTGATTAATATCAAACATATTGATCTTCCTCTTCAGTGATGCACGGCCTGTTTTACCGAGAATAGCTTGGACGTTTTTCCAATCCTGAAATTAGAATATAATGGTAAAATACGTTTATATCTTAAATTCTAAACTGTAAAAATAGCTAAGGAAATTCGTGTCAATTGTTTACCCGTGTTTCTTCTTCGAAATGTCCCAATAGCAACAGTGTTGCCTTCATCACAGCATGAATCTCAGGAGATGGGTTGGAGTAACAGCGGATTTCAGCAATGGTCCTCTGATCCAAAGCCAAAACCTTGTGCATCATTTTGGAGATGTTTTTCAGACGTTCTATGTTTTCCTTCGCTTCCTCCAATTTCATATACATATGACGACCAACTCTCTTTGTTTCAACCAAATCAACCGCACGTTCAAGCATTTCAAGTTGCTTAAAATGAATAGCATCGTCGAGCACTGGAAAGAGACAACAATTATTTCTTTAGACATATGTTCTTATAAACAGTTCCTTACATTATGAAATTCAGCCTTCTCAAAATATTTTACACATATGTTGATTTATGGATGTTAAGCTTTCTTTTTTGGAAACCTCAGTCTAACATAATAACGTCCACTATTTGATTAATCACCGTCTTATCAATAATTAAAGCATGCATTCCTGCTTCCCGCAGTCTTAGTGTAACATAAATCACAACTTCTTGTCGTCATCGATTAACGTGGCATGAACCTTTGTACCCACGGTCTAATAAAAAAAAAACACTGCAAATTAACAGTTACTTACCATCTTCCACCACCTTTACCTCCTTCTTCTCCTGTTGATCAAGTTCTTTCAGTGGAGTTGATAAGATGAGGTAATTGCAAATGTTCTTTTCAATAGAGCCATATTCCGGGTCGTCCACTTGTGCAAACAAACAGAACGCACCTTCGTCACCCGGTGGTATGTTAATATAACATTGGAACTTTCCATCCTCCTTGACAAATGCATCAGATTCCATCGCCACATCTTCAAGTCCAGAATTGACGCTTATCATCTTATAAGATAGTGATAAATCCTCCGCCTCTGGTGTGTTGATATCAAAGGCAATTGTGCACATTCCTTCCTCTGCAGTAACTACGGCTCTGTTTTGTTCAAAGTTTGCTGAGGTAAGCCCCAGCCCTTGTAAAAGCGGGCTATTTCCCCAGCCAACATCTGCAGCTTTGGGGAAGGCTGCGTATTTCTTTGGTCCTGTGACAACGGTAGCTTTATAAATAGCAATCCAGTCGTACTCGTAGTTCTCATCCTGTATAGTTGTGTCTTTGCCAACTATTTCAACACGATATGTACCTCGCTTAGGAAAACGTATTCTTACTGATAAAGAATCCTCATTTGGTTTGTACAGAAAATCGTGTTGATACCGGTTCTCATCATCGTAAAGAAGACGATAGTCTTTTTCTTCTTTCAGGTAAATCAAACATATGAAGTTAAGATGTGGTGCTCTTTCTCCGTTCATTCCAAACAGGATTTCATCTTCCCCATTGTGTACTTTAAATTCACAATCTGGGTGTGATAAAACTCGCATGTCCAATTCAAAGAATCGTTCCTTCAAGAATGCACGTCTTTCGAAGCTAAACATGGACATGGAGGGTTCCATCAACTGCCATTTTTGTTCCTCTGGAAAATGTGTATATGCGAGTTGATCAGGGTCAGGCATGAAGAAGTTCTCATCTAGACGATAGGTAGTCATGTCACTATCACTGTCGCCCTCTATTGCGCATGCACCCCAATACGCGTTAATGAGACGCCAGTTGTTGTCCACCAGAACAGCATTCCACTCGCCATAGTGAGATTCCTTGTTCAGAGTCTGTCCTATCTCGTATGTACTACCTTTTAGGTAACCATGTATTACAACGCAAGGGAGACCAGCCAAACTGAAAATAAAGTGATCTCGATTTAGGGTCTCTTGTATCGAAAAATATTATTTGAAATACTTTCAATTTGTATAAAATTACGGTACCATGACAACAAACTGTGTAGTAACTTACTTGCAAAGATGACTGAAAAGTTGTGCGTAGTTTCCTTTCTTTTTCTTAATTTTTTCCAGGTAATGCCAAACGTGTCCTTCTCGAGCTGGTTTGAGCGGAAGCTTAAGTTTCCGGAGATTTTGAGAAGTCAGCCAAACGTAGAGTGCTCGAAGTTTGGCGATGTCACTTCTGTAGTTGTCGGTCAGGTGACCAACCAGTTCACAGAGCAACTTGTTCAGGAAAGTTTTAGGAACCTTCAAAATTAATTGTGTAATATGTGTGAATAAGCATTACTGGTGTAAAGTTTTTGAACATTTGCCCGTCAAAGACCGGAGTTTTCTCGATAAAATTCTTATGAATTTGAAAATGTTGCACAAGGCATAAGATGCAAACTAATTTATAACCAGTCTAATAAAATAAACGTATCAGAAGCTGCCAGAATACTTATTCAAGGTAATTGGATTCTATCTCTTTCAATTTCAATCTACGATTTATTGCTAGCCTCCCCTTTGATAAAAGCTTGGAAGAAGTATAGTGCAAAAATTAATCTGATTGCATTCATAAGTAGGTGATTAAATGTGGTAAACATTTGATTGTATGGTCAATATGACAAAGAAACTTGTATATAACGAGAAGAAATGTGTGTATGAATGTCTGAAAAATTGTTTTATATCTTTGCAAATGCAAACTCTCGCAAGAAGAACTTTTTATGACCTGAAATGTAATCATCGGAAATATATGCCTTACCTTCAAGGCTCTCTTGTCCACTTTCTTGTACTGCCTTGGTTCGAAGATTTCGGACTTCCGGGTGTACGGGGGGTGGGGTGGCGGCATGTCAGGAAGAAGCGACTCGTCACGTGTGTAGACAAAGTGAGTATGGGAAAACTCGCACTTCCGGTGGAATTTCATAGTGGCGAACTGTATCGCAGGAACCTCTCTATTCTAAACAACAGGAGAAGGAAGATTTTAGAACAAAATATGCTTTCTTTTTCGATATTTATCAAATAGAACATTATTTTTTAGAACAATTAATTACATGGTTATACATCATAATGGCGGTATTTAAACATGTTGCATTTTTAAAAAATATACCAACTTTAAATTCGGAAGAAAAATAAATGTTGTTATTAAAGATAGTATATTTTTGTACGTCGTGGAAGCTTTTCAGGTAACGAGCAATTGTGAATATTCAGTAATAGCAGCTTCTATATTCATATTCAAAACACAGATCTATTCCGTGTTTAAATATTAATTCAATAAAATGAGTTCTTTTATTATACTGGAATAGTTCATGTAAATGCTTTCCGTATTAGTAAGGTTACAAATTCAACGTCTTTTTCTTTATTCATGCAAATATACAGTTGAATTACGTATAATACTTATACAGTGTTAATACTTTTAATTTCTTTTATCTAAATTTAAAAATAAATTTGTTTTGCTTGTGTTGGTGTCTTTTTTGGGTGAGTTGGGGATTCAAATGGTGTTTTATATTTCGATAGGTATGCACTTCTGGAATTGACAAAGTTTGGACATGCATGTCAAACGTTGCAATATTTGATAATCTTGTGATGTATATTCAAAATCTTGTGATGTATGTTCGAAATCTTGTGATGTATATTCAAAATCTTGTGATGTATATTCAAAATCTTGTGATGTATGTTCGAAATCTTGTGATGTATATTCAAAATCTTGTGATGTATGTTCGAAATCTTGTGATGTATATTCAAAATCTTGTGATGTATGTTCAAAATCTTGTGATGTATATTCAATATCTTGTGATGTATATTCTAAAATCTTGTGATGTATATTCAATATCTTGTGATGTATATAATCTTGTGATGTATATTTGAAATCTTGTGATGTATATTCTATAATCTTGTGATGTATATTCAATATCTTGTGATGTATGTTCAAAATCTTGTGATGTATATTCAAAATCTTGTGATGTATATTCTATAATCTTGTGATGTATGTTCGAAATCTTGTGATGTATATTCGAAATCTTGTGATGTATATTCAATATCTTGTGATGTATATTCAAAATCTTGTGATGTATATTCAAAATCTTGTGATGTATATTATATATCTTGTGATGTATATTCGAAATCTTGTGATGTATGTTCAAAATCTTGTGATGTATATTCAATATCTTGTGATGTATATTCGAAATCTTGTGATGTATGTTCAAAATCTTGTGATGTATATTTAATATCTTGTGATGTATATTCGAAATCTTGTGATGTATATTCTATAATCTTGTGATGTATGTTCGAAATCTTGTGATGTATATTCGAAATCTTGTGATGTATATTCAATATCTTGTGATGTATGTTCAAAATCTTGTGATGTATATTCAATATCTTGTGATGTATATTCGAAATCTTGTGATGTATATTCTATAATCTTGTGATGTATGTTCGAAATCTTGTGATGTATATTCGAAATCTTGTGATGTATATTCAAATCTTGTGATGTATGTTCAAAATCTTGTGATGTATATTCAATATCTTGTGATGTATATTCGAAATCTTGTGATGTATATTCTATAATCTTGTGATGTATGTTCGAAATCTTGTGATGTATATTCGAAATCTTGTGATGTATGTTCGATAATCTTGTGATGTATATTCGAAATCTTGTGATGTATATTCAATATCTTGTGATGTATATTCGAAATCTTGTGATGTATATTCTATAATCTTGTGATGTATGTTCGAAATCTTGTGATGTATATTCGAAATCTTGTGATGTATGTTCGATAATCTTGTGATGTATATTCGAAATCTTGTGATGTGTGTTCTACAATTCAGTGATGCGTGGCTGGACCGGGAATCGAACCCGGGACCCCTATATCACTAGTCAGGTGCTCTACCTACTGAGCTATCCAGGCCGATATCCACGGCCCTAACCATTACACGTGCAATAAAATTGCATGACGCAACAGAAAAGTAAGGACAATTTTCATTGGTTAGAAATAACGAAAGTAGCCGGAGCGGTCGTAATGCACACATTGACACAACTTCGCAAGCATGAAATTGGCGAATTCAACCTAAAGTCAAAATTATAGGTAATAGAAAAATTGTTTTGGTATCAAGAAGCACTAAGTCAGTCATAACGTGAAAAGTGGGAATCAAGAACATTAATTTGATTTGTTTGAAGGTACATCAAAAACAATTTAGTGGCTTATTCAGTTATTGCTGGACTAAAGGATGTTTTATCCTATTTTTACGTCCTCATATTGTAGTGATGTTGATTAATCGGTATGATTTATTCTATATTGGTGCTAGTTAGAATAATCTAACTGTGTCTCGGGACAAACTCTCACCACGCAGGGTTCGAAATTGCATGGCCCATTGCAGCTGCATTGACCGTAGCACTAGTCCAGGGACGACTTTGCAATAAATAAATAAATAACACGACAAATTTTTAGGAGAAGGTGAATGTCAGGAAAAGATTAATTGCTATGCATCATTGAATATTGTCATTCACAAATTTGTCCAATTATTTTCATAGTAAATGTATTGAGCCGGGCTCATTTACAGGATAATGAACAAGGACTGTGGTGACAGTTTAAAATCACGTTCAGACGTTTAGAGAATATGTAATACACACAAAAATATCTCAATGGCATGTATAATATTAAATAGTTTTAAAAATAAAATAAAATATAGCTAGAAATTAACAGCGAAAAATATTTATCACGTATCGTTTTGGGGTAATCCGGTTTTATATACAAACAGAAGTAAATAAACACCGATGCAGCAAGATTAAGGTCAAACGTCTCTGCACTGATGTGTCCTCAGCGGTGAGATTTGCATCAAGTCATTAATGATGTTCCCTGCATTTGTGTTAGCCTGATAGTACAACCTTTATTTATAGAATCAATCTAATTCAAATTAGATGTTAGATCCGCTTGCATACTCGCTACACTAACATCTAACAACATCCCGTTGAGGGTCACGTCAGAGGTCAAATTCTATCAATTAATCAAATCGCAGCTGGCAAAATCATCATATATTGTTGAAGCAAATAAATCTTGAGGCGTTCCGAATTTAACCTCTTACGTGACCCTCAATGGGATGACTTGTTAGATGTTAGTGTGTTGAGTATGCGAGCCGATCTAACATCTAATTTTAATTATATTGTTTATAGAATATGATGCAGACAGGGATACCTGGTGAAAACCTTTCGCACCCGTTGAATTACTTTGTAAAATATTAGTCAAAGGAGCCAGGAAAAAATATTAAACAATTTAATATTATGATAAAAATATTCAATTTACTATTTCTTAAGGTGATTTTGTTTTCTCAACAGCGGCTGGTCACGTACCATACTTTTACTCGTAAACTCAATTTGGCGGTGAAGAAGCAGCATTTTCTGTTGCTCACCGTCGCTATAGCTGAGCATTGCTCTACGAGCAATGTGCCCGGCTAAAAATCATAATATTTGTAATGATATATCATATTCTAGACTTGACATACAATAAACAATGATAAGAATTATTGTCGCATATCTGCAGTGATTTTCTTTGATCTTTCTGTGGTGATAATTTATCCCATATCACATGTGTGATAATACTTTCCAAACATGTTTCAAAGTTTTTACACTCTTTATCATACAGTTTTAAAGGACAGTTTTATGAGCTCATAAGTATATTAAATGGTTAATTTATCAAAACCTGCATTTAAAAATTCAGAAGTCTTAAGTTAAACCAAATTGTCCAGGGTATTCTTAGTAAGGTATGTCAAAGGTCATGGTTAAGTGACTTTGTAAGGCTGGTATTTTTTCTTTAGTTTTATGGCAATCAGTGCACATGGTAAATATCATAAAATTACCCCTTAAAGGTCTTATGCAAGGAGATAGCCAATCAAAATGAACAAATGTAGTTCTATGTATGATGTATATAGAGACAATAATATTTCTTTTCTTTTTTCATGAACTTTACGTAGGTCTACAGTTTTAATGTTGGACTCATGCACTAGGAATATCATATCAGCAGAATTGTGCCACTGAATCAAAGGGAACTCTTTTTTTTTTAGGTACGCATGATCGATGTAACTTCCTTGATGGTGTGTTGGCTGTTTGCCCATGTGTATTTCGGGGTATAGGTATGTTTAGTCTCAATTTTCTTTCTTAAAAGCTGCATAAGGGGTATATTTTTTCTGATCTCAAATTTTGTCTAAGCATTAATCTTTTTTCTCATTCATGAATTATCTGCTGAGAGTCTAGTTAATTAATTTATTTAATTAAAGCTATATAGTAACATATAGTGAAATTATTTCCTTGTGTGAGACCTAAAGAAAATCAGGTTACTCATTTTTATGACAATTTCTTTGATTTCAGGAGTAGCCTCCCCTTTTAAAGATCCAAAATGGTGATTTTACAGTGCGGCATGCAGTCTGTCATCAACGAAGAGTTTTGACACCTGTAATACCCATATTTCTACCATTCACCTCTGTAACCTTTGTTGAGTTCATCAGACTGGTAAGAAAAACAATATTGTTAATTGAAATAATTTTATCAAGATAAATAAAATAATTAATGAAAAAAAAATTACATGAACAGACTCCCTCATATAAGAAAATGTCACATTTTACACATTGCAATTATACATCATTTACATATCCACATTTTCCCCATTTACACATGCAGTTGAATAGATTTAGTGCTTAATAATACATAGCAACAATTATTACATGAATCCTAAGACAATTCACAAAATACATGAATGCATTAAACTGTGAAATACAGATTTCGTACATTTAATTAAAATGCACAACATCAGTACCCCCCCCCCCCTTCACAATCTAAAAACTTTCTTTTTAATTCAAAGTCACTAGGCAACACTAAAGATTTCCACTTATTGCTTTTCAGTCCAAGACAGGAAGTTGAGGAATAAAGTTGACAGGACATCCTGAACTGTCCTCGCTACCAGCTTATGAGGGAACCAGCTGCAGTGGACAAAGTACGTTACATCATAGGATAATAGGTAAGTCTCCGGAGTAGTGTTTGTAGCAATTCTCGTACTTGGTCCTGCATCGAAGATTCAGGACTATTGATATTTATCTCTGCATGGTTTGGTTCTTCCCAGAAACATGTTACTGGTGGTGGTCCCTATATTCTTCTGGCTTTTGTGGTGAGGAATGTTTCATTTCTAGCTCTTTTCTGATCACATTTTGTCTATCTAGCTGTTTGTCTGTCTGTCTGTCTGTCCATCTGTCTGTCTGTAAACTTTTCATATTTTCGACTTCTTCTCTAGAACCCATGGACCAATTTCAACCAAACTTGCCACAAAGCATCCTTGGGTGAAGGGGATTCAAGTTTGTTCAAATAAAGGGCCACACCCTCATTCAAGGGGAGATAATTGGGAATTAATGAAAATTTGATGGTATGTTTTAAAAATCTTGTTTTCAAGAACCACTGTGCCAGGAAAAATGAAACTTATGGAGAAACATCCTCAGGTAGTGTAGATTTAAATTTGTTCAAATCATGACCCCCGGGGGTAGGGCGGAGCCACAATGGCTGACCAAAGTTTAACATAAAAATATATAGGAAAATTCTTTAAAAATCTTCTTCTCAAGAATGACAAAGCCATAATTGATCCTATTTATATGGAAGCATCCTCAGGTAGTGTCAATTCAAGTTTGTTCAAATCATAACCCCCGGGGTAGGGCGGGGCCACAATGGAAGATCAAAGTTTTACATAGAAATATAAAGGAAAAATCTTTAAAAATCTTCTTCTCAAGAACAGCAAAACCCTGATTGATCATATTTATATGGAAGCATCCTTAGGTAGTGTAGATTCAAGTTTGTTCAAATCATGTTCCCCGGGGGTAGGACGGGGCCACAAAGGATGATCAAATTTTATATAGAAATATATAGGAAAATTCTTTAAAAATAACCTTCTCAAGAAAAGCAAAGCCATGATTGGTCAAGGGACTACTTTTGGATTTAAACTTTTCAATAAAAAACCAATTTTTACTTTTTCCTAGCCACAGTGCTCAGGTGAGCGATGTGGCCCATGGGCCTCTTGGTTTTTTTTTTTTTTTTTTAAAAATGATCAATCATTAAATATAAATAAATCAGTTGTTAAAAAATTTGCTTCATATTTGAAGTGCTTTAAACCGACCCTTTGATGAAAGTGACCAGTGTTTTTTGCACCTTGGAAGGTTTATTGGTAAAATATAAGAAGGAAGTTATGATTTTGGTGTCACTATTGTTGTTATTTAAGTTTGATTTGATTTTTATATTACGAGTATTATGAAACTGTTATTTTGTTACTGAACGATGGTTAATTTTAATTGTGAACAAATGTACAAAGATGAGGAGTATAATATAGTTGGCTATGTATATTGCCCAATTTTTGAACATATTATGTAATAAATATTAATAACAACCTTTGAATAATTGGAAAGACAATATTATAAATATGATAGCATTTTTGTACATGAGCATACATTTTTGAAAGGAAAAATAAATTATTCAATTGCATTAAAAAAAATATTTTGTTTCATATTCTTGCGAATTATCAGATCATTCTTCTATTATTTAAATACTCTGTCATTATGAAACCTTGTTAATAATTAAGTAAATATTAATTGTACATTTGCACCAATTTTTACATGTTTGTGCAAAATTATATACAGGAACAATTCTGAACAAATATATGCAAGTGAGTTGTAAATTTGATATGTAATGCATACATTACAAAAACCCATGACAGTGTTCACTAAAATGAAATGTATGGACTCTTATATAAATACTTGGTATATGTGATATGGATATTATGGATGATATTTTTGAGAATGACACAAGTAATGAAATTTTTCAGCATTGAATTGGATTCTTGAACCAGAGCCATGTGAACCTGGTCCACCTGTACCTCTCATTGAAGACCTGTTAACATCACCAGAGTATGTTCATTCTGATACCCCTATGGTATGGTTACAGCATGCATTATCCCTGAATCCATTAAAAGAGCTGCATTGGCAACGAAACAACCCAATGTGGTCGATTGTAAGGAAATATAGCATATCAGCTTCCAACTTTGGTGCAGTTCTCAGTTCTAAGCAAAGGCGGTAAGACGTGTGATTAAATTTTTGCGAAAAAGACTTTTAAAATTACAGTCAAACTTTGTTATCTCAAACCCATTATCTCATATTTCATGGATATGTCACAGTAATTTTGAAGTCCAAACCATTTATAAAAGACTGGGACATTTTATTCTTGATAACTATTTATGTGTTATTCTTGAATCCACGGATATTTCCAACATTTTTCTTGGTCTCATTGAGTTTGAGATAATGAGGTTCGACTGTAATGACTAGATATTTGTACATAAAGATGCAGGAAATATAAGATTAATAACCAAAAATCATATTTTCTTCTCCAGATTGACATTGTCACTGAAGAAACAGCTGATGTCGGCTTACAATCTGGAGTCCATCAAGGCTGTTGCATGGGGTATCACTCATGAAGATGATGCTTTGAGAAAGTATGAAAAGGACTTAGATGCAGCTGTAGAGCAGTCAGGTATACAGCACAAAATAATATTCATTCAATCTCTGACATGTTAACATTCATTGTGTCAAAACAAATAACAGGACTTATCCTGGTGACAAACAGAAATCAATTACTGAAGTCTAATTGTAAAAAAAAACTAGAAATATGTCCATAGGACATGAATGCCCCGCCGAGGATATATTAGTAAAGCAACATGAAATTTGTACATGTATAAAATTTGATCAGTTTGGTTCAGGCAGGGCTTATAGTTAGTTGGGAATAAAAATGTAGGTCCAGCATCCAAAGCAAGTCTGGTAGTGTCCATCCCTAGATGCATCATCCACGCAAGTTTGGTTCAGGTAGGGTTTATAGTTACTTGGGAATGAAAATATAGGTCAGATCCAGCATCCGAAGCAAGTCTGGTAGTGTCCATCCCTAGCTGCATCATCCATGCAAGTTTGGTTTAGGTAGGGCTTATAGTTACTTGGGAATGAAAATGTAAGTCAGATCCAGCATCGAAGCAAGTCCGGTAGTGTCCATCCCTAGATGCATCATCCATGCAAGTTTGGTCTAAGTAGGGCTGATAGTTCCTTAGGAATAAATCTGCTCCAAAAACTTCAACCTGGTCACTCATCTGGAAAATGTAGGTCAGATCCAGCATCCGAAGCAAGTCTGGTAGTGTCCATCCTTATGCATCATCCAAGCAAGTTTGGTCTAAGTAGGGCTTATAGTTCCTTAAGAATGGACCTGCTCCAAAAACTTTAATTTGGTCACTCATCTGGAAAATGTAGGTCAGATCCAGCATCCGAAGCATGTCCAGTAGTGTTCATCTCTAGATGCATCATCTATGCAAGTTTGTATCAACATGTAAAGTTTGATAACACCATCTTGAATGGTATGTTTAAAACTGAGCTAAACACTATTTAAGAAAAGTCAGGTCAAGGTCAAAAAATGTTAATGCAGTTGCATAGCTCTCATCAATATCTATCAGCATATGAAGTTTGATGAAAATATCTTGGATAGTTTCTTTGAAACTTAGCTTTGAACAGAGCTAAACACAAAGTGGGACGGAAGGACAGAAGGACGGAAGACGGACATGACAAACACTATATGCCCCGGCCATATTCATGGCGGGGCATAAATATTCAGTTACCAACATATTCCAGAAAATTTGCTTTTTGAAGTGGAAGGATTATAAAAGCTCTACTTAGACTTTGTTTGCATTACAAAATCAATTGTATTATGGTTTGTTTGCATTCAGTAGTATTATAATTTTTTCTGAAAAGGATATGGTTGCATGAATCCGGAGTGTTGGGAGCTTCACCTGATGGCTTAGTTGTTCGACCACCAACATGCAGTGTATTTTATCAAACTCCAGAAGCCAAAGACGCCATTCCTAATATTGTAGAGGTGAAGTGTCCATATACAGCATCGTCTTCAACAGTAGCAGATGGGGCACAAAATTTGAAGGATTTTTCATAGGTAAATAACATTAAAAATCTGTATTGTCCAGTACTTTGAAATTAAAAATCTTGGTGAGTAAATGATTTCAAAACATGTATTAATTTACAAGTGCAGCTGTTCAATATGGTATGAAGATATTGAAAAAGGAGGGGATATGTACTGGTATAACACAACTTAAGTGTTTTTTGATTTTTTTTTTAGATCTTAAACAAGATACCCTGTGCCTGAAAACCAGTCACCCATACTATCATCAAATTCAAGGCCAGCTACACATATGTAACAAAACATTCTGCGACTTAATTGTGTGGACAAGAGTAGACTGCATTGTGATTAGAATAGTAAAAGACATTGAATGGACAGCAAATGTTCCAAAGCTGATAGATTTCTACATTAACATTTTCATTCCAGCACTGATGGAAAACTGAGTTCTGGTTTGAACTTCTTGACACTTAGTTTTGTACCTCTAGAATTTTCTAACAATGGAAAATGGGTAATCATGTTAAATGTGTTGAATGTTCCTAAGTCTCATAAATGTATGATATGATATGTCACAATCCATCATAAAACTTCTGGCTTATAAGACTATTTTAAATAGCAATGATGATTAATAAAATCTATGTACTACATAAAAAAAGAATATCAAAATTTAGAATCATTTTATTAATGAATTGAAGATGTTATTCTCAAAGTGAAAATGTAACATTTTGGTCTTTCTTAATAGATAAATTGTTGAAAACATGAATTTGTTGAGTTGTGCTTTAAAGGTAAATATACTTTAAACTAGAGATTTAAAATTATAAGTAAACCCTCTTCCAAATTATATTGTCAAATGAAGAATGGAATTGCCAAACATTCTTGTAATAAATCCATGCTAACAAAAGGGATTTTCATTTTCTGAAGTATATGTATTACAACATACTACAAAGTTAACAAATATAACCATTGACATTGATAACAAATCAAAATTTGCTTATCCCTTGCACTTTGGTATGAATATCTTCACTGTTTAGTGTATACTGTCACACGCCAATGCAAATTTATAATAAGTACATGTATCTTTAAGTAATTTCTTTCAAAAGTGGAGCTTGCAAGTTTACAAGACAAGAACAGAGTTGAAATATTTTTGTTGAGATTGGTCTGTAAGTAGATGGTATGTGACGGAGAATCTCGTAATTCTTTATCCTCTCGTTGGCTCTTTCCACATGAATAAGTGCTTTAGCAATCTTGTAACACAGTGCTGCTTCTTGTATGGTAAACTGGCCTCGTGTCGATAAAAGAGCTTTTATAATTAAGCAGACACCCTGGGGCAACTGGTCATGAATGGTGAAACCTTTGACCACCAAAATAAGGTCTCCAGCTTTGAACTTTCGTAAAACTTGGCTGTGACGTACAATAGCTACATCAGAAGTAGAACCTGGGTACAGCATGGAGCAAAATGTAAGTGCACCATTTGGAGGCACGCAAGTTACTGCTTTAAAAGTATGGCAACTTTTGTACATACTGTAGGCCATGGCCTGATTATCCATATGTGTTGGGATGTCCTGGATTGTTTCAATTGCATCCATGGATGCTCTAGCAGAGGAAAAATCCTCAAAAGATTTTGGCAGAGACCCTGAAAAAAAGTTGGAAACAAATTAATTTGATTATTTGTAATTGTGTAAAAAAATTGTGTTACAGTCAATCTTTCAAGAATACAATAAATTTAACTGCATTAAATTTTTGCAAGTCATTATGATAAATTTTAAAACAAACCTTTGCATTTAAGCTGACTTGGAAAACATTCTACGCTACATTCTACACTACGCCATCAGACAGCATCTTGTATAGGGAAAAGTCCACTAATTATTTTCCCATAGAACTCCATACAAACCTTAGGCCTTCTCAGTACTTTACTATGACAATTTCAGAAAAATCTTTAGCATCATTTCAAACTTTGTTCTAAGCCCTAACAAAAAATACTGAAAAAAATACATGGTCCCATGGCGTTTATAGGTCAAAATTGCAGTTATTTTCAACTTTTAGAGATTCGCAGTAAAGAACACGCGGCATAAAAAATCAACCCCCACTCCTAAAATCTTCCCTGGCATTTCTATAGTTTCTGTAATATTCCCTCATCCCATCATTTATTTCAAAGGTCATTAATTTTACTTTAAAATGAAAACAATTAAATACCTGATTTCAGCCAATGGCGTAACGCCTACCCATTCAGTATTCGGTTTAATGTTCCATAACAAACAAAGCCATGTGTGCATCCGGGGATTTGGTGCTCTCATTCCTATACTTACATACTTACCTGTCCCAGAATTAGTCAATTGTGGTAATTTCAAAGACTATACACCTACCTGTGAACATGTATGAAATTTGAGTCCTGTGACTTCAGTGTATTGGATACTGTGACCATCTCAAATGATGACACCTTACTGCTACCAGCACAATTCAAAGGAGTGAATGACGTCTGGGCCGGTGATGATATTTGGATATATTGGTGACTGTAAGAAATAAAATATTTGTACAATGAATTGTTTTTGTGCTTTAATGTTAATAAAGTGATATTAAGTCAAAATTGAGTCAATAATTTCATAAGGGTGGATTCTACCCAGAATTAGGTAAAAAGCTCCAAAATTGGATAAATCGTAGTTAATTAAGCAAAATTCAAAGGTTTTAAAAAGACTGATATAGAATTTTTTTATGCTTATGCAAAGGATATTATTTAAGACTCTGATATACTAATTGATTCTTATCTAATCCCTCCTATTGCTCAAGTATGTACAAAAAAGTTTCCCCACCCCCCAGTGAAAAACGCTTAAAGAAATAGCAGGTGCCCCCTTTTATTTTTGTTTACAATTAATTTAGACAAGTTTAAATCAATCCTTTTGATAACAAATCAAAGTTCAATGTCTGTAGTCTTATACTTTACAATCAGAAGCTACTTTTTGAATTTTATTCTAAGAAAAGGAGAATTTAAATAATTTTTTTTAAAAATTAAAGAAAAGCAAAAACTGACTTCAAACCCCAAAATGTACTATACAATAAGAGGCTGGAAAGTTAATAAATAAAAAATTTACCTGCAATGTACAGAAAACTGTCCGACAAAATACATCGGGTGGGTAGGGAGTCTCCATTTTCTTCTTATATAGAGAAAATGCCCCTGCTGATCAGAGACCTAACACTCCCAAATAATAACAAAATATGTTAACATAACAGTCAATCTAAGATGTTCATCCCTCAATGGCAACAAGTTTTTATTACAGTAACTGAAATTGTTAGGAAATAGGAAATCACAATTGGAATTCCTTTAAATGTACCTTCTCTTTGTTGTATTTAATATCGTGGATTGATATTGGCTTCCTTTTACTAGACTCTATTTTTAGGGCAAGCAATTCCTTTTCCAGTTGTATTTCTGTTGAGAGGCGCTGCATTTCTTGAGTACAGTTAAATGTGCAGGATACTGAGTAGTTGTGCTCTGATATCAACTGAAAATATATTGTAAATCATGTACAGTTAAAAGAACTTTATATATTATTAAAAATTATTGAAAATGTTTCAGTGTTGGTCATTTGTCATCATTGGTGTTTTAAATGAGCTTTACTTTTTCTTGATCTTGACATTTTGGTGCTTGTGGAATCTGCAACTGGTCCATCTGTGAAGATGACAGGGACTCCTCACTTTTGAGTTTTTTCCTCCTTTGTAAAATAATTAAACTTGAATTATTTTTTTATTCAGTTGTAAGCTACTCTGTTTATACATGTACCCTTTTAAAGTTTTTTAGTAAAATATTCTCAATTAAACTCCACCCACCCACCATCCAAAAACAAGATGTCGGTCACATTTTGAAAAATAATTTCACCTTTTTGTACATTCAGGATCAGAGAAATCCATGGCCTTTCCTTCATTCCATGCAAAATATGCAGGGTCCCCCTCCTTCTTACCATCCTTAAAGTGGCAGGAGCAGATGCGATCATTCTGATCTCCTGGTTGGCGATCAGCTCGTCTAAAAATATACATTATACAAAGACTGAGTGAAGGAGAATTAAAAAGCAAAACCTGTTCATTTAGCATGTTATTATCAAATAGCCTAAAAGACTTATTTTTTCATTATTTTTTTTTAAATGTTTCATTTACTTGCAAGTACAAGATAACCATGTGCATAACATTAACAAACGGTAGCAGTATTTGGTAGTAATAATACGAAATAAAATGTAATAAAAACAGCTGTTAAACAAAAATTAATCTTGCTACAAATTGCACAGTTTTTTATTCTTACATTGCTATATTGATTATACGAGATTTAACTTTTTAGCATTTTTGCATATTATAAATACTGTATCTGACATTGTGTGCAGCATCGTGACATATGGCTACAAAATACCTACAAATTTTGTCAATATATTATTACTGCAAGTTGTGCTATACCTTGAAATATTAATAATACGAAATAAAATGTAATAAAAACAGCTGTTAAACAAAAATTAATCTTGCTACAAATTGCACAGTTTTTGTAGTATGCATTATTCTTCTGCTATATTGATTACTACGAGATTTAACTTTTTAGCATGCATGTATAAATACTGTATCTGACAATGCAGCATCGTGACATATCGTTACAAGTACCTACAAATTTTGTCAATATATCTACGTTTACTGAGTTTTTTCCCTAGCAGGCCGAAATATCTCCATCATGTCACCAGGAACAACACTCGTGCAGCTCGTAATAAGTGCTGCAATAAACAAACTGATGATTGTGTTTTTTCTCACCTGCATGGTTTTCCCGACGCTTCAGCTACTTTCGTTATTTCTAACCAATGAAAATTGTCCTTACTTTTCTGTTGCGTCATGCAATTTTATTGCACGCATCACTGAATTGTAGAACACACATCACAAGATTTCGAATATACATCACAAGATTATCGAACATACATCACAAGATTTCGAATATACATCACAAGATTTCGAACATACATCACAAGATTATAGAATATACATCACAAGATTTCGAATATACATCACAAGATATTGAATATACATCACAAGATTTTGAATATACATCACAAGATTTTGAAAATACATCACAAGATTTGAATATACATCACAAGATTTCGAACATACATCACAAGATAATAGAATATACATCACAAGATTTCGAATATACATCACAAGATATTGAATTGAATATACATCACAAGATTTTGAACATACATCACAAGATATTGAATATACATGAATAGAATATACATCACAAGATTATAGAACATACATCACAAGATTTTGCATATGCATCACAAGATTTTGAACAAACATCACAAGATATTGAATATACATCACAAGATTTTGAATATACATCACAAGATTTTGAATATACATCACAAGATTTCGAACATACATCACAAGATTTTGAATATACATCACAAGATTTTGAATATACATCACAAGATTTCGAACATACATCACAAGATTTTGAATATACATCACAAGATTATCAAATATTGCAACGTTTGACATGCCCAGCACGCAATGGCACGCTATAGAAACTTGTGGTCCAACAAAACCCCACTTGTTTATCATACAATGAATAATCGGGTTATTCTTATTTTAAACTGTTAGGTGTTTTCATTAGTGTACCTGTATTAAATCTGTGACATTAGAGATTAATTTTTCTATGTTAATAGTGTACGAGTTACCCCGATCTACTTAAAGCATTTACAACGGTGTGCATTCTATGTGTTGGAGATTTCTGATTTTCTCGGAGGAACATACAGTGCGTTATACATTTATGTGGTTGGATAGTTTTAGTTCCTCTTGTCTGCTTCACCTGTATAAGGCATATGGTGCTCATAATGAAGCTGATGTACTTTTTGTTGTAACAAGCATTTAATCTCATAGAAAAAGATAACAGAAACTAGAATTATTGGCAATAATTTCAAGGGCAGATGATATAATGATAAAAAAGAAGGATGTCTGAATTGATAGTTTTTAACCTATATTGGTTGTAAGTGATGTGAGTATTATATTTCTAGAATCTAAAAATTGTTAACTTTTTATAGTATTCGAATCCTACCTTTCTGCAATCATCTTTATTAATCTGTAAACATTTTGTCACTTTATATTCAAAACAAATTATTATAAATCGTGTGAATGTGCGCCACTCAGACTTTTTATAATTTAGACAAAAAGATAAAGCTATATAACAACTTTTATGCGCTCTCTCTCTTTGACTTGCATTATATTTCTCCTCTAGGAATGGCTGTTGGGACCTTATTATATGATTCGTTCTCTCTCTCTCTCTCTCTCTCTCTCTCTGACTTACATTATATTTCTCCTCTGGGAATAGCTGCTGGGACTTTTTGATGATATTATTCTCTCTCTCTCTCTCTCTCTCTCTCTCTGACTTACATTATATTTCTCATCTGGGAATAGCTGCTGGGACTTTTTGACGATATTATTTGTACTGTCTCTGACGTACTCCCCCGGATCTACCGTCTCGTCCAGTTCGTACGCTACGTCTCTAGCAGACGCGGGAACAGATATATCCGTGTTAGAACGTTTGGCTTTCATCTAAAATTCAAAAGAAAATTATTTTAAGTAATAGTTAGATCATATTAAGTAAAATTTTAGTGGTTAAGAAGGGGCGGAGGGAGCGAAGCGACCGAGGCCCCTTCTTAACCACTAAAATTTTACTTAATATGATCTAACTTACTTAGAACCTAATCGCGCTTTTTCATTGGCTAATTAGTCAGCCCGCAGAGTTACTGCATAAACATAAAATCTTAACAATTAAGTGATCGACTTAATAGAAAATTTAGCAGCTGCTGATTGGAGGAAAAAGCGGGTTAGGTTCTAATGGTCTCTTGTTTAAGTAAAGTGAGTGTACCTTTTCCCGAAATTTAAGCACTGTTACGAAATACTGGTTCCCTAAAAATAGTTGGTTAATGATAGTATATATCTGAAATATTATGTTATACTCGTAAAATAAGGCAGAAAATGTTATTATTTACATGTATGAACTTATTAACCATCTGATTAAAATCAAAACTTCACTATATTTTTTTTGGTTGTCACAGTTTGATTTTATTCAGCTAGACTGATTTAATGGATTTCTGTTCATCAATACGTCTTTGTTTCTTAACAGTTTTTAGCTCACCTGAGCCGAAGGCTCAAGTGAGCTTTTCTGATCACATTTTGTCCGTCGTCCGTCTGTCTGTCTGTCCGTCTGTAAACTTTTCACGTTTTTGACTTCTTCTGAAGAACCGCTCGGCCAATTTCAACCAAACTTGCCACAAAGCATCCTTGGGTGAAGGAAATTCAAGTTTGTTCAAATGAAGGGCCACGCCCTCATTCAAGGGGAGATAATTGGGAATTAATGAAAATTTGGTGGTATGTTTTGAAAAATCTTCTCAAGAACCACTGTGCCAGGAAAGATGAAACTTATGTGGAAACATCCTCAGGTAGTGTAGATTCAAGTTTGTTCAAATCATGACCCCCGGCGGTACGGCGGGGCCAAAATGGCCGACCAAAGTTTTAAATAGAAAATTATAGGAAAATTCTTTAAAAATCTTCTTCTCAAGAATAGCAAAGCCGTAATTGATCATATTTATATGGAAGCATCCTCAGGTAGTGTAGATTCAAGTTTGTTCAAATCATGATCCTCGGGGGTAGGGCGGGGCCAAAATGGCCAACCACAGTTTTACATAGAAATATATAGGAAAATTCTTTAAAAATCTTCTTCTCAAGAATAGCAAAGGCATTAATGGTCATATTTATATGAAAGCATCCTCAGGTAGTGTAGATTCAAGTTTGTTCAAATCATGACTCCCGGGGGTATGGCGAGGCCAAAATGGCCGACCAAAGTTTTACATAGAAATATATAGGAAAATTCTTTAAAAATCTTCTTCTCAAAAATAGCAAAGCCATAATTGATCATATTTATATGGAAACATCCTCAGGTAGTGTAGATTCAAGTTTGTTCAAATCATGACCCTCGGGGGTAGGGCGGGGCCACAATGGCAGACCACAGTTTTACATAGAAATATATGGGAAAATTCTTTAAAAATCTTCTTCTCAAGAATAACAAAGCCATAATTGATCATATTTATATGGAAGCATCCTCAGGTAGTGTAGATTCAAGTTTGTTCAAATCATGACCCCCGGGGGTAGGGTTGGGCCAAAATGGCCGACCACAGTTTTACATAAAAATATACAGGGGAATTCTTTAAAAATCATCTTCTCAAGAATAGCAAAGCTATAACTGATCATATTTATATGGAAGCATCCTCAGGTAGTGTAGATTCAAGTTTGTTCAAATCATGACCCTCGGGGGTAGGGCGGGGCCACAATGGCAGACCACAATTTTACATAGAAATATATAGAAAGATTCTTTTAAAAATCTTCTTCTCAATAATAGCAAAGCCATAATTGATCATATTTATATGGAAGTATCCTCAGCTAGTGTAGATTCAAGTTTGTTCCAATCATGACCCCTGGGGGTAGGGCGGAGTCAAAATGGCCGACCACAGTTTTACATAGAAATATATGGGAAAATTCTTTAAAAATCATCTTCTCAAGAATAGCAAAGCCATGATTGGTCATGGGACTATTTTTGGATTTAAACTTTTCAATAATAAACCAATTGCTCAGGTGAGCGATGTGGCCCATGGGCCTCTTGTCTTGTAAAAATCCCTAAGGTATACTGTCATATTGTAAATTTTGAATTTACTGCCACCCGGTAAATTCAAATTTACAACATGACAGCAGTATTGAAAATAAAATGTTGTTGTATATGTAGATTAGAAAATAAAATATATGTAGATTAGTACAATGTGTCCATCTTTGTACAATATTTTCTTTAAGTTCAAAAAATATTTTGCTTAAATAGAATATAGAAGATCCTCTCTTCCAATTTAGATTAAAGCACTATTTAATGATAAACAAGATGTGTTGGTGACGGTTAATATTTCTCTCGATTGCAGGTCAAACTCATGGGGGCAAAGGATGAAAAATGTAGTTACAAAGACACTCTTTTTAATGTGGGTCAAACTACAAAGTCAAAGTCGAAGGTTCAAATTAAAAGGTATACTCAGGGGGAGACCAAAGTTGAAAAAACAGACACGTGGACGGACAGGGCAGAAACTGTATACTCCGATTCTTTAATTGTGGAGGCATAAAAGTACCCATATAAAAATCAAAGCCCCGACACCAACTGTTCAAAATAGCAAATGGTCGATATTGTCGGTATCCAAAAGAAGGCCTTGTCACATGTGGAATACATCCGTGACATATGAAAACGAAATGCTCACAGTTCAAAAGTTATGTTCAAGGTTAAACTTTTTAAAAAGTGGGTCAAACTCAAAAGTCTATGTCTTAAGTTAAAAATAAAATTGAGATTCATAGAAACATTTTATCACAATGAACACAAACTGTATATGAAGTATATATGAATTAAAGACCAGGCACCAACTGTTCGTAAGGATGGCCAAGGTAAAGTTCCTTTAATTCTTGCAAAATTGGGTTAAACTCCAAGGTCAAGAAGTCAAATATGTTGTTACCCAGAGAAAGGCCTTGTTACAAGGAATAAACCTGTAAACATTGAGACCAATAGATCTAACCAATCAAAAGTTTTGTGCAAAGTGATTTTTTTTTTGTGCACTGGCAAATAAACAGACAGATAGACAAACAAAGAGATTTACGGACAGGACAAAAACTATATACCCCCGAATCTTTGATTACAAGGGCATGTAATCACCCAGTTGTGTTAATTTATTGGACTTTAAATTGGTCCAAACTGTTAAATCGATAATAATGTGGCATTATTGTAACTCAAGTGGAACTCAATTTTTTTCCACATGCTGAGCAGGGCCTAAAAAAAATTTAAGTGTTGTGACATCATCGACAATAATAATATTATACTTGGCTATTCCAATTTTATCTCTATGTTATATGAACGAATTGGTTTTAAGCTTATAAATCTAAAAACAAATACACACTAAAAATGAACAAATGCAAATATTTGCAAAAAAATACTCTTCTGAGATAGACCTGCAACTTGTTTTTAAAGTTGTGAAGCAAAAGATTTAATCATAATAAACAAATAGTTTTACTTCAATATCTTTATTACAACACGATGAAAAATTCTCAGATGATGATGAGAAATTCCTCAATAATTCTTATAATGAATGTGTTTTTCCCTTTTTGTTAATTTTATTTTTCCTGGATATATATATGGGTTTTTGATCTTAGGATGGACGCAAACATAGAAAAAAAATTCGAATGACCAAGTATCATGAAATATTAAAGGAGGCATTTCAAATGAAACATTTATTTCACGTTAACAAACATTTAGAAGCCGTTCGTTTAACCAGTTGCTACATATGTGACTTTATCTTAAGATGTTAACTTACATAGTCCATAACTTTCTCCAGTTTTTCTTTAACTTTCTTTGTGTTGATCCCTGGAGGATTATGCGCCTTTCTTTTAGGCGTCGCTCCATTAGCCATGTCGGCGGGGGGAGGGTCCCCACCGTTCCGATCATTCCAGGCTCTGTCAGCGAACGTCTGACGACTGACGGAGGGCGACATTGGGCGGTTGTCCCGGAAGTTCCGCATCTCCATCCCTTCCTCCACCGGCAGAACATTGATCTGGGTGCTCTGTCGACTGACCCCGGGGGATATCTGGTTCCCATACCCCCCGTCATCCACACTCTCTGCGTTTCCCATTTCACTTCACGTTATATCCTCCATCATATAAATAATCCGTCCGTTCACAACAGTCTAGATCTTGAAATAACTGGCACCAACAGAAATTTGGATTCATGCAATAGAACTGTTCTTGGCAAGGCTGGTAGATTTTTATATAAAACTGTTTCGCAGGACTTGACCTTTTTCTTATGTCGTTAGATCACCATTGATAGGCCTTTATTCGCGTTATCTGATACGGTTGCGCATGTTAAACCTCTGATGACAAGGCCTGATTCCTTTGTCTTTGGGTTTATTGTGATCTTTATTAATCAGGTGTCTCATTGTTCTTATTAAATCTTCATGTGTCACCTCGTGCAGAATTTGGAAGATGTTGCGCCGATTGTTCCAATTATTACCATAGACGTTTGGAGTATAACGACCATTTCATGTGGTATTGCAATTAATTTTGTGAATTGGCTAAATTGATACTGCAATGATCGCAAAAATGACGATTTTTAAACTCCAAATAGTATATTTGATAAAAGGATATACCCTAACGAGAAAGGTTTATTTGTGGACAATTCTAGTTGCAACCCAAGTTTTGAATTTTCGATATCAGCATTTTTCTTCCTGTATAATACACTGATATATATCTGAATTCTTGCCATTTGAATTCAATAACTATTGGTGAGAAATTTAAAGCTAGTATTTGAAGATATCTTTGTCATTTCACATAGATATAGTTTATATTCTTTATGGTTTAAGGAATTCATTTGACATTTTCATTATTTCAGCTTGTCTGAGTTTGATAATTTCTCCCCCAAACCCCTACAAAAAATGTATAAAGTAAAACTGATATTTTTATCTCTTAAATAAATAATGCATAAATGCCATATCTGTGTCATTCTTAGTCCAGCATTTTTATTTTACATATTATAGATTGATAAAATCATGAACTGTCGTCGTGTCACATATTGGGGTTCAGTGTTTTGACAAAGTTAAAGTTATATATAGACCTTTAATTGGTAAACGTTGAATACAAATCTGAATAGAGATGGGTGTCCGGAAACTAGGTAACTTCCCGAAAATATTTTTAAATCTTATTCAGGCCGAATCCGGGGAAGGGGGTGTCGAATTAACAGGGAAAGATAATTATAAACTATAAAAGCGCAAAAAGCAATTAAGCCAAAAAAAAAAAGCTTTTCAATGCGTGGTGAGTTTTTGACGTTTAAAATATGTATCATATATCGCGAAATGAAAAGGACTAACAGGCGCGGATCTAGAAGAGGGGGGTGAAGAGGAAAAAAGTTATTATAACGTACGTTTTACATGCATATACATGTAGTTAAATAACTCAGTAGGATACAGGGTAGAGTATGGTTCTTAAAGGCATGGATTACGTGAAAGTTTTAGAAAAAGAAAGGAAAATAAATCTCAGAACCCAAAAATCCTATTTTATAAAGGGGTGGGGTTTCATTTTGTTTTCACAACTGAATTTCTTTATATATTACATTAACCTTTCTTTCACTGAACATTTTCAGAAGTAAAAACACGAAAAAATTTTGGTCTTTCTCTCTCTCTCTTTGCAAATCCAAGGGGGGGTGCAATCCCCGTAATCCCCTCCAGATCCGCACTGCTTAACCATATTAAAATGTATTTTTATGCCCTTGTAAACAAATTCAGGACATATTTTTATCTCTCCATCCATTTGCCTGTCTGTTGAATTTTTGGTCCGTTAAATCTTGAACCTTGCCCAAAACATTAAGAATTTGAACTTGAGCTTTCATATTTCACGTGCATTCCTTGCAACACCTTTCTTTGTGTACTAAAATATTTTGATCCCTTGACCTTGACGTTTAATCTACCTTGGGTGTAAATATTTTTTTTTCAAGCATAAGGTCCCCGACAAAAAGTTCTCTGGCTGATGAACACATTACAACCTTGCCCTATTGGGAACATATAATATCGAAGTAAAGTATTCCAATACCTCATTTTTATTGTTCAAAATTTGAAGACTGTTTTAATTGATAACTAATTCGATTTTTTTCTATCAAAGTTTGATCAATCTAACTGTATAAAAATACCACTGTAACAGGAAAGAAGAAAATGTATTGCTGGACCAAGAAACACACAGGGAGGACCACTGCATTACTAGTCAGGTGCACTAAGTACCGTGCTACCCAGGCCAATATCCTTGACTAAAACCATTACTTCACATAATTAGTCTAAGAGCTCTTTAGTGTGCAGTTTATAGATGGTCCCTAAATTAGGGTGAATTTAAACAAGCACAAAAAGTTATGCAGTAATTTAATTAATATTTAAGTCATTTACAAACATGTAGTGAATGTATAGATCACATTGATATTTTTCTGTAGTATTAGTACAATTAATTCTAAAGACTGAACACAACATAAACCTTATTCATTAAAAAATAAATTCAGTAAGACCCATGAAACATTTCTTTTGTATGTACTGTATATGATAAGAGCTTAAATTTTATACAAAACAAACTAATGATTCACGTGTGTGATGCAAAACAGGGAATTCATGTTAGCATTAAGTCACTGTATACTGTAATAATTGGTTTTTATTGAAATCACTTATGTTTTTCTTTGAAAATATTTGGCAGTGTCTTCACTCTTCAGTTTTCAAAGTCTTTTCAGAAACAGTAATAAGTATGACTCAGGTAGAATGTGTCCTTAAAAAAGATAATGCTGTTGATGGCCTTATAATGAACATGAAATTTATGAAGATCAATCTTCAAAGTAGCTGAAAACAAAATATTATTTTGAAAATAAATGTTTCAGAGAACAAATGCTGTTTTGTTTGATAATATACAACCCAAAGTAAATAAAATTCCTAAAAATAAATTTAATTTAGCAACTTTCTGTGGTAGTTTTTGTAAACTGTCATCTCTAAAAACTCTTTCTAGACTGAAGGCCTCTGGCACACAAATTAATGGCAGGAACATCCAGGATGATAAATGTAGTCCCATCAACACAAAAATAATGAATGGTACAAACAATAAAAATGCAAAGAAGAAATAGGATCCAGTTTTCCCTAGGAGTATTGCCATTGTTACAATCCCAGCTTTACGATCTGATTCCATATCTCTGGTGTTGTTGGCATGGAGAATTGACTCTGTATTTAAAGCTAATGGCAGTGCGTAAAGTATTGGCATCATTGATAAATGTCCAGTTTGACTCAGATAAGCAAACATGACAGTGAGTGGTCCAAATGTCAGAAATATTAACAGATCTCCCAACGCGATATACTTCAGTCCCAGACCACCAGTATATAAGAAGCTCGAAGACAGTCCACCAAAGTATATGAGAGCAAGATGTTCCATCTTAGCTGGAGATAGGAATGTCAATACAAAACATCCTAAGCAACCCATTATGTAAAAGAAGGCTCCCAAATTTGAAACCACCACTGGCGGTAACACATTGTCAACTAATGTCCTGTCATCACTTGCTTTCTTGCTATCAATTCCTTTCAGATAATCAAAGTAGGTGTTCACCAAGTTCCCAGCAGCGTGAACTGACAAAGCTGAGAGACAAGTCACCAAGAATATACTCAGACTAAACTCAGATGTAGATTTGTAGGCCAATGTGCTTCCTAAGGCAACGGGTGTCAGAGAGGCCGTGAACGACCACGGCCGCAAAGCAACAAAATATTTTCTGAGATTCAAAGAGAAAGATGTCATGTTTTTCAAATCTTTTCTTTCTTCCTGGCTTGTGCAATTATCAATCCCGTTTATGTCATGTTTTGTACTCATGGCTGAAACTGAAACCGGAAACGCACCGCACATCGAACTGTCGTAAAATACAACAATTAAACAAAAATATATATAAAACATTTTTGGTTAAAATCGTTTTCATAATTATTCTTTTTCTAAAATTCTTAGCGATATTTGCATCACAAAATGTCCAAATAATTTTATAATGAATCAATGATTGTCGCAATATTTAGAGACTTCCGTTTCATGAACAGTGAGGAAAACGTGATAAAATTTCATCAAAACATGCCAAATACTTGATACTTTTCTCAACTTAAACTATCAGAATGATTTGTAAGAATTGTTTAAAACATTTTATTCAACAGAATGTTAACTTTTATTACTGCCACTTCTTTTATCCTCATCTATTTCGATAGAATATTTAGAGGGCGTAGGATACAGGGGTGATTTAGTATGAAACCCATTTAGTATCATCTTTTTGATTTTTAGTTCGGTATGATTTGCATATCTTTAAATAACATGGTGACTATAACTCTCATTTTACTATCATATTTTTTGGCAAATACTATATGTATTTACAAGAGTTAACAGTCAACACTAGGGCATGATAATTCACCATGGTAAGGATCTAAATCAGTTTATATGCGATAAAAATAAAACTAATCATGATTTTAAGCTCTTTTCTCTTTGATTAAATGATCTGTACCCCAGGCCACTTAAAAAAAAAATGTTTAGTTGCCCTCTCCTGACCGACTCACTAAAAATATACTCAAAACTTTTTTTTTCTTACATTTAGGACACAATATATTTTTTTCTCTTTAACTCCTCTTATCCCTTCATCAAATATGTATAGATGGCCCCACTTTGACACACTTTTGAATCCTCTTTTATTTTGTATTCTCATTTCAGATGTCCTTTAACATTCATATTTACCTGGATTATTTGCCAAGATGACACAACATCTCCAAGAAATTATTTCCCAGTTTGTGACTGGTCTAAAAAATAAGAATGAAGATGTCCGGAATAAGTCTGCTATGGATCTGTACCGCTTTGTGGTCACAGAACTACGGGAAATGCCATCTGAGTACCACACGACCTTCATGGACAAGTTCAACCATTTCATTTTTGAGATGGTATCTAGCTCTGACATGAATGAACGTAAAGGCGGGATACTAGCTATAGGTACATCTAACCTACATACATGCTTAGCAATATTAGATTTAATCAACATTAAAGAAAAGCATATATCATTGAGGATTTTTTTTATTGAATGAATTTTCTGCCAACAAAAGCAATTATTGCACATGTATTGAAACTTAGACTCATTTGAAGTAGAGATAAAAAGTAACATAAGTAATGAATAAAGGATTAGTGAGAACATCTTTTAAAGAAAACAAATCAAGATTTGACAAACATGTGTTTGAGGTACTCTATATAGTTACCACCCATAAATATTCATTGCATGCTAGTTAGTTTTTTAAAGATTGATAATGCCTTTGAAATAATAACTTTTTGGAAATTCACTTCCGGTGCCAAGTTACAGACCTTTTCCTGAATTTAAAATGGATCACAAGAAACCAATTTTATAGGGGATACCTGAAAACACTGTATTGAAAGCCCTAGCTTCAACCCTATAAAAGCCCTAGCACTATCTTTTCAAAAGTTATGACCAAGGTTAACATTTAGTAAAATTTTGTAGAATTTTGCCAAAAGGTCAAATATGTTAGTACTCAAAAAAGGTCTTGTCACAGAGAAATTTTTTCAGTGTTACAATTTAGCATGCAGAAAATGTCTCATCTTTGAGTAATGCAATGTTTTCATCCTTTTTTAGTTAGTCTGACAGGAGTTGATGTTGGAAACAGGTCTACAAGAATAAGTCGATTTTCAAATTATCTGCGGAACCTTCTGCCATCTAATGATGTATCCGTCATGGAGATGGCAGCTCGAGCTGTGGGGTGGCTGGCTTTTTCTTCAGGCTCATACGCTGCAGAATATGTGGAGCATGAAGTGAAACGTGCACTGCTTTTTCTTTTTAAAATGCTTTGAAATAATAAGATCACAAGAAACCAATTTTATAGGGGATACCTGAAAACACTGTAGGCTTCATATGCTGCAGTTAACACTGGAATGGTTAACAGGTGATCGACAGGAAAGCAAAAGACTAGCTGCAGTACGTACATTATTTACTTTTACATGCAAAGTCTGTGGACGAACTTTTTTTTGTATAGTGGGCTACATGAATTGATTTCCTAGCACTATTTTTGAGCATTTGACTATGTTTTAAACACATAATAAGATTCTCAGAAAATTTCTCATTGAAAGCTTTAAAACTGATATGATTTTTAGTTTTCTGTGAGTGAATTTAAAACTAGGTTAATTTGCATGTAAAGAAGATTTATAAGAATATTTGGTCCCTATCATTATAATGAGACTTTTAGTCCCTTATATACTAGTATACATAAAGAAAAAACCCAAAGAAACTGATGGAATAATAGAAAATATGCTTTAAAAATATTGCCTGAGCTTATATAAAATAATAAAGTGGCTTTTAAAAAATGAAAAATAAAGCAAATCATTTAAATTGTGTTTGAGCTAAGGTCACACATATAAAAAAATAATTCTTGAATTATAAAGACTATAACTTAATTTGCATCAATGAGTTTCTTGTTTTATTTGCTTCCATAATACATGTAAATTCAGTTCATGCAGAGAGATTTGATTTAAAGCTTCCTTACAATTCCTAGGTTCTGGTTCTGAAGGAGCTTGCAGTAAACACACCCACTTTCTTCTTCCAACAAGTGCAGCAATTCTTTGATTGCATTTTCAATGCTGTACGAGACCCAAAGGTGAGACTAGGCTTGGTTAGATTTTCTAATGGTAAAGACAAATTGAAGTAAAATTATGTTACGTTACATATTGTTATACTCTATAATCTAATCTGTCTTGCATTTAAAGCCAAACATTCGAGAAGGAGCTGTAGCAGCTTTGAGGGCAGCCCTGGCGGTGACCTCACAACGAGAGAGCAAGGCCACTCAGAAGGCACAGTGGTACAAGGTAGGGGGCAGTCTTTATGTCACGTGATTCTATACATAATATGACAGAATGCAGACCATAATAGAAGCTTTACATTGTACACATGGACATTCACTGTTCCAGCAATGTTATGACGAGGCCGTGAAACTATATGATGAGACCCAAGGCCGAGAGAAGAAGCTATCTCGAGACGACTGGGCTCATGGCTCATTGCTCATCATGAATGAAATATTGAGATGTAGCAACATTGAGGGAGAGGTATGGAGAGCAGTTTTAGCAGAATTCAAATGAAAATTTTTAGACCAGCATTTTCTGATATCTATGTTTTTTATCCATCTGTTTTCTGTTAACTGAAAATCATTTTCATCTTTTACGAATAAATTTGTTCAGCATCCTTCCTTCCCATTTTTTGTTTTGTTTTCCAAAGTAATGATGGGTCCTATATACACTCTCTTATTTACATCCTTGATATTAAAGGGGAGATCTGAGATATTAGGAAACCCCAATACCCTTACATGTAGCTAAGTAATTAAAGGGTCATCTGAAAAAAATGTTAAGCAAAAAAGATTCATAACATGTGCAACAGTAATAGAAATTGAACAGGAAAGGGGAAAGGGGAGATAATGGTTTTCTGAACTAAGAGATGTTATTTTACAGAGGTTAAGAATGGAGATGGAGGATATAACTAACCAGCAATATCAACATGAAAGAACTCTTAAGGTACCGTAATGTACAAATAGTGAGGAAGTCGATGACATATTGTTACACAAATGTATGTTTTAATGCTAGAAACTAACAGGAAAAAATAATGGAGTGGCCTTTTATAAAGATAAATAGCATCATAAATGAGGCATACAAAATTAAACTGATGATCTGATTTAGACATTGTAATATTTGTTATACAGGAGATGTCTAAGACCCACAAGTCTCCTTCCAGTTCTTTGGCTCTTCAGCCCTCGAGTTCCCTCGCTCTGCAGCAGTTCCAACATAAAGCTTTCCCCATCAACAACTTCATGTCTGGGAATCGGCAAAACCAGCAGAAGATTAGTTTTGAAAGCCGTACGGCCAAACAGTTAGTCGAGAGCCACTTTGACAAGGTATGGCTTAGAGGAAGTAGATTATCTTAAAGAAAGACTGTCAAGATTATCTTAGATCTCCGGTGTAACTTTGGGTTGATTTTTGAAGGTGTGTGCCTTATTACTGCGACACCGAAACAGTAAGAGTGTTCACATTCAGTTGATCCTACAAGTCATCTTTCCACGACTAGCTGCCTTCAAGCCTCAAGAATTCTCCAAACTGTAAGTCTTCATTAAGTACATGTATATTTATCACTGCAATACCGTAACACTGAGATTTAGATTTGTCTGTAGTAACCCATATGGAGGGTTCTACCTACATTGCATTTCTTTTTGAGCTGTTATATTGTGATATCTTTCTAAATATTTAATTTTGTCACTTCCAGAATGATAAATAAAAATTAAGATAACATACAAAAGGCTAAAAAGAGATATATTTTTTTTGGAAAGCAATTGTGGCCAAAATTGGTTTTTGTAATGTTGGGTCAGTGTAGTTATGAAGTTTAACAAGCGGATCCTTTTGTAGTTCCTGGTACTAGTGTACCCCACAAAAAGTTTTCAGACAAAATGATTTTATTCTTCATTTAAAAATAATATTACTTGTTTACTACTTATGAAATATTTTATGAACAATTTAACATATTTTCTTTCTGATATGTAATTATAATAATATTCTGTTGTTGTTATTTTTTTACAGGTACTTAGATGAAACAATAAGCTTCCTGCTGGGCTCTCTGAAGACAACCCGTGACAAAACGTCCACCTTCCAGGCCATCGGACTCCTAGCCATCTCGGTCCAGGACAACATTGTACGATATCTCCCAGGGATCCTGGATGTTATCAGAACTTCCCTGCCACCGAAAGATTTACCAGCCAAGTAATATAACTCTGTCATGTCTGTCTGTTTTTTATCCTTTATTCCTCAGTAAACAAATCAAGTTTTATATCCATGTATCAGTACTCAAGTTTCCTTTGTCACTATTATTAATGCTCTTCTTGTGATAACTTGTGTATTTTTATTCCATTTAAAAATATATTTATCATCAAATTGAGATGATATTGTTGTTTTGTTTAATCATAATGAAAACAGATCCATGTAAATATTTTTCTAAGGAAACAGAAGAATGTTACAGTGGACCCCGCTGTGTTTACGTGTATCAGTATGTTAGCCAGGGCAGTTGGTCCAGCAATGATAAAGGATGTCCGAGATTTGTTAGACTCCATGTTTGCTACTGGTTTAAGGTAGAATTATACCAAAAAATCATTTTATTTTGCCTTGTACTAGAATCTTAACATACTATTTGTCACTTAAATGCTGGTGACCAGTGATCCTTTTGATGGCAAGTAACAAAATTTTGACAGCAATATGCTGGATAAAACTACATGTATATTAGGCTGTTATAGTAGTTCTGACTTTTAATTCCAGTCCTGCCCTGACTGCAGCCCTGCGTGACCTGGCCATACAAATACCTCAACTGAAGAAAGAGATCCAGGAAGGACTCCTGAAGAATCTATCACTGATTTTGATGGGCAGACAACTCAGGCACCCAGGGGCACCTAAAAGTCCGGTCATGCCCCTCCCTTTGTCAGGTAGTATTCTTCTAAGCATTTGTAAAACTTACTATGGATTGAAAGTTTGAGTATATAATTCAACATATAAACATTTAAGTTAATATTCACATATTTTAAAAAGTTTTTCTGATGGGTTTTTTTTTCAGTGTCTCTTACAAACTTAGCAGACATTCAAGATGCCACAAGCATAACACTAGCTTTGAAAACCTTAGGAAGTTTTGATTTTGAAGGTGACTTTTAACTTTTTTATGTACACAACATATTTTATGATTCCAAATGATTCAAATATTTTTGAATTGTCATTTTACCGGTAGTTGACACATAAACAAACTAGTTTTATAATGTATCTTTCAGTCCATATCTTAAGTTTTTCTCATGTGTACTTTCTTCTGTTTGTGTAAGGTCACTCTCTGACCCAGTTTGTCCAGCACTGTGCTGAGCAGTACCTATCCAGTGACCACAAAGAGATCCGCATGGAGGCTGTTCGTACCTGTGCCAGACTGCTAACACCACTCCTCCAAGTATGTACAGTTATTGATAGGAATTAAAGCTGTCTTGTGAGAGGTTTTTGTGTGTAACTTTTGGAAAGATTTGTACCACAAGGTCCATGGTGTAAATTTCTGGGGCAAGAATACATGATAGATGAAAATCTGTATTTGATTGTTGAAATACTCTATTTACAGAAAGGTCTCATTTATGTAATTTTGGACTTTATTTCAGTTACTGGCAAACAGCCAGGGACAGATCAGCATTGCAGCCATGAACACTGTGGCAGAAGTGTTACACAAACTCCTGGTAGTGGGCATTACAGACACAGGTCAGTAAAAAAAGGGGGGTATTACTGAGCGATCAGTAGGGGTAAATGGAGGGTAAAATTATAATAAATGTAACACCATTAAATATCTTTGAAAATGTTTCTTTTTAAGTAAACATTTGGCTATCACCAATATTTAAATTTTCTTTTTTGAGTTCCAGTCATTATTTCATTTGTTCAAGTTTAAAGAAAATCTGTATCAACTTTGGCATTGCAGATTCAGACATAAGGTATTGTGTTCTGGTGTCCATGGATGATCGATTTGATCCACATCTTGCCCAAGCAGAAAATTTATCAGCCTTGTTTGTAGCCTTGAATGATGAAGTATTTGAAATCCGGGAACTGGCTATTTGTATCATAGGTCGCCTTAGTAGTAAAAACCCAGCCTATGTGATGCCTTCTCTGAGAAAAACTCTCATTCAGGTATTCAGAGACATTTATAATTGTTAAAGATTTCTTATCGAACAAAACTTGTACATTTACATGTGTTTATTTTATTTTTACTCTGATTTCTAATGTACCATTTAAATATAAACTTCTGTAAAAAAAAAAATTAATAAAATTTAAAAAAATTATACATTATCTCAAAATTCTTTTTAAGAATGTTAATAGACTGTTCTCTTAGAAGATTTAAAGTACATGAACATGTAGGGATAGTACAGGTAAATTGTGCTACATGTAAATAATGTAATGATCATTTACATTTTAATGATAACAGATCAGGACTGAATTAGAGTACAGTGGAGTGGGAAGAAATAAAGAACAAGCTGCTAAGATGCTTGGACACCTGGTGGCCAATGCGGCTCGCCTGGTGAGGCCTTACATGGAGCCCATACTGAATGCCCTGATCCCGAAACTGAAGGAGCCTGATCCCAATCCCAATGTCACCATCAGTGTACTGGTAGCCATAGGGGAACAGGCACAGGTAAAGGAAACAGATTCTCAAAAAGGTAGCAATAATGCAGTTAACTGAGTGTATGTTATATGTAGGCCTGAGTATCGCAAGCTACCTAACGATATGATACATATCACAATGTAGTCATGCGAGACAACATGTGTCATGATACAGCTGTCAACAATTAAATTAACTGATCTAATCACATATTCTTGCTTGCTAACCTCCGAATTTATAGAAAATATAAAAAAAAATATTTTTAGACCCCTAACCAGTTATTTTTATGGTGAACATAAACTTAGCATTGTATTTTTTTCATTGCTACCTTGTTTTCAATCATTTTGAAGCTTTAACATTTCTTAGTGTTATATTTTAAGATAAGACAATGCAAATTAACTTTTACTGTATCATGATACATACATGGCGATACAATATGCATATCGTGAGACCTTGCGATCAATACGATTGATGCATTGCCCTGTTGTTACACTTCTAGTTTTTTGCTCCCCACTCACATTACAGATTCTTCTTTGTTTTTCTCTCTCAAGAAAATGCTTCAATCATAAGAATTTTGGTTATATGTGTGAAGTTTCTTCACTTATTTCATATATTGTTATTTTTTTTTTCATTTAAAAATTCAGGTCAGTGGAACAGAGATGAGAAAGTGGATGGATGAGTTGCTTCCCTTGATATTAGAAATGCTGCAGGACTCCTCATCCTTGCAGAAAAGAGAGGTAGAACTATATAAAATTACTATAAAGATATACAAAACTAAATGTAACAGTTGTTTTAAATGGCATGAATTCGAAAGCAAAATATAGTTATAATTTGAAGACATAACATGTAAAATAAAGTTGTTTGAAAAGGAGGGAAAATGTTAGTTATAAATTATGGTTGTCAATAGGTTGCCCTTTGGACCCTGGGACAGCTGGTGGAGAGTACGGGGTACGTGATTGAGCCTTACAAGCGCTATCCTTCTCTGTTAGAGGTCCTCCTTAACTTCCTGAAAACGGAGCAAGCTACAGGAATCAGAAGGGAGGTAAGTCTGTATCCATTTAGAAAACATTGAGAATCCATTTGGATAAACTGGCAGTAAAGAAAAAAATCTTCATTATCACCACTTTATAATGTAGAGTGCATGTACATGAGAGCAAACATTAATTTGATTTACTATTGACAGATTTGGTTGACTTATCATGTTACCCATATCCTTAATTAAGTCCACATTTATTTTGTAGGTGATTCGTGTGTTGGGTTTGCTGGGAGCCCTGGACCCACACAAACATAAGATGAACCAGGGAGTGATACAGAGAACAGAACCTAATGCTGTCAGTATGTCTGATGTCAAATCCTCCTCTGATAGTGCACAGCCAGGTGAGATGTCAATATCATGTCGGATATAAATGCTTTTACATAATGTTTTACAGTGTAGATACTGCTCAATAACTGCCATTTATCTTCTGGGACAGCCAGATACATGTAAATTGTAGCCTTTCAGAATTTTCCAGGAAATGTAGTAATAAGTCCAAATTTCATTAAAATTGGGGTCTATTTACTGTACTCAGAGTTGAAGATTGATTTGCAGCCCTTTAAGTACATAATAAGTGGTCCTCTCTTACAGCAAGCTTATTTGACATTCCTGTAGTATTTATTTAGGGGAACATTTTACAGTCTAATTCAATAAGTATTGTAAACAATTTTTATCTTCAGAGAACACAAGTGAGATGTTGGCCAACATGACCGCCTCCACCACTCTAGAAGAGATCTATCCAGCCATCGCCATAGCAACACTAATGCGAATTATCCGAGATCCCTCCCTGTCCCAGCACCACACGATGGTGGTCCAGGCCATCACCTTCATCTTTAAGAGTCTGGGGATTAAGTGTGTCCCCTACATACAGCAGGTCATTCCAGCCTACCTGTCGGTCATCCGATCCGCTGACCAGACATTTAGAGAGGTCAAGCACATGTCTTATACCTCTATTGATACATGTATACAGTCAAATTAATGAGTAGTCTGTCCTTGGGGTAAACATCAAGTTTGTTTTACATTCTGATAAAAAACAGCTATTTTTACAAACTTGCTTAATTTCTTAGTGTTTCTCATCTTCCATATTGTCAAAATTATGTTCAGGAAGATATTTTCTGTAGATTTCCTATGTTCTATATGCATTTAGTTTTTTTCTGTTTTATTTCATAGTTTCTGTTCCAACAACTAGGAGTCATCATTGCCATTGTCAAACAGCACATAAGGAATTACCTGGACGATATTTTTGCAATAATAAAGGTACTGCTTGTTAACTCAATGGTTCTGTTGAGTGTTGGTATTAAAACATGTAATAAGAGGAAGTTTGATAAATTTATTTGGCCTAATAGTTAAGAAATGTTGTTTGTTTGATATTCATTCTAGTAAGTATGTCATTTGTAGGAATACTGGGGTCCAAACAGCACCATGCAGAATACAATTATTAACCTGGTGGAGCAAATTGTGACAGCCCTGGGGACAGAGTTCAGGATCTACCTGCCACAAATCATCCCCCAGATTCTGAAAGTCTTCATGCAGGACTCCAGTGAGAACAGGGCAGTGACTGGCAAGGTCAGTGTAGGCACAGTGTCCACTGTCAGATAATGGGCCAGTCTTCTGGCATGCTTTCATCCAGTTCTTTTAAGCAACATTTTCAGTGAAAGCATAGATTATTTTTCTGTATCTACTGGAAAATTGGTTAGAAAGTGCAGAAAGAGGTACTCTAAATGAGGAAATGTACTATGCAGTCATGGTTTCTGTTTTGCTGATCTCTAACTAGTTTTGGGGTTATTTTTACAGTTGCTGAATGCCCTGCAGTTGTTTGGAGCCAATCTTGATGACTATCTCCATCTCCTTCTCCCTCCTGTGGTTAAATTATTTGACAGCCCTGATGTGCCTCTGTCTGTTAAAAGGTTAGTGGGATCACTTCCATAAATGGCATTTTCCCAAAGCTTTTCATTTCTTTTCAATGATGTACATTATCATCAAAATAAATGTTTTTAGAGGTTAAGAGATTTCAAATTATATGTATTTTAGTATAAAATAAATTACATGTACATGTGTATTTTAGTATAAATTTTGAAGAAAAAAAAATGTTTCCTTTTCCTTGTGGATAAAATCATTATTTTCTTTTAAGAACTGCCCTAGAGACCGTGGACAAACTTACGTACACCCTTGATCTGACGGACTTTGCGTCACGTATCATCCACCCGCTAGTAAGGACACTGGATTCTGTACCGGAGCTACAGGCCTCTGCCATGGATACGCTGTGTGCCATGGTGATGCAGCTGGGGCCTAAGTTCAACATCTTTATTCCAATGGTCCAGAGAGTCATACAGAAACACAAGATTGCTCATCAGAGATACTTCATACTGATGGCCAGAATTCTCAAGGTCAGGCAGAGAAGTCATTTAATGAAATGGTAAGGGAAAGAATTGGTGATTAAATTGTTAGTTAAGTTTAAATTTGTTTTTTATAGGCTTCCACAATTGCTGAAGAAGAGGATGATCCAGTTCTACTGAAGCACAAGAAGAATCGTGGGAAGACGTCAGAATCTAATGATACTCTGGCAGACACTGCTGTTATTAAGAAGCTGCATGTCAGTTTTACTAACCTTCAAAAGGTAAACTACAATGTCCACTGAACCTTTGATTCTTACAGAGAATGATTCTTAAATTCTTATTGAAAAAATCAATTCAAAGTTCCATCAAGCTACTAATACACTGTACATGGTAGATAACACTTTTTCATAGTATGGAAAAGATAAAATTTAGTTTTTAGCTTTAATATGGAATGCTGAGGGGATTGACTAGAGTTCATTTTAGTTAAGATGCCTTGAAATAATAGAATTTTTTTCCTGTGACAGGCTTTGGAGGCTGGGAGAAAGGAATCTAAGGAGGACTGGATGGAATGGTTGAGGAGACTCAGTATAGAACTACTGAAGGAGTCTCCCTCCCCCGCACTGCGATCCTGCTGGGCCCTGGCTCAGACTTATAACTCACTGGCAAAGTAAGTCAAAAATACAACATACACTGGCATAGTAAGTCAAAAATACAACATACACTGGCAAAGTAAGTCAAAAATACAACATACACTGGCAAAGTAAGTCAAAAATACAACATACACTGGCAAAGTAAGTCAAAAATACAACATACACTGGCAAAGTAAGGCTTTACAAAAGCAGGAACTGAACATAAATAACTATTGAACCTTTAAATTGGTCAATAATTAAATCCTTTGAACATGTACAGGAACATATTTATGTATTTGACCTATTCTACAGTGTATATTCAATGCTTCAATGTACATGTACATGTATATACTGTAAGAGACTGAATCAATCTTTTTCAGGGACTTATTCAATGCTGCCTTTGTGTCGTGTTGGACAGAGTTAACAGAAGCACAACAAGATGAACTCATTCTCAGTCTGGAACAAGCTCTAACCTCTCAGGAGATTCCTGAGATTACTCAGACTCTTCTAAATCTAGCCGAATTCATGGAACACTGTGATAAAGTAAGCACTATATTTACATGGAAATCCATTAACAGGGGTGTAAATAACAATTTCTGCTGAGGAAGTTATCATAACTTATTTGGATTCAAGATTCTTGTATAATGAATTAATTTCACACCCAACTTTTCAGGGCCCCTTGCCTCTAGACACCTCACTGCTGGGATCCCGGGCCATGAAGTGTCGAGCATATGCTAAGGCTCTACATTACAAGGAAGAAGAGTTCCATAGAGGGCCCACTACAGCTACTCTGGAATCTTTGATCAGGTAGATAAAAACACGAATCTCAGTATCTAAGTTTTATTATAATGATAGCAATACAGAGATTTTGTTTGAAAACATTTCCTGTACTTCATTGTCTTCCATTCTGAATTGTGGCATTTTGGTGTTTCAGCATTAACAACAAGTTACAGCAGCCTGAGTCAGCATCTGGTGTTTTACAGTATGCACAGAATCACAGGACTGATGTGGTAGGACTCTTATCTCATCCAATAGCTTATTTGTCTTAAATCATAAGAGAATTTCATAAATGATACATTAAAAGACATCAACAACAGATTCAATACAGCTTTTAAACATGTACAATCAATTTTCCTGAAAATGTGAAACTTGTTTTTTTGAATGAGGGGACTACAAATGAGGAATTTTCATTTAGAAAGACGTAAACAGCCTTATTTTACTTTGTTTTTTTTTTTATTTGCAGAAAGTACAGGAGAGCTGGTATGAGAAGCTCCATGAATGGAACAAGGCTTTGGAGGCTTATGAGAAGAAACAGGAGGAGAAACCAGACGACTTTAACCTTACAATGGGCAGGATGAGGTGTCTGGAGGCCCTGGCAGAGTGGTAGGTTAACAGTGCTGGATATATAGCCAGGCATCATCACAGGGTTAAAAATATACCATAGGCCATTCCAAGTTTTTTCTCTGTTTAGCATCCACCCATCTTTCAAAAACCTACCTACCTATTCGCAAAAAACACACAAGCCAAAACATAAAACACAGGCTTAAAAGTAATAAAAATGATGCCCTTCAAATGATTTGATCTAACTAAACTGCTTTAATAGAAGAAATATCTATTCTTAAGCAAAAACAAGGGATTAAATGCTTAAAATACGCCCAATATAACTTACTGTAAAGTATTATTTGGAGAAATTGACAAAATTCAAAAATTTCGACTAAATTAATCAATTTCATGACTCCTGATGTTGTGTGTTTCTCCATGTTTATTTGGAAAATTGAGAATAGACTACGATAGATTTATATAGGTGTTGGAATGGCCATCAAACTGGTTATTTACATGACATTGTACTTAAATTAAATTCAATTAATTTGTAATTATCACGCTTTACTTTTTTCAAATCGGCTTATTCAATAATTTGTGTTTGTTCAAAAGCTGTTTACAATATGCCAACTGTTTTATCCAGGGGCCAGCTCCACCAGATAGCGTGTGAGAAGTGGGGCACCAGCAGTGACGAGAACAGAACAAACATGGCTAGAATGGCTGCCCACATGCATTCTCATGCATGTTAGTTCATGTAGTTTACATTAACTATTTTGGTTTTAAAAAATCATCAAATAAATAAGAACTGGTAACTGGTATTAGTTGGCATTCATCATAGATAAAAATGGAGTAGAAACAAGTTTTATTTTTGTCCATTAGTTATTCGCTGATTGTATTGTAAGTCAGTGGGACAGTTTACACATGTTCACTCATCGTAATAGCATATAGGAAAGTCATTTAACGTTTAGAGACTATTAATAGCTGCACTTGTGATAATTAATTAGTTATAAAATTTAACAATTTTATTATAACTTAGTCTGGTTGTGATTTGAAATAAAGACATAACGCTGATTATTTGTTCGTTTACATGTAGCTATGGTTGTGATTTGTAGTCAGTGGACAGTTTATATTATTTGTTCTTTATGCATTAGACCGGTTGTGATTTGTAGAGTCAGTGACAGTACAACTGATTATTTGTTCTTTATGCATTAACTTTGTGATTTGAGAAATGGGACAAGTTTACAAAAATTTGTTCTTTATCCTGGACAGTTTACTGATTGTGTGTTTTTTCATTATATGGTTGTGATTTGTAAGTCAGTGGGACAGTTTTCTGAAAAAACTTGGAATGGCCATCAAACTGTTATTTACATGACATTGTACTTAAATTAAATTTCTATTATTTGTGAATGTTTGTTGTACATGTACTATGATTTTTTCTTGCCTATTCAGTTGAGTTGTATTTTTGTACTAAACTGCTAGTGTACACTGTATGACTGTTTTATCCATGCCATCCACCAGATGTGTGCAAAGTGGGGCACCAGCAGTCTGATTATTTGTTCTTTAGAACAAACATGGCTAGAATGGCTGCCTCAGCTGCCTGGGGTCTCGGTCTGTATTAATACTTACATTAACTATTTTGTCAATTAGATTATGAGATGAAATAAGCATGGTAACTGGTATTATTGGCATTCATCATAGATAAAAATGGAGTAGAAATGGAGTTTTTTTCTGATTTTTTGTTGATTATGCATTAGACTGATTGTGATTTGTAAGTCAGTGGGACAGTTTACTGATTATTTGTTCTTTATGCCTGAGTCTGGTTGTGATTTGTAAGTCAGTGGGACAGTTTTCTGATTATTTGTTCTTTATGCCTGAGACAGTGGGACAGTTTACTGATTATTTGTTCTTTATGCCTGAGTCTGGTTGTGATGTGTAGGTCAGTGGGACAGTTTACTGATTATTTGTTCTTTATGCCTGAGTCTGGTTGTGATGTGTAGGTCAGTGGGACAGTTTACTGATTATTTGTTCTTTATGCATTAGACCGGTTGTGATTTGTAGGTCAGTGAGACAGTTTACTGATTATTTGTTCTTTATGCATTAGACCGGTTGTGATTTGTAGGTCAGTGGGACAGTTTTCTGATTATTTGTTGTTTATGCATTAGACCGGTTGTGATTTATAGGTCAGTGGGACAGTTTACTGATTATTTGTTCTTTATGCCTGAGTCTGGTTGTGATTTGTAAGTCAGTGGGACAGTTTACTGATTATTTGTTCTTTATGCCTGAGTCTGGTTGTGATTTGTAAGTCAGTGGGACAGTTTACTGATTATTTGTTCTTTATGCATTAGACCGGTTGTGATTTGTAGGTCAGTGGGACAGTATACTGATTATTTGTTGTTTATGCATTAGACCAGTTGTGATTTGTAGGTCAGTGGGACAGTTTACTGATTATTTGTTGTTTATGCATTAGACCGGTTGTGATTTGTAAGTCAGTGGGACAGTTTACTGATTATTTGTTCTTTATGCCTGAGTCTGGTTGTGATTTATAAGTCAGTGGGACAGTATACTGATTATTTGTTCTTTATGCATTAGACCGGTTGTGATTTGTAGGTCAGTGGGACAGTATACTGAATATTTGTTGTTTATGCATTAGACCGGTTGTGAATTGTAGGTCAGTGGGACAGTTTACTGATTATTTGTTCTTTATGCATTAGACTGGTTGTGATTTGTAGGTCAGTGGGACAGTTTACTGATTATTTGTTCTTTATGCCTGGACAGTTTACTGATTATTTGTTCTTTATGCATTAGACTGGTTGTGATTTGTAAGTCAGTGGGACAGTTTTCTGATTATTTGTTCTTTATGCCTGAGACTGTGGGACAGTTTACTGATTATTTGTTCTTTATGCATTAGACTGGTTGTGATGTGTAGGTCAGTGGGACAGTTTACTGATTATTTGTTCTTTATGCCTAAGTCTGGTTGTGATTTGTAAGTCAGTGGGACAGTTTTCTGATTATTTGTTCTTTATGCATTAGACTGGTTGTGATTTGCAAGTCAGTGGGACAGTTTTCTGATTATTTGTTCTTTATGCCTGAGACTGTGGGACAGTTTACTGATTATTGGTTCTTTATGCATTAGACTGGTTGTGATTTGTAGGTCAGTGGGACAGTTTACTGATTGTTCGTTCGTTATGGTTGTGATTTGTAGGTCAGTGGGACAGTTTACTGATTATTTGTTCTTTATGCATTAGACCGGTTGTGATTTGGAGGTCAGTGAGACAGTTTACTGATTATTTGTTCTTTATGCATTAGACTGGTTGTGATTTGTAGGTCAGTGGGACAGTTTTCTGATTATTTGTTCTTTGTGCATTAGACAGTTTGTAAATTGGTTGTGATTTGTAGGTCAGTGGGACAGCATGGAGGAGTATATGTGTCTGATTCCAAGGAACAGTTACAATGGGGCATTTTATCGAGCTGTATTTGCTCTCCACACAGAAAACTACCAGCTTGCTCAACAGGTACAGTAGAGATATTGTAGAAATTTTTTTTTATCAATCATCACTTCTTGCAAATCTAATCACAGTGGGTTAAGTGGTTTTTTTTTACTTTTAGTGTATTGACAAGGCTCGAGACATTCTTGATACAGAGCTAACAGCTATGGCTGGAGAAAGTTACAACAGGGCTTATGGTGTAAGTAACTCTCAGTACAGCTGTACTTTCTGAATAACTGGACTAATGGTGTAAGTACCTTCTAGTACATTGGTACTCTGTAAGTAACTGGGCTGAAAAGAAAAAAAAATAACAGGGCTGGACATTTTGTCATTTGCAGGCCATGGTGAATGTTCAGATGTTATCTGAGCTAGAGGAAGTGATGCAGTTTAAACTGGTCCCTGAGCGTCAGGAGGCCATTAAACAGATGTGGTGGGACCGTCTCCAGGGTTGTCAGCGAGTGGTGGAAGATTGGCAGAAAATCATCCAGGTCCGGTCCCTGGTGGTGTCCCCACTGGAAGACATGAAAACATGGCTGAAGTATGCCAGCTTGTGTAGAAAAAGTGGAAGACTGGTAAGTGTGAAGAAGGAAAAAACAAACCTGGTGAAATAAAATGTTTACAAGTACAAAGTTAATTAATATCTACATGTGTGTTTGAAAGCTATTGTGTATGTACTTGTTTTCAGAAGAAAATAATGCTTGTAAAACAGATATCCTGGAAGAATAACCATCTCAAACATTCAAACCATAGATATTTTATGTTATCTTTCCTTGTTTGTTAAAACACTTGTGAAAGAAAAATGACATGAGTATGAATTACATTTAACCTCTTTTTGAGTGTTACAAATTCTCCATGTAGGCATTATCACACAAGACATTGGTAATGCTGCTTGGTATGGATCCAGCTAAAAATACAGACAAGCCAATTCCTACCACCAATCCACAAGTCACATTTGCTTTCCTCAAACACATGTGGAAGAACAACCAAAAGGTATGTCCAGGTCATAATCTAAGATATCCACTCAATTACATTTTATCAATCAACATTACAATAAAATATAAAGTGTGAGTAATCCTGCTATAACTCCAATATGAAGCATACCATTGTGATGATTATTTATTCACTGAAGAAAATTTTACACTGTGTCATTTTTTAAAATAATTTTTTCCAGGACTCTGCTTATAGTAAGTTACAACACTTTGTTCAGCACTCACTTCAAACTAGAGCTCTCCAGCTCATAACTCCTGAGGACACTCAGCAGAGAACTCAGCTCAACAAGTTGTTAGCCAGGTATATTAAAATCCAGTATTGTGAAACCACTTATTTTTTCGGGGGAGGGGGGCAGTAATTTAGACATGCAAAAAGCTATGAATCCATGTACTCCACAAAAAGTTGACAAAATGTTTACATATCAAACACTAAAGTATCATGTTTGCCTACCATTGCTTCTTTAACCACAAATTCAAAACCTGTGATCCAACATTGGAAGATGTTGGAAAAACTCTGCAAAAATTAATCTTGCATTAAAATATAAATCATAAGCTAAGCAGAAGACAATGAAAATGATAAACTAATAGGCATTTTCATGATAATTTAGCATATTCATATATCATTAGTACATATTTTTAACTGTGTGGAGGTTGTTTAATACGTTTTAACTAGTCAGAAATATCTGACGTTTTTCAGGCTAAACAATTTTGATATTTTACATAATATTTTTCTGGCACATAAATTAAAATCCTCCCAGATTAAGCTACAAGACAAAAGTTGTAGAGAATCTAAAAAATCTCTGAAAAATTAAAATTCATGTAACATGATATAAACTTATTTGGACACAAAACTAATGCCATATTAATCGGTGAATTTTGAATATTTACAGGACAATTGTCCGACATATTTTTGACCAGTTTCGGGAACTCTGGACATGCAAAAAAAACATGTACTCAAAAATGCCAAGTTATTTTACCTGTTACCTACATGTATATATTAGAGGCTCTCAAACAAGCTCTTTCTTGCTAGGTGTTACCTGAAGCTGCCCCGGAGATTGCCCAATCATAGTTTTGTTTAAGGAGCCCCCTTTTAAATTCGCCCAAACGAAAGGGGCGAAAATAAAACGGGGGCAATTTCCCTGTATACAGTAATACGGAGTTAGAGAATCTGGCTGAAAAATTAAAATTCATGTAAATGATATAAACTTAGGAAACTAATGCCATATTAATCTGTCCTCGAGAAAAAAAACTTCAAAAATGCAAAGTTATTTTACCTGTTACCTACTAGGCTCAGTCTGGCCACGGAATACGACAAGTATTGGTACAAGGTAATGACATTATTGTCAATGACAAAGTGAGAAGACTATGAATATAAAGAGACAAAAATATCAAGCATTTAAGTTAAGCTGGAATGTGAGGAACATTAAGATTTTACAACTGTTTGTATATTATTTTCTAAGACAGCTAGAGCAAAGTTGAAGTCTGAGAAATATATGAATCGTTGTTCATGTTCTGTTATTTAATTAATCTTAACTTCACAGGCTTGGCATGGATGGGCTTTGATCAACTATGAGGCAGTCTTATTCTACAAACAGTCAGAGAAAAGTGGAGCTGTCCCTCAGTCCCCAGGGGATATAGGCCCAGGGCGAGGGGATGCTCCTATCTCAACAAAGAATGACACCAATGTCTCGGTAATGACTTACACATTTGTAATGTGAAACCCATTGTTGAAAACTCTAAGTATATAAATGTCTTTGTTGTAATCATTATATTTATTGCATCCGCAGACCACCTCTAAGATGCACAAGTACTGTGTTTTGGCAGTTCAAGGATTTTTCCGATCCATTTCTCTGTACCAGCATAAAAGTTTGCAGGACACTCTGAGGTAACTAAGAAGTAATGGGAGATCTTGTTATTTTCAAGTAATGTTTGAAGAATTTGAATAAGTATCATTGATGTGGCGTTTTGAAGTGAAGTAGGAAAGCAGTGTATCTGAACTTGTAGGTTGTTGACCCTGATGTTTGACTATGGTCAATGGCCAGAAGTATATGAGGCATTAACTGAAGGAATCAAAACAATACAGGTGGAGAACTGGCTACAGGTGAGGTGTCTGTTGATCAAACTCAGGTATCATTCCTTTATATTTAGCTTTAGATGATGCAGGTGTGAATATTGACTTTGATCATTTGATACTTGTAGGTTATTCCTCAATTGATCGCTAGAATCGATATTCCTCGCCCCCTTGTCAGTCGACTGATAAGTCAACTCCTGATTGACATTGGAAAAGCTCACCCACAGGTATTTTTTTCTCACATCTTACTATCAGAATATGATGAAATGTAGAGAGACCTGTTGTTGTTAGTGGACAAGCCACATTTACCAAAGTTTCCTTCCTTTTTTTCAGGCCTTGATCTACCCTCTAACAGTGGCCTCAAAGTCTAATGTTCCAACACGTCAGACAGCAGCCAACAAAATCCTGAAGAACATGTGTGAGCACAGCAACACATTGGTACAACAGGCAATGCTGGTGAGTTCTCGCATTTAATATTGATTTAGGAATCCAGCATGTAAGTTCTAGCACTAGGAAAACAAAGACTGCAGTCCATCAAATTACTGCTGATGGTGTTGATGGTGCTTCCTATACTGTCAGTTTTTATAATTTATTTCTTTTTTTAATGTTAAAGAATTTGCATAAATTAGATAGAATTAGAAAAAACATTTGTCCAAGAAACACCTGTAATCACTGTCTATTTCACCTTTATACAGGTGAGTGAAGAACTGATTCGGGTGGCCATCCTCTGGCATGAGCTCTGGCACGAGGGTTTGGAGGAAGCCTCCAGGTTGTACTTTGGTGAGAGAGACATCAAGGGCATGTTTGGTACGCTGGAACCATTGCATAACATGGTGGAACGGGGTCCTCAGACTCTCAAAGAAACTTCATTCAATCAGGTATAAATAAAAAGAGTGGTAGAAGTTTGACATTGGTTATTATAATTTAACATTATAAAAATAAATGAATAAACAGTGCTGAATTATTGAGTTTTTTGTTTGATGAAGGGAATATACTGGATATTACTAAGGCAAGAATTATTTGTGAGGTGACTTACTTTTGATCATTGTTAGCTTATGGCTGTGACTTACTTTTGGTCTTTGTAAGGTTTACAGTGGTGACTTTTCTTTTGTTCTCTGCTAGGCTTATGGTCGTGACTTGATGGAGGCCCAGGAGTGGTGTAGGAAGTACCAAAGATCAGAGAATGTTAAGGACCTGACCCAGGCCTGGGACCTCTACTACCACGTGTTCAGGAGGATCTCTAAACAGCTCCCTCAGGTAAGTCTTACCTGATCTCTACTACCACGTGTACAGGAGGATCTCTAAACAGCTCCCTCAGGTAAATCTTACCTGACCTCTACTACCACGTGTTCAGGAGGATCTCTAAACAGCTCCCTCAGGTAAGTCTTACCTGACCTCTACTACCACATGTTCAGGAGGATCTCTAAACAGCTGCCTCAGGTAAATCTTACCTGATCTCTACTACAACATGTTCAGGAGGATCTCTAAACAGCTCCCTCAGGTAAGTCTTACCTGACCTCTACTACCACGTGTTCAGGAGGGTCTCTAAACAGCTCCCTCTGGTAAGTCTTACCTGACCTCTACTACCACGTGTTCAGGAGGATCTCTAAACAGCTCCCTCAGGTAAGTCTTACCTGATCTCTACTACCACGTGTGTCTTAAACAGCTCCCTCTGGTAAGGATCTCTACTACAAACAGCTGCCTCAGGTAAGTCTAAGTCTTACCTGACCTCTACTACCACGTGTTCAGGAGGGTCTCTAAACATCTGGTAAGTCTACCTCTACTACCACGTGTTCAGGAGGATCTCTAAACAGCTCCCTCAGGTAAGTCTTACCTGATCTCTACTACAACATGTTCAGGAGGATCTCTAAACAGCTCCCTCAGGTAAGTCTTACCTGACCTCTACTACCACGTGTTCAGGAGGATCTCTAAACAGCTGCCTCAGGTAAGGCTTACCTGTACAGGTGTCACTGTAGGGGGATTTAAAGTGTTAAATGGTTTTAGAACAAATTAACAAGAGCATTATTCTTTGCTCTTCTGTATATTTTCTCTGTTGGCAATGCTGTTTTTTCATTTGAAACACTTAGATGATGGTTTATATATTTAAATTTTAAGCATTTTCCTTAGATTAACTTATTGAAGAGATTATTTGTTCACATTTTTAAATGCTTTAATTTAATACAACATTTAATGTACATGCATACAGTACTGTAGTGATGGAGCATGTGCACATACAAGGTAAGTTGTTTATAGTAAATTTCATTTTCCAGCTGACTTCCCTGGAGCTGCAGTATGTCTCCCCCAAACTTCTCCGCTGTCAGGATCTAGAATTAGCTGTGCCAGGGAAATATGAACCTAACCAACCAATCGTAAAGATCCGCAGATGTCAAAGTTCACTCCAGGTCATCACCTCAAAACAGAGACCCAGAAAACTCAGCATATTTGGTGAGTCAGCAATGTATTTTATTGTCTATTTGCAGTATATTTGGATAGAATGAGATATTTTATGTAGTATTTTCTCTTTGTCTATACAGGATCCAATGGACTGGAATACATGTTTTTACTGAAGGGTCACGAAGACCTCAGACAAGATGAACGCGTCATGCAGCTCTTTGGTTTGGTTAATTCTCTCCTTGTGGAAAATCCAGAAACCTTCAGGAGAAACCTCACGTAAGTCTTTATCATGCTTTTATGTATTAATAATCATTCAGAACTCAGACTGTTTTTGCTTTTGGTTATATATGAATATATATATGTATAATAATTTTATTTTTTCCTTCAAAAGTAAACTGTGATGAAGAAAATATATGTTTGCTTTTCCTGTAGCATTCAGCGATTTTCTGTTATTCCTCTGTCCACTAACTCTGGTTTGATTGGCTGGGTCCCTCACACAGACACGCTTCATTCACTGATCCGTGATTACAGAGAGAAAAAGAAAATCTTACTGAATATTGAACATAGGCTCATGCTTAGGGTAAGAGCTACATTTACAGTTTTTGAAGTATATTTCATCACAAAATGATTAACAAATAGATGGAAAGATTAAAAATTTTATTTCTTTCTTTTGTAGATGGCACCTGACTATGATCACCTGACCTTGATGCAGAAGGTTGAGGTCTTTGAGCATGCTCTAGAGCACACACAAGGAGATGACCTGGCCAAGATTCTGTGGTACAAGAGTCCCAGCTCAGAGGTATTGATATGCTCCAGTCTAAATTGACATGACAATGGTATAGATATTTGCATACAGTATACCGGTATGAGTTAAATTGTTAATAGTGTTGCCTCTACTAGGCAAAGACACATCTTAATATGTCTGTTTACTTTTGACAGGTGTGGTTTGACAGACGTACAAACTACACACGTTCCCTGGCTGTGATGTCAATGGTTGGTTATGTACTGGGGCTTGGAGACAGGTAAATCTAAGCAATCTGAGATTTTTATTTGGATTATTTGAATATAGAATTACCATTGATGATGTAATAAAAAAAAAACATACATGAGCTGTATTTTAATCCCGCTACCATTCATCATCCTGTAGACATCCTTCCAATCTGATGCTGGACCGTACCAGTGGTAAAGTGATCCACATTGACTTTGGTGACTGTTTTGAGGTTGCCATGGTGAGGGAGAAGTTCCCAGAAAAGATTCCTTTCCGTCTGACCCGCATGTTGATCAATGCTATGGAGGTAGGTTATACTTACTGGCCATGTAAAAATAAATTCAAATAATTTATCTCTAAAAAATTAATTATATTCACTTGAAATAATTTATTTCATTAATAAAAGGTGAATCTTTTTCACAAATATGGACTTTACATAGAAATGTTTTCACATGGAAGTTTACAAGAAAACACTTAAGGTCTATAATTATTTACAAGGTAATGCTGTGTTTTATTAGGTGACTGGTATTGACGGTAACTACAAGATGACCTGTGAGAGTGTGATGGAGGTGTTACGTGAGCACAAGGACAGTCTGATGGCCGTACTGGAAGCCTTTGTGTATGACCCCCTGCTGAACTGGAGACTCATGGACAGTATGTATTAACTTACTGCTAGTTTTGACACATGATTCGGTCAGTATGGTTCATGACTGAATTTGTAAATAAATGTATTTGTCACCCTGTCACAGAGTCATTTATAAAACTGCAAGTTAACATCCTTATACTTATTCTGTGTTTGAAATTTTTATGGGTATATAGGAATCACCTTGTCCGTCTGTCCGTCTGTCTATGCAAACGTGTCCGGTCCATATCTTTCTTACGGAGGGACACTAGAATCTACTACTCCACAAAAGATTGCCCATGACTTAAGGGTGTGTCATCACCTTGACCCAAGGTCATTTGGGGAAGTTCAAGGTCACTGGAAGAAATGCAAACGTGTCTTATGGATAAACTTGGTAGGTTCTCATTTCACACAAAGATTGCCCATGACGCAAGAATGTGTCATGACCTTGACCCAAGGTCATTTGGGGAAGTTCAAGGTCACTGGAAGAAAGTGTTCATAATTCGTGTCCGGTCCATATCTTTCTTATGGATAAACTTGGTACATTTCACACACACAAAGATTGCCAAGGTCATTTGACAAGGTCACTGGAAGAAAAATTTCATTATTCCAGTCCGGTCTACATCTTTTTTATGGTGTGTCATGACCTTGACCCAAGGTCATTTGGGGAAGTTCAAGGTCACTGGAAGAAAGCGTTCATAAACTTGGTAGGTTCTCATTTCACATTTGTGTCCGGTCCATATCTTTCTTATGGATAAACTTGTGTGTATGACCTTGACCCAAGGTCATTTGGGGAAGTTCTACAGGTCACTGGAAGTAAAATTCATGATTTGACCCAAGGGTTTGTCATGTTCTCATTCTACACAAAGACCATGACCCAAGGTCATTTGAAACAAGGTCATTTGGGGAACTTCAAGGTCACTGGAAGAAAAAGTTCATAATTCATGTCCTGTCCATATCTTTTTTATTGATAAACTTGGTAGGTTCTTATTTCATGCAAAGATGGCCCATGAGCCAAGGGTGTGTCATGACCTTGACCCAAGGTCATTTGGGGAACTTCAAGGTCACTGGAAGAAAAATTTCATAATTCATGTGTGATACATATCTTTATTATGGAAAAACTTACTTCTGAAAAACCCAGCGGGGGGTATTTTGTCCCGTTTGGACAGTTCTAGTTTATTTGAATTTCAAACAAGCTGGACATTTTTAAGGTCATGGTTAATAATATTGTTTTATTTTCCTGTTTACATATTACAACACAATATATATTTGATTCTGACGTCCACACATTGACTTTCACTTGTTCTCCTCTCTCTTTCAGCCCACTTTCTCACACAAATACAGCTCACCAAGGGTGAAAGACAAAAACAAATTATAAAAGACTCGCTTTCTCTCTAACTAACTAAAATTACACTCTTGGGAAACAGGGCTACAACGCCTGCGCTGCGCACCTGCAACCTATCACTCACTCATTTACAATTAATTAACAAAAATCGGGCGATTGCTCTGTGACACATGTAATTTTCTGTTTTATTCTTTTAATTCTGAGACATTCATTTCAGCTACAGCCAAGGGTAAGACAAAAACAAAAGACTCGTACTCGGGAGGAAGCCAGGAACAGGCGGACATGTTGGAGAGCGTGGACATGAGTCAGACGGCCCACAAACGCTCAGCCCCGGAGACTGCCAGCTCTGTAGGTGGGGACAACTTCCAGGCAGAGGTCATCAACAAGAAAGCCCTGTCCATCATTAACCGGGTCAGGGACAAACTGACCGGTAAGGACTTCTCCTCGGGAGATGCCATTGATGTCACCACCCAAGTGGATCTCCTTATCAAACAAGCCACCTCCCACGAAAATCTGTGTCAGTGTTACATTGGGTGGTGTCCATTCTGGTAAAGAATCAGAATCCTGTATGATTTAACACCAATGAAGGTCTCTGCCTCAAAGAAAATGTGTTTAATTTGTATAGATGGTGTCAAGGCCATTTAAGGTCTTTGCCATTACTTGCTGGATTTTTACAAGTGATGTCTGTTCTTGCATTAAGCTAAAGATTGTTTGTAATAAAAAGCTATGTATGATGTGATAATTGGGTTTTTTTTTGTGAAATGTCTGTTTTTATCACACTTCTGTTATTTTATACAATTACATGTATGTATAAAATTTAAGCAAAGGCAAATGACAGAAAGATTTATCTAAAGAAAGTTTGATTTGCAGGGATAACAAGAAAGTGTTAAGGGCATTTTATAGACATTATTAGAAATTTATGAATGCATAAAGAAAAATATTCTTGTGTACAAATTACAATGTGATGTTTAAAAGATGCTTTGACTTGTTTTGCATGTTATTATTCACTTCATGAATAACCTGTAAAATTCAGGCGTTATTTGTGTGAAATCAGATTGTATCGAGATTGACCCCTTTTATTTCATATGGGATTGGTTACTAACTAGTCATGCATATTAATGTACATTTTGTGATACCCGACATCCAGCTAAGTGCTTATTTTGTGCTGTATACATGTGTATATACAATGTATATGTTTATTTTTGTTATATTTAACATTGTTACTGAACTTAATAGTGTTACAATCTTATTTTACTGCATTGTAGTGTGACTAGTGTCTCTAGTACATAATCTATACTAGAAGATCTGTGAAGCAAATGATTAAAATTTAGACTACCCTCAGTATGCTTATAGATTATTATTGTACTGTACAGTGTCCTAGGACACAAAACACTTCAATCTGCAATGTTAATCAAGCTAAATGTCAATGATTGATGAGGGCAAGCTTTTCTGATCAACTTCTTATTTTGTTCATGTATGTTACATTATGTATATATATCAAATACTTTGCTGTTAAACCTGTTTTATGTTGCACAAGATTGGATTCTGTAGCAGTATTACTTAACATAGCATTTTTCCTCTTAAAGGGAAGCGGTTATGTGAATTTTAGCATATCTCTTACACAAAATTTATCAAAGATGAATGTTGAATTTATGGATAAATAACATAAACTTTTACTTAAGAAACTGAATTATCTTAATGTATTTAGAAGCCTTTTCCACTTTTGTTTAATAGTTTCAATAGATGTAATACATGTACATTACATGTACATGTATTCCAGCCCATTTTTGAAGTGGTATATTAATGAGATAGAGATATGCCTGGTGTACCTTTGTTTTGTATGATGTTGTTTACTTGAATAAAGATATAAAGCAATACAATGTTTAATTGTCATTTATCCAGATTTCAAGGGAGAGTCCAGTGATGAAACTCATTTGGAGATTTCAGTCCCTCTTGATTCCATGAACTTTATGCCCCCAAATCTTTGTTTACAGGGTAATAAAGTTTTCGCCCTGTCTATCCATATTTCACAGGTGTACTCCTTGTGACAAGAATATCTTTAGTACCAAAATACTTAACTTCTTGAGCTTGCAGTTTGACCCACCATTTGATCTTAGTGTTTGGTCTTTTTTAGAAAAAAAACTTTAGACTTGCACCAAACTTTTGAATGGTTAGAACAAGGGCTTTTATATTCCATAGGTATATTCCTTGTGGCAGGACCTTTCCTTGAGTTTCAATAATGTTGACCATTGACTTTGGTAGGTGACCTACCTACTGAAAAACTTAAATCTTCACCATAACATTGGAACTGTTTAAGCTAAGGTTGTTTTTTTTTTTATTCACAGGTGTTTTCCATCTTGCAAGACTTTCCTTTTGGGTACTATTGCTTTTTACCTCTTTTTATTTTATCTCTAAACCTTTGCAATGAGTCATGGGGCATCAGTACTTCACAATCATATCTTGTATAATTATTGAATAAGGAAATTCATTATTTTGCTACCAATTGAGAGATATACTTTTATTACTGGTAATCTCTTTTTCTTTCAGAAGAAATGTTGTAATTTTTTTTTAAACAGATTGAAATAATTGCTAAACAGTTGCACATATGTAAATGTATCTGCAAGTATCTTGGAAAGAAGAACTGGATATTTATTTGACAATCACCTTTATTAACAACACTTAATAAAAACAAGATCCTTTGAAGCTGTAACAATAAATCAAAAGAGATTCAAGCTTCACAGTAGGTATAAGTAATGTAATGGGAGAATTATTTCCGAGTTGTAAAATATGACATTTATCTAAACTTGCAAATTATTTCATTAATATGTAATTTTCAGATTACATATGTACATGTATATGCAACTTTTGTCAACAATTTTAAAGAGAAAACCAGAAGTCTCTGTCGAGACTGTAGCTCTACTGGTATGTACTTATCAAAAACCATTGCACTATTTTATGTATCTTTGTGTAGTCTACTTGTGTGCCAACTTATTTTGAAATCAAACTAGAACTGTAGAAGGAGTAGCGTTTTTAAGGAATTTCACAGAAAATTCTATTTTTAGTAACCATGGTAACACCGTTCATCAAAATCAGAAACCCATGCACTATTCTATGTATCTTAGGGTAGTCTACCTGTGTGCCAAGTTATACTGAAATCAGACCAAAACTGTAGAAGGAGTAGCGTTTTTAAAGAATTTCACAGAAAATTCTATTTTTAGTAACCATGGCAACACCGTTCAACGAAATCATAAACCGATGCACTATTCTATGTATCTTAGTGTAGTCTACTTGTGTGCCAAGTTATATTGAAATCAGACCAAAACTGTAAAAGAAATAGCGTTTTTAAGGAATTTCACAGAAAATTCTATTTTTAGTAACCATGGCAACACCGTTCATCGAAATCAAAAACCGATGCACTATTCTATGTATCTTAGTGTAGTCTACTTGTGTGCCAAGTTATATTGAAATCAGACCAAAACTGTAGAAGAAGTAGCGTTTTTAAGGAATTTCACAGAAAATTCTATTTTTAGTAACCATGGCAACATCGTTCATCGAAATTAAAAACCGATGCACTATTCTATGTATCTTTGTGTAGTCTACTTGTGTGCCAACTTATTTTGAAATCAAACTAGAACTGTAGAAGGAGTAGCGTTTTTAAGGAATTTCACAGAAAATTCTATTTTTAGTAACCATGGCAACACCGTTCATCGAAATTAAAAACCGATGCACTATTCTATGTATCTTAGTGTAGCCTACTTGTGTGCCAAGTAATATTGAAATCAGACCAAAACTGTAGAAGGAGTAGAGTTTTAAAGGAATTTCACAGAAATTTTTTTATAGAAAACATGGCAACACTGTTCATCGAAATCAAAAACCTATGCACTATTCTATGTATCTTAGTGTAGTCTACTTGTGTGCCAAGTTATATTGAAATCAGACCAAAACTGTGGAAGGAGTAGCGTTTTATAGGAATTTCACAGAAAATTCTATTTTTAGTAACCATGGCAACACCGTTCATCGAAATCAAAAACCGATGCACTATTCTATGTATCTTAGTGTAGTCTACTAGTGTGCCAAGTTATACTGAAATCAGACCAAAACTGTGGAAGGAGTAGCGTTTTAAAGGAATTTCACAGAAAATTCTATTTTTAGTAACCATGGCAACACCGTTCATCGAAGTCAAAAACCGATGCACTATTCTATGTATCTTAGTGTAGTCTACTTGTGTGCCAAAGTATATTGAAATCAGAACAAAACTGTGGAAGGAGTAGCGTTTTAAAGGAATTTCACAGAAAATTCTATTTTTAGTAACCATGGCAACACCGTTCAACGAAATCAAAAACCCATGCACTATTCTATGTATCTTAGTGTAGTCTACTTGTGTGCCAAGTTATATTGAAATCAGACTAAAATTGTAGGAGGAGTAGCGTTTTGAAAAATTGTTTACAGACAGACGGACAGACAGACAGACAGACAGACAGACGGACGGACGCCGGACGCATTACTATCGCATAAGCTCTTCTGGTCTCTGACCAGTAGAGCTAAAAATTGAGAAATAATTGTGCTGTGTCAAAAATATACTGAAACAGCTTAATTTCCATACAATAAAATTTGATTCTTTTCATAAGTAACAATTCATGCTTTTCAACAAATACTGCCCATAATTTTTTTAATAAAAAAATAAATCCAAAAAATACCAAACTTTTTCGTAAAATTTAAAATATATGTCTGATATAATTTACACAAATCCTTGTAAAACTCCCTTCTCCTCCCCCTATTTCTGTGGAGATCTTAGTCCAGTTCTCTGATTTGTTCTCACTTTGTCTTCTTGTCTTCCTCCTCTGTTCCAGTGACCTCCCCTTCCTCAGATCCCTCTACTTCCCCTTCCTCTTCATCCTCCAGCTCCTCCCTCTGCACCATTTCAAACTCCTGGTCCCCGTTTTGTCCCTCTTCCTCCTCCTCCTGACCTTGTTCTTCCTCGTTTTTATCGTTTGTTTCACTCTCCGAGTCCCCAGCCTCTTGTTCACGTTTCTTTCTCTTTTTCCTCTTTTCCTCTTTCTTCTTTTTCTCTTTTTCTTGTTCCTCTTTATTCATGACTTTGTATGTATATAATGGCTTGAATGAGTCAAAGAATCCCACATCCTCTGTTAGATTGGGTAGAATCCATAGATGCACTTTGCCCAGTGTTAAAACCCACAGAACACAAAACAGAATTCCTCGAACTGTAGAATACAAATTGAACATACTGATTAAAATTCAAAGTACATGTTCACATACTGTAACTTAGTTTGAAAAAGGGCATTCTTGATACGATTTTGTGGTTTATGATTTTAATGAGTAGGGGGTACCTCCAATAATTTTTCTTAAATTTCCATTACTTGGAGACAAAATACTGTAGGTATGTAAATATAAAAATATTATTGACAAGCATAACTGTGTCTTAAATGTATCAGAGTACAGTCAAATTTCGTTATCTCGAACTCAATGGGTACATGGAAAACTTTGAGATATGCGATGATTTGAATTATCCGGGTAAAATACTTTAAGAATAAGCAGTTGGGACTTCCAAATCACTTCGACATATCCATGGTATTCCAGATGTATCAGTGTTCGAGGTACCGACGTTCACCTGGTCATTTTTTATCATGCTCTATCATGAACCTCTTAACTGCATTGATAGTGATCTGGAATTGGAATCATTTTAATAAGAATCACTTACTGACAGCCAGACACAGAATGAAACCAACAAAGCTGGCTCCAACTAAGCTGACATAATAGACGGCCACTCTTAGCCAATCAGGCCACAGCGGGAACACACACAGTAAAGCAGCACCGAGCACTGAAAAAGGAAAGAAAAAATGAACAGATACCACAATAGAGAACTTCATTTATTTCTTGTCTGTATTTCATTATTGCATGTTCTCAATCTGAAATTGCTTCTCTACAAAATGATAATGTGCAAATCCTTATTCCATATTCATCTTGTCTTAAAAAGCTTATAAAATTTTATTTCCACATAATATGTTGTTAAATTTATCGTATCCATTTTTAAAAACATACCCATCAATAGTCCAATTAAAAATGTGGACATTGGAACAGGATCATAAATCCACACATATATCTGTAAAAGGTTATTTTGAATATCATTATTTATGAATAGTCAAAATACATACATTAGCTCTGAAGTAAAAAAAGCACCTGGCCACCTCTAAGTAAGACTGTTCTCTAAAATTTCTTAAGAAATTTCTTTTAACACTGTCATTGATTTGAATACTCTTGCAGTTTATATCTTAGTTTGTTAATCAAGAAGTAAAGATCAATGATCTTTTGATGATCACAATATATACCTCCTCCCCATCAATAAATCTCTGTTCCTCTGCCATGTCCAGTCTTAGCTTCTTTTCTTTCTTTTTCTTTTCTTCATCTTTCTTTGGTTCTTCCTTCTTTTTCTCTTTTTCTTCAGCCTAAAAATTGATCAAGAGCTCTTTAATACAAAACGGAATTTGTTATAAACAATACATGTATATCTCAAGTTAACACCAATTTTGATAGCTTTTGTAGTCTAACCAGACCCTGAAATTATGTTATCAAAAATACTTCAAAGGTTAACTATAATAAAATAGTACAACATATCTTCCTGCACATATATCCATCAAGAAATTCTTACTATTTGTCAAAGGCATGAAATCTGATCCATTAAATAATAGGTGAACCTATTTCTTCACATTGTAGGAGACATTTATAAACAATTACCTTCTTTTCTTCTGATGTGTCTGGTTTGTCAGCATCAGAATCCTTGGCATCTTTATCCTTTATTTTCTTTTTCTCCTTTTTGCTCTTCTTTTCATAGAAATGAAAATCAATATTGATATTTTTCTAG